TCTGAAGGCTTCGCCAGTGCCACTTTCTCGGTAATGTACGTTTTATTGCTAAAGTAATAGAATTATAATGAATTGGAAAGCCAGTAAAAATAGAAAAACGTGTCTACAAGGGCACCATTATTGAAGGCCACATATCTGTAACACGGGTTTTTGAGTTATTGCATGAAGTTTTTAAATTACTAATAAAATATATTTGGGAATCAGTATAGTCTGATGAAATAAATTTTTATTTATAAGTATTTTGATTATTTCAATTAAGTAAAAAAAAAAATAGAATGCAACGCTTTCATTCCCTGGGTTTTCAACTCTTCTTTTAAATAAAATAGTTATTATAATTTGAAATATTAAAATGAAGTAATATGGTTGAATGTTAAGAAAAGTCATACTCACTGTTTTATTCAAAATTAAAATTTTACCATACAGTCATTGCTAGTTTCCTTTTATTAATAACTGTAAGTTCCTATAAAAAGTAGATGGCATTGCTTTTTTAAATATAAACATGCATATTTTTAATATATTTTAACTATTTCCATAATCATTTACATCTTATTAATTTTATTTATTTAATATTGAAGATTATTCATAATTTTTAAATAAGATTACCAAATACTGTTTTTCTTTCATTTGATATTTTAGTTTTTAGAAAGTGTTTCTATTTATTTAATAATTAACTTACATTTTTTTCATTTATCGCTTTTCGTTAGTTACATTATGTTTTATTAGTGTTAGTTTATGAAAACTGTTTTCGTTTTTTTTTTTTAATTTAATCTTCAATCTGTCCCCAAAATTTCTTTTAGGTGCATTATAGTATTTAAACATTTTTGTGGCCTCTTGGCATATTTAGTGACTTATTTTTTTGTGCAAATTTAACTGTTTTTCATTGCGTATTATATGGCTTGCTCTGGAGTATTTTACTGCAAATAGATCATAGCTGTGGATGATAAATAAGATTTCTCTCTTGAACGATCCTATTATACCGAGTCTCAATAATAAAAGCTAGTTATTGTTATTTTATTGCGTCTTTAATAAAGTTTTACTACAGTCTTTAAAACCATAAATTGTTTTTCTCTCACACATATATATATATATATACACTTATATAAATAAGTTTTTCCTTAAAGCATTTATATATAACAATAACAATAATGTTAGGAAATGTTCATTCTTTTTCATGCTCCTTTGTTATCCTGACAAATCTTAAATCTTTATTTGTTGAGATCAATGATGTAAATAGGAATTATCTATTAAGGAAAATATTTTCAACTAGGGAACGCTTTTATAGCGCTATAATTTATTAATATTTATAACCTTGTTTTTGTTATGTTTTTATAACTGTATGTACATATATATGCCATTGTATTTTTCATGTAATTTATGTTTCCCCTTCCTCTCGATATTTTAGTTTTTATATATATTCAAAAATTATTAAAATAAATTTTTAATTTATCCGTTATCTGTTTTATGATTTTATAATTGTATTAATCTTTGTTTTGTTTTTTTAATTTTTATGCTTTAAGGGATAAATTATATTTTTTTCTTGACGCTTGGTTAGATTTCGTAGCTGAAATACCGGCATTATAGTTTTAAAAGGGTACCTATTTTTGATTGTTTAAATGTTCAGCTAAGATCACTAACAGAAAAAAATATAGAGCAATGAAAAACAAATATTTTTCCATTTTGGGGAGGGCTCTTTGTAAAATGTATTATTTATTTTATAAGTGTTTATATAATTTTTGAAAATTGTAATACAGGTAGTATTTTCATTTGTTCTTTATTATCCTTATTGCTATTATTAATAAGGAAGAAAAATTAAAATTATAGCCATCTTATTTTTATAAAACACACACAAGTGTATCTATAAATTATTTAGTTTCAGCACTTTCCCGATCAAGGTGACTTATTCCTTACAATTATCTTCAAAACGGCCTTTTCATCACGTTCTTATCAGAACAATCGAGTTCTAGGGTACTGATGGTTATTTATCTGTATTTCAGAAACAAATTCATGTGAACGCATCGAATTTCCCTTCTCGGGCTGTGTAGTTATTTGTTAACAAAAAAGACAAAAACATATTTTGCAAATATCCTAAATATCTTTCGCTAACAATGAATCGAGAAACAAATTCCAAATACCCTTTCAAATATCAAAGATTCATAAAATATTTTTTTATATTATCAATATTAAAACATATTGAAACTCAACACCATTGAGTATACTGATAAATGGTCGTTTTTTTTTTGTTTTGTTTTTTCAGTAAACTCGGCTGTTTTATTTTATAAAACTAACGAATTTGTTTTTTTCAGTTATAACTTAGCGATTGTACAAATACGTTTTCCGTTTGTAAGTTATAAATTATCTGATTGAGTTTAAATACTTTAATTTTAATTCCTAAATGGAAAGAACCGAACTTAATAATTTGATTGTGCCCTTTTCTACATAAATAGCTGTTACTGGCTGTTTAAATGAAATAACTGGTTAAAAAAAAATAACAGATTGGTGATTAATATCTCCTTAAAAATCCGTTTCATAGAAAGTAACTGCTTGAATAGCGACAACGTGGCTACATCGTGCCCATCGGGACACTAGTGACCTTATTACGGTGAACTCTAGCTGCTAGATTTAATCAGTTTACAATTGAAGGAAGTGCCGCATATTTGTAACATACGTTCATCAATTAAGCACAACTTCAGTTAGGAAACATTTCTGTTCGTTTGGTAAAAAAATAAAATTCCCTTTCCAAATTCATTGAAACAAAATTAACTGGCACTATCCTGCTTGTTGAGTTTAGAAACGATCTGCTGGATTCTAGTGGAAAGTTAACACTCTTGGAAGGTTACAAAACATATGATAAATAAAAAATGTTTACCTACTGAACTGTTGAGTTTCTAAACAGAAATAAATATTGGTTACTAATAAATATGTAAAGTAGATTGAGCAATAACATAGAGGTTACATTCAGCGAATCCATCGATCCCAAAAGCCATTGGAACCGCCGAGCTATCGGTGATTCAATCGATGGATATGATCCTATATATGATATGATCCGAGGAACGGCTTGCTGTTAGAACACTGATTTTAGAAACTTTCTTTATGCTTCAATGATAGTAAAAAAAAAGTTCTAGTAACATACAATAAGATTTTTAATTTCTTAAAACTTACACAACAAAATATTACTTACTTCGGAGCTTCAGGAATGGATTATTTAAAATTATTTTCGAAGCTTTTATGAGTTATTCGTTAAATATTATATTTGTTATTAAATTGGCAATTACGAGCCCTCTTTTAACATCTAATAAAACCTGCCGTATGTAAGACGTCATTCATTAAAAATATATTGGAGTTCGCCTACTATGACTTCCTTGTATAATGTTAAGTAGTGTTTGCGATAATGACAAAAATATACTGTTTTTGTTGATGACTTCAGTAACTTAAATATATTTAGCTGATTCCTGAATATTGAAAAACATCCACAGGTTTGCCAACCTTTTTTTTTTGTCTTCCCTACACTACTATCCCTTCACGAAACTCAGGTTCAGGTAAAAATGCTTGGTTTGTGATAAAAGAAAAAGATAGGGACTAGTGTTTGAAAGCACGTAGACCCTTTTCGATCGATCTGAGGGCGTATTCAAGAAGTATTTTCTTACTTTCTCAAAAGTAAAATTCATGATAAAGCTAATAATAACAATCTTATACTTTATCGTGTAATAATATGCTATTATATATTATAACGATGCTTTGTAAAAAAAAAATTCCACCTGTAAAATTGGCCATTTTTTTTTTTTTTTACGAATCTTTACTGAAACCTTGTGAATGAAAAAGGGATAATGATAATGAAATAGTGGCGTAAGATGCGGTGCATTGGGGCGCAGAGTCTGTGGGAAAGAGCATTGCATGTTTATACTGATTTATTTATGCATAATTATGGTCTGTTTAGAAAGCAGATAAAAGAATGTGGCGAAGAAAAGTAGAGAACAGAAAACTAGATTGCATTTGGTGCAGTCACACTTAGTGAGGGCATTGAGTTGTGGTTATTTTCAAAAGAAGTCAAGTTAGATAATGCACATAAGGGAGGTTTATAACTCCGGTATTAATCCCCTGACCCTCAGGAAACTATAGCCTGACAAAGGCAAGTTGGACCAAAAATAAAAGTTAAATAATGCACAAAAAGTAATCATAAATCATAAATAAGGGAGAAAAAATCATGGCACAAAAAATCGAAAAAGTCGGAAATAAGGCTTTCAGAACCATGTGTTCACCTCCTATAAATATTCATTTCTGAAAGCAAAGGTTTTGCACATTAAATATATCAACTAAGATCCTCTCCCTTCTGTTAATGTAATTGGTTAATTATCATGTTCTTATTTTATACAATTATATGATTTTCATCATTACTTTTTAGACCTCAATAATGATGTCAAGGTCCTTAAGAGACCAAATAATCTTTAAATTTTTTTTTATTTTTTTTTTATTGTAAACCAATGACACGTTATCTTTAAAATTCCTTACAAAAATTTCATTATAGTTTCATAAGAAAACTCTCTATAAACCTATTCTTCATTTATCTTTAATATATATATATATATTATATATATATATATATATATATATATATATATATATATATATATATATATATATATTATATATTATATATATATATATATATATATATATATATATATATATATATATATATATATATATATATATATTAAAGATATATATAATGTGTTTAAAATTCAATATCATTTATAATAAAAAACGTTAATTTCATTTAAAATGTCAGGCAAATCGTGCCTGTACCTCTGATATTATACTGTTAAATAAGCTGAGCATTTATTTGCCATTTATCAGCAAATGTTTAGGTTCACTCCTAATATTCAGTTTTATAATTTAAGCATATACTTAAACAATTGATGTATATTCAGTTTATCAATGAAGTAATTAATTTAATTAATTATCATAAAAATAGTTATTTAAATTAACTTTTCTAATTTCAGGCGTGTTCTTGAATCCAGCCAACCTGTGCATTTGCTAGCTGTTGTCATAATCATCTTAGCTTTCTCAACTCTAATACCTTCAGATCATCACAATTTGGAAGACCAAGGAAAGTCTACGTTCACTTTTTTCGCCTATATTTTAGCTACATCTCTTCATGCCGGAGCCCAGTTTTGGATGACATTCATATCAGGTATTTCAAACCTATAATTTGAATTTTAAATTGAAATATATTTAAACTATAGCTAATTATTTTTGCCCTCACTATATAACAATTTTCTTATTTTTAATTAGTAATTAAATTTTATAAAAAATTAAAAACTAAAAAGATTTATATCTTTTTCTTTTAGGACTTAGCCTCTACTTTTCCCTTCCAAGGCATGCGTTCGGAGATGTTCAGAAGGTTCTATTTCCGAGATATTTTACATTTAACAGCCTCTTGAGCGCTGTTACACTTTTAACATTTACCCACCTGCAGAGCCATATGGACTGGACTCTACGACATTATATTCAGGTAAAATATTTTCACTTATCAGTTACAAGTTATTTTATAAAACATGTCATTCAATTATATGATGGCAATAGATAAATTTTCTACTTCAAACATGACAAAAATATAATAATTTGGTGTCACTTTCAAAAGTAATATATAGATAAAAGTAAGAATATTGGATACACCAAATTTAAATTAAATAAGTCACCATTGTAAAAGACTATCCACTATTGTATAACTCAAAACTGTAATTATAATCCACTCAAATCATATTCTTTTAAACTATTATTTACTTTCTAAATTTGAAATTATAATTATCTAATATAGATTGTTTGGTACCTTAATACAGTCAAACAACTGTATATTTATAGAAAATCTCAATGTATCTAACAAAATTTTATGTTTAGAGTACAAACTATAATTAGCATCAAAGAGAACTCTAAGTTTATAGTAATAAAAATAGTTAATTATAAGAAAAACCATGTATCATAAAGAAATAGAAATTTAAAAAAAAACTATTATAGTTTATACTAAAGTTCAAATTTTGAATCTCTATTCTAACATCAAGTGGAATTTTCATTTTAAATGGAGTTTGTCTTTAAAAACAGAATTTAAAAAAAGACATAAAAAATAAAGATGTGACAAAAAATATGAAATAAGGACTATTATAGTATCAAGAATTTACGAAAACAGTATTACAGTTTGAAAGTTCTGGAGATAATTTAAATTTTTGAAGTTTGATAGAATCATTGAAACCATATTAAAATATAATATATGAAAAACACTAAAAATTACTTTTTTGTTACTATTTTAATCTTAAAAAATATCTGTAATTTTTTTTTGGTATAAATATGAAAAATTGTTATCTTTCTAGCGAAAATATTATTCATAATTTTTTTTTTTTTATCAATGTATAAAGGTTCGACTATTTGTTTGATTATTTAATACATGGTTGCTTCTTTTAAAATAACTATATTATTTCTTGTTGGTCCTTTTAAAATTTATTTTGTAACATTTTAAAGAATTTATAGTTAAAATTATTAATGTGTTAAACCGTCAAAATTTATAACCTTATAACATGACTTGATTTTTCCAGGTTGGAGCATTGTTGTGTTGTTTCCTGAGTGAAGCTCTATCCAGACTTTACATTGCGCCTGAAGTGGTCTTGCAGATGAAAAAAGTCAGGAAGATAGAACTAACAGTAGAAGGAGTTGGCCAAGAAATAGGAAGGCACAAACCTGGAGTTCTTGCCTCATGCCCTGAATATATCAGCACGTATAGCGTATTCAGGAAGCTACACATGAAAATGGCGATAGTTAACGTTTTCACGATGGCCTGTTCTACGGTCCATCTTCTTTATCTCTCTCAGTCTATAAAGTTTGTTTGAGCTCATCATTCACATAGATTTTTTTTTTTTTTTACACTCACTGTGAGACCCGCTCAGTCGAGTAGAACTGAGTTTATGTTGAAGTCTGAAGAATGTTATTCTTTCATTATGTTTAAATTAATTTAAGTAGTTTATTTATTATGTAGTCATTGCTTAGTGTCTCAATAATTGCAAATCCATGAATATATTTTTGTTTCTTCTGTCCGATTCAAATAATTAGTCAAAAGGAAACTTTTTTTCTTCTTATAAATATGGTATTTATTAACCACCCAGTCTGACTGTAGAATTATAATTTAATTATTTTTTTAATTTTAATTTGTTGGTTTGTAAATAAACCAAAATTTTAAATGAACTGAATTCAGCTTTGAAACATTATTAAGGGTTGATTTTTGTTGTTTTTTCAAACAGTCAGACTGAGATTATAATTTTTTTTTCACTTGAACATTTTGTTTTATTATTTAATTTAATGGTTTAAAGTAGATAAGCCAATTTATTTGTCTTATGTCTTATCAGTATTTCTCTATAAGTGTGAATGATGAGTGTTAGAATTAAGTAATGAGCAGATTCCATGACATTAAATATTAATTTTTATTGCTACTTAAGCGAACAAGTATATATTTATTTAGAAAATCATTCAGCTGAGCGTATTTTCTATAGTTTCATTTCTTTTGCAAGTGTAAAGAATTTATATGGTTTTATTTCTGTTGACAGCTCATAAAATTATTAATCATACTGTTTATTTTTATAAGTATTGTGATTAATACCTGCTCTTAAAAGTATTATTTATAGTTTGTGTGAAAATTCATTTATCACAGGGTAAACTAAATTTTCAGAATGAAGTTGTTAATTTTTATTTATGAAATTGATTTCATCTAGTGATTATTTATTTATTTGATTGCACATGCCCCTAGGACTTTTTAAATAAAAATCATATGTAAAATGAAATGGTATGCATTAAGCGTACGTAATTTGTGATGTACCTTCTATTAATACAATTTTTGTTTTTAATTTTAGCTATGACAACTGTGATTTATATTACATTAAGAAACTTTTAAGAGAATCTCATAAGTTATACATGCTTTGCTTGTTTCTTAGCAAATATCTTGAATTAACATCTGTAAAAAACAGAAAAAAATGGTTGCATTCTCAAAAAAAAATGGCAACTAAAAACAATATATAATAAATCATAAAATGATATTGTTTTTCAAGGTAAATTTTATTCAGTCTATGCATTGAGGCATGGCGAGGCTGTATATAAATTATAAATAAATAAATTTAAACTTACTGATTCCTTTCTTTTATTACCTTATTTTTTAAACGGAACTTCAATCTATTTTTTAAATCAAATGAAATTATTTTTTTATGAACCACTGTAATAAACCTGTTGATCCTCTTTGTAAAAACAATGTGGCTACGGTAGAAAACCATTTAGACAATATTGTGAAGGGCAGACAAAAACAAAATGTTTTTTACAATATTACTTATTTATTTATACTCTCACCTTAATAATCCACAATTAATTATTGTGTACAATAGTATTTTACATAATTACAAAAAGTCCCCTTTTGTGAATATTTATCCAGTTTGAACATTGTAATTATTCTTAGAGAATATGTATACCAGAATCATTTTTTTTTTTTCATCATTATAAAGAAAAAAAAAAGAATAAATATTGGATAACAAAAATTATAAAACTAAGAGACATATCTATGAAATTATATTTAAAATAAATGGTTTCTGCATTCAACAATTTAAAAAATGAAAAAGAAAACAAGTAAGTTCTAAGATTTTAAATAATTCAAACTATGCAATCGACTTGATGAGATATATAATTTGAGTAACTTAAAAAGTTATGCAGTTATAAAAAAGATAAATATCTTTCACTAAAAAGTATACTTGACTTATATGCAATTAATTTGACAAAATATTATTAAATCAAATAATGCAAGATGTTACTTATACCATGTGATCAAGTAGATTCGGAAATTAACAAAAAGTATAATTATTATCTTATTCTTGAATAACTATTTCAAGATCATTTTTAGCAAGTTTCAACAAAAACAAAAACTCTACTTCAGCGGCATCCTTAAATAACTAAAATCGTCATTTTCCAATTTTTATTACCTAAAAAAGTGTTTTGCGTTAAAAAATATATAAATTAATTATAGATATAATAATATGAATATTATATTTATTTTTATATTAAATTACTCATTAAAAGAACTTTACAATAGTCCATACATCACAGGTTGGATACCGATGACTTAAATGTTAGGATCAATTAATTTAATTTTCATAATTCTATTATTTCATCTGCATGCTTATTTAGTTAACTTCTCTCTATGCTATCAATTCTGTCAAAGTTAATTAAGGAAATGAATTCAATGAACTACAAAAACAATTCCAAATTATCTGGATAAATGATTATCAAATAGTTTCAAATCAAAATAATAAGACATTTAAGGATAATTAATGATAAGATGCCGTCGAAATTAAGAGCTTTCGACAATCGCAAACTTTTAAATAGAAATTAAAAACTTTGTTTTTGGCTTGGCACATAATTATATTTTCTATGACAGGTATATTATTCATGAATAAAATTAAAAGTGATTAAATTTACTATTTTAAAAAATACCTCTCTTCAATGGACGCTTCTCAAGAATGGACAATGAAACAGTTCCCAATGGCGGCCTGCTATAAAAAAGTTCCAGAGAACTTTTTCTTATTTCAAATCAATTTATAATTTGTAATATACATAAAAAAATAACCTTTCTCTTATCTGATGTAGCAAAATATTGAATTACTTATTTTAAATAAAACTGCAACTTATTAGATATTGGAACCAACTCAATTTTGAATTTTATGAATAATTAATAACTATAGATAACATTTCTATCAAGTGGAATGTTCTGAGAATTATTTTCCAATAAAAATAGAATATACAAATCTTTCTTTTACAGAAGATGAAAAATTGATAACTGATCACAATTGACTACATATCACTTTCATAAATCCAGTCTGATAATTTGGCGTAGAAGAGTGATCTATTTTTGTAAATATTATTTATCAGAAAAATAATACAATATAAAAGTTAATTTAAAGGTTGTATGAAATAAATCTACTACCTTTTTAAATGTTTCATCACTAATTTGAAAACAGACATTTAAGTTATTGATGGATACAATGATTTACAGTAAACTCTCTCTAAATCAGAGAACTCTGTTAAATGGTGCTCAAAAAGAGAAAAATACAAATATTTTTAAAATATTTCTTTTTTTTTAGATTGATACTTTACATACTCTATAATAAATAATATAAAATATGACATCAGTATAGTACAGTTATCGTTTTAATAACAATAAAGTGTAATACTAAATTTACTTTATATAATTAAGTTCACACATATTTACAAGTACTTTGTACATATCCTAGGACGTAAATATGCACATCGATTTTTAATAAACAAAATTCCTTTGAAATATTTTCAGAAAGGAAAATATAGATCTAGTTAAAGCTAGATATTTTGAATTTTTATAATCAATCTTCGCATACAACACTTTCAATGTTGAATAAATATATAATTAACTATTTGGTATTTTTGTATAAGAAAATGTTACCAAATAACTGAATGTTTCATCTTAACTTTGTTTACCTAAAAGATCTGATAGGCTATTATTAATTATTTTCCCAAGTAATTGTTGATTTCATCCTGGCAACATAGATATAAGGAAGAGCCTACTGTGATTAGAACAGCATAATGACAATATCACATATTATAATTAAAATTATGTAGTTTCCCCATTTATTTGCATATAATTAATAATATAGAATCTAAAAATAGAACATCTTTCAAGATAATAGAAAGCATAATGAGACTAATAATCCGCAGAACAGACACCTTTTGAATGTATCTTACCGTAACCTACAACTTTTTTTATCTACAAGAATGTTCAGAAGTGGGGCCTTTTCTCATTACATTAATTGATTTAATGAGCTACTAAATAATAATGAATATCCATTAGTTTTCCACTTGCATCATTAGATAATTTCAACACAAAACGAGAAAAAAAGTGGCCTAAAAATATTGAGCTGTTTAACCTATACAAACTCATTATCTTGAAAATGTAGTTTGCACTAAACGGACCAATATTTTTGTAGGTAACATTTTTTCTCGAAACAAATTATCTTATGATTTAAGCCGAAAGCAAATGGGTGTGAATGAGAAATCCATCAACTATACCAAAAATCATGAACAGTTAAATGATAAATTTTTCTATTAAACAAACCAATCTCTTAGAAATCCACATAGATATTAATAAATCAGCAAATCTGTCCAAATATTATTAATGTTAATAAAGATGTTTGTTTTATTGTCAATTTAGGTTTGATCCCTTAAACATAGTAAATTACGGGAGGGAATATTAAAAATATTCACAGATACTAAAAATTCATTATTTACAGTAGACTCCTGGTTATTCACAGATATTAATCTTTCAAAAATAAAGAAATTCTACATAATTAGATAATTCATCTTAGAACCTTTTCAGAAACAATACCTGGTTAAATGTATCTATGTGAGTGGTAATTATATTTTTAGTTTATTGAAATTAATTCACGGATACATAATATGGAAATACATACATATACTCTCCTTTAAGGAAGGAGATGGTCCAGCTGTCATAAATAGACTAAATAGTGACAAAACTATTTTATTAAAAGCCAACGTTTTGACCCGACTTTGCAGGTCTTCTTCAGGGCTAGAACGGAGAAGATACAAAAAGATATATTATCTATACTATACTATACAATATACAAAAAGATATAGTATCTATACTATACTATACAAGATACAAAAAGATATAGTATCTATATCTTTTTGTATCTTGTCAGTTCTAACCCAGAAGAAGACCTGCAAAGTCGGGTCAAAACGTTGGCTTTTAATAAAATAGTTTTGCCACAATTTAGTCTATTTATGACCGCCACCCCGGACCATCTCCTTTCTAAATTATGCAACGGTCAACTATTAAATATTCAATATACACTTTTAACTAAAATTATTAAGCTCTATTAAATAGTATCACTAAAATGCTGAGGACTCGAGATACGAACAGAAATGCTTCAAAAATGGAAGATACGACACTTAATAAAATATTCTATGAAAACGATTACACTATATCAGTCAGAGATTATTATGTCTTTTCAGCCTTAATCTAATTTTATAAAAAGCTGTCTGCAGTGCTTTCTCAATACATCAGCTTAAAATTTTATTATTCATAAATTTATGCTGTTATTACAAATTTAACACAATATTGTTTAAACTTGAAGATAATTAGCAATGTAACAGTCACATCAACCAAAAATTACCGAGAGTCTACTGCTTGTAAGAATATTTACAAATAAAATCACTTTCAACAAAACAAAACTATAAGAAAATAAATAAAAACAGTAAATATTTATGAACAAAATATAGCTAATAAAAAGCATGATATATAATTTCTGAATATTAAATACAAATTAAAATAATATGGAGACAATGTGGGAATATATGAACAGAAAAAATGAACTGTTTCTGCTATATACAATTTATAAAGCAATTAACTTTTTATAAATTATATGGTGTTTCTTTTTATAAATTATATCCGTTCTGACATTTCTGAAGTCAGACTAACAAATAAAATATTGTGATGTATTAATTGTTAATAATAAACTGCTTCCGTACGCAGGTTCCAGGCAGTGATGATCTATCCGATATAAGGCACAAATAAATTCTACAAAAGCATAAATCGATAATGACCCTTAAGCTGAAAAGAGTAAGACAAGATCTAATCACATTTAAATATATATACGATGATCACATTTGACTAAGTAGAATTTTAAAATAAAAAACAAAATAATAAAAAACTTATCAGGTTTAACAAAAATAGAAAATAATTTTAATGCTTAAGTATATTTATGAAACAGAGCTTTTGATCAAAGCTACTAAATCTTAAAAAAAAATAAATGAAACAAAAAATTAAGCGTAATATAACTATGTACAAAAATTAAATTTTGAAAGAAAAAAATTACCTAAAATGATTCGTTTTCAGTTTTAATAACATAAAACATTGGAAAAATGCATCCAATTAACATATACACATACATAAATTCTAAAACCGAATTTATACAATTATTTCAAAAACACAAGAATAAATAGAAAGATATTTATTATACATAAATATTATAGATAAAATGCATTTTAACTTAAAAGCTGAAGGCAGTATAAATCATTTTTAAATAACAAAAAAAAAAAAATGAAAACATCCTTCAGTCATTATTGTTTTTGTATTAATTTAGTTATATTTGTTTCCTTCAATGCAATATCTATCAAAACACTAAAGTTGTACAGTTTGAAACCTTCATTATAAACAAGAGGCCAAAGAAACAATACCTGAGCAGGCATTTATTTAAAAAATAACTGTGAATATTCCCGATATCTTGATCGACACAAAAACTTGTACTCTACTCCGCTAGAAAAAAAAAAAGAGTACCATCTGTACATACACACAATTTTGTAAATTTGCATGTATACATATACACATTTGAAGTTGGTTGTTGACCACGCATTTATCCAAAATATTTGACACTGATCAAAGGATCAGGAACTTCAGTCCAAAGAAAAACTTCAATGGCAACGACTGACTCAGCTGAGGTCCATCATGATCGCGTCTTGATTAAGGAGAGAAGAGTCTTTTTGAATAGAGTCGAAGATAGTTTGCAACTCTGATGTAGACTTTATTTGGGTCACAAACTCACTCAAATGTGGATTTTTATCTTTAAAAAAAAATAGACAAAATAAATAAATAAAATAATTTTCAGTTACAAAATCTGATACTATACTTCATGAATTTATGGATCATTACCTGCATCAGGAATAGTAAGAAGAGCAGCGACGGCCCTCATTGCTGATCTCTTTAGCTCGTCCTGTTTTTCATATTCTTGTTTAACAGAATTTGCTTTTACTTTCATTGTACAAGTATTTTTTAATGGTTCCACTAAACCTTCTAGCCCTAAAATAAAATACAAGAATTTCAATTTAATAACAAGGTATAAAAAGGAATATAACATTATTACTATTTTCCCAATTTTTTCACAAAAGCTTTAAAATATTGCAGATAAATCAAACTTAAAAATCCAATCTCACAGGGGCAGTGATTCTGCAACACTTATTATGGAATTCATGCAACCAGTGGCATTTTGAGGTTTTCATTATGTATTTACTACTTTACTTTTAGCTAAAATGGAATGTAAGAAAATAATTTAAATGGAATCTGAAAAATGTATGAAAATAATTTATTAATCTTAAAATTTTATTCATTTTATATATTAGATTATAGAATTTTCATTGAGATGAAAGTTCATGACAGTGGTTAATTATAGCCCTTAAAAGAAAAAGAAAAAAACTAATGCACAAAGTATTACCTAAAAGTTTCAATTTATTTAATATTAAATCCATTATACTCACATTAACCACTGAGTTACTAAGAGGAAATAGATACTTATTAAAAATGTAAGAAAAAAAAACTCACTTTGCAAAACCGGAGAAGGCGCTAGCTGTGCTAGCCTGGCGACCATGAGGTAAGTTAACATTTTAATGTCATAGTGATCCTTTAAACCGTGCTCCAGGTGGTTCAGGAACTCAAAAATATCTAAACGGTCTAAACAAGAATCCAGAAGAGTGTACATGCACTCAAACGCTGCCTTTCGTAAATCTAGACCGTCATCAACAATATGCTTGAAAGGACCCATTTCCACTTCTCGGATTAATTCTTTCTGAAATTTCATATTAATAATAAGAACATACAGTCCATAAATTTTAAAAGAAATCATTAGATAAAATATATGAACACAGATAAAAAACTTTACCCGAACATTAGTTTCCAAATATAACTTCGGAAGTACTGAGTCCAAGAGATCTCTAACAAGCGAAGGCTTATTATGAGCAGCTGAATTGAAAGCGACGAGAGCCACTCTTCTAACGTTGAGGTCCGGGTCTTCGAGTGCTTCCAAAAATTGGCCAATACTTAACCGTAACAACGGATCAATAGCTTGAGGCTGTAAAATTAGAAGGTAATAAAACATGATTAACATACTTAATAGTACAATAAACTATAAAAATTAATAAGTAATTATACAGACAAATAATTACAGACAAATTTCTATACATCAAACTTTTTAAAAGAAAATTTAATTTATATGAGAAAAAAATGGTTTATATATTGAATAAAATTACTTTACAAAACAATCTCAGTATTTCAATATCAATAAAAAAAATTTTTTTTTTTAAGAAAGGAAAATGTAAGAAAGTCTAATCCATAAAGTGTGATGAAATTGATGAAACCTTATTGAAATGTGGTACATCCAGTACCCTCAAAAACTACCATTAGTTCCGTACTTTTACTCAAAAATTACCACGACTCCTAAAAATTAATTGTGATTGTTATTAGTATGAAAAGGATCAGAAATCGTAACCTTTCTACGTATAGAAGAAGAAAAAGAAAAAGTCTTTTTATTTATCAAAATTACAAAATATAAATTACAATACAAAATAATATTTTTGGATTTAAAACCGATAATCAGATGTGCTACATGGTTCTGTTGACCATCAGAGGAGTCTGTGTTTCATAACAAAATTATATTTCAGTCTATTTATATACAAATAATTAATAGGAAAATAAGAACAATTATATTTACAATGTAAAAGTTATACAAATATTTTAATTACAAAAACAGTGGTACTAAAATTCTCCAATTTATTAAATGTTAAATTCTCTGGTGAGCATTATTCTATAAGAGAAAGCATACTTGCAGTAATTTACCAATGCTATCCAATTTTTTCCATTTAATAAATCAATTACTTGATCCCAAGATAAATTTCTAGACTTTAACCATTTAATTCTAAATTCAGAGAGTATCGCACAAGCAGCCAGGAAGTGATAGAGATCTGTTTCGTTTGTATTACACATGCTACAATTATTATTTGTTTGCTGGAAGTGTTTATAATTTAAGTTCAAAACATCAGCTCTAATTTTAATTACCCATCTGATCACCTTCGATGAGCTTTTGTCATCAATATAATTTACTGAAGTTAAATGAGGATAAAAAGTGAAAGTTTTAGAATTCTGAACTTTAATTACATATTGATTATATATGTTTTTCCGAATTCGAGTTCTTAGTAAATATAAATTAGCTCTCCATAGTTTAACATCATCACAGTTCATTCATTCATGTGTGGCGCAACATCCCGTTACCGAGACTGGGCCTCCTCCAAGAGCCTCCGCCAGTTGGCTCTGTCTTCTGCTGCAGCTCTCCAGTTCCGTACACCAAGCAGGGTTCTCGCATCATAAGCCACGTTGTCCAACCATCTCGTCCTCGGCCTTCCTACCCGTCTTACGAGGTGCAGTTCCTCCATCATTATTTTTTTGGTATTTCAACGGTGCTCATTCTGGCCACATGCCCTGCCCACCTTAGTCTGGCCAGTTTAATATACGTGACTACATCGATGTCTGCATAGAGAGAACTGAGCTCCCTATTTTTTCTTTTCCTTTTCATCATCACAGTTAGATCGATTTATGTTGAAATTTAATCCATGCAGTTCAATCAGGTTAAGTAAGTCCCTAAACCATGCGATTTCTTTTTTAATTATCTGTAGTGCTAATATTTTTGGATATCTATGTGGTGGAAGATTCAAAATTTTTATAATATAATTAAAATGGGCTCTATCAAACTTTTTAAAAGAAAAATTAATTTATATGAGAAAAAAAAAGTTTATATATTGAATAAAATTACTATAAAAACAATCTCAGTATTCCGATATCAATGAAAAAAAAAAAAATTGTTTGCTTAAGAAAGGAAAATGTAAGAAAGTGTAATCCATAAAGTGTGATGAAATTGATGAAACCTTATTGAAATGTGGTACATTCAGTACCCTCAAAAACTACCATTAGTACGTAGTTTTACTCAAAAATTACCATTACTCCTAAAAATTAATTGTGATTGTTATTAGTATGACAAGGATCAGAAATCGTAATCTTTCTATGTATATAATTTTTTTTTTCAAGGAACCTTCAATTTTGATACATAGAAGTTAAACTGTAGAAATATAAAATAAAAAAACATTCATAGAATTTTTCCTACCAACCAAAAAAAAACACATACTAATCAAATTATCTAATTGATAAATTTCAAAGTTATTTTTGAATAAAAAGCTAAATCCTAAACTCTATCTAAACTAAATTCTCAAACAAAATCAAATTTTAAAGATTTAATTTTATTTTGTTTAGTTATATATAAGAAAAACTTCCAGAACATAATAAAATATACCTATATACAATGGAAAACAAAAACCAAGAGAATGAACTGACCTGGTCGGATATGGTGAACTTGAGAGCCGTGAGGACAGTAGCCCTCATCAAGGGAGAGTGCGACGACAGACCAGACCGCAGGCGAGGGAGCAATTGGTGAGGTTCCAATAATGTCAGTTTGCCGAGGCATTCAGAAACTACATTCCTTGTTCCTTCTTCTGGGCACTCAGCGTGCCTCAAGAGCAACTCCCAAATCGAAGGTACATACCCTGCTAGCTCGGTCACACCTCGTGAGCTACCACTCTGGCAGGAAATTATCTGTGGACAAGAATCAATTGTAGATAACACAAATGTACATATATTAATAACAAGAAATTTCGTACATCTACACAGAAAAAAAATTATATAAGTGATAATCAACCTAAAGATAAAGGAGTAGATATTAAAAATACATAAAAGTAATGTCACTTTATAAATTTTAAATCAACAGTGTTAAACTCTTGTTGTTTATTTATTATTATTTGTTTAATGTTTATGGAGGGCCTTGGTGTCGACATAAAGGACGTGACAAAGTTGGCAGAGAGTATAATCCTCGACTCCCTGGGAATCATCCACCACCATGTGCATGGGAGCGGATAGGGAGAGAGTTTGCTATGGGGGGGAGGGGAGGCATGCGTGTGTTACAGCATTTTTATATTATTATTTATTGAACACGTCCACTGTACTTTATGTATTTTTTATGTATTAGGTTAGAAAGAGAGAGGAGAGAATGTGAGGAGTGGGAACATGTATACGGGGAGAGAAGGAAGAGAAAGGGTACAGAATGATAATAAATGAATGAAAGAAATAGTAAAAATAAAAAAAAGGAGAAAAAAAAAATAATATATATATGTATAAAATATTGTATACTATGCTCATACATATTGTTAATCCTATATAATTGTATAATAATTTTAAATAATGTCTGTAGTGATTAATAAGTATGCTGTGTTGTTAGCAACACAATGTAATTGGGCAGCACCATTTTATTTTATGATAATAAAGTGATTCTCTCTCTCTCAACTATTTTTTTTTATCCATTTTTATTCTTTATTTTTTATTTACTATATTTTATTTATTTACTTTTTTAGTTGGAAAGTTTATCTAATTTGTGTATCAAATGAAAACTTCCATTAATATAGGTCAATGTTATATTTTACATAATAAACATTGAAATATAATAATGGAAGTTTTCATTGCCTACCTTATAATTATTTATTTACATTTTTTCTTTCTTTGTCCGACAAATAATTACAAATGTTTAATTCTTTTTTATCAACATTTCTTTTTTAATGTTCTTTATTATACATTTATTTTAAGAATTTACTATTATTCAATCATTATTAACATTAAGAATCCTGTGAGATGTCTTATAAATTAGGCTATTCCCACACAAAACAAACATATAATGAACCGTAAGGAACACCAAGCCAGTCTGGAAATTACAAAATATATGATAGTTGACTGTAGTGAATAATTGAAGAGAAGGATGGTTCGGGTGATATGTCAAAATAAAAAATAGTAAAAATAAATACAATTATTTATTTTTACTACTTTTTATTTTGATTGATCGTCCCAACCATCTTTCTCTTAAAAAATATATGTTTATAGGAAGAGAGTGGAGTAGGTCAGTGTTTAAGGCACTGACTTCCTATGCCCAATGCCCTTTTTTTAAGTCCAGCTGTGGCAAGTAATTATTTATTCTGTTATATCAGCTATGGATTGACCCTGGGATCAGGAGACCCTTCTGGGGCATATACAGTCCCTATAAAGTGGGTACTCTAAATTAGATAATTAACGAAGGAAGAAAACATGGTGGTTAAGCGTGATATTGGTCCAATCACCTCCCTGCACAACCGTTGTCCTTGAAACAGTATTTCCTTACCTGAACCCAAGGCCCTTCATGGGCAGTATCGATAAACGGATTCATATTTAGAATAAATAATAAATAAAATATATTATTACAGTGAGGAATTAAATATTGCTAACCAACCCATTAACATAAAAGCATCATGATTGGGTAGGTTTTTTTTGACAAATGTCAAACCATATTTTATACATAGACACACAAACAGAGAACTGTTAAGTTAATAAAGATAGCATTTTCAAGAAAAATAATTTAAGAAATAGTAATAAAAATAAGCTTTTATTAAATAAATTAATAAATGAAGTAATGCTTAAATAAGTTAGGCACAACCCAAGCAGATTCTTGAGGTTTAGTACTTTGTAAAGAATTAATTACTGCTTCTTAGCATGTTGCAAATTTGAATTAGAAAATAAAAGAAACAGAAAACTAACCTCCTTGAGAGAATGAAGTAGCAAATACTGCCTCCTAGGTTGTGCCTCAATCTCCTGGAGGACAAACGGGAGATAAGCCTGAAGATTACCGACTGCTACAGACCCCAAGGTGTAACTTGCTGCACTTTTCACTTCTTCGGACTGAGGTAAGAAAGAAGCTAAGATTGTTTCTTTTAAGTTTGCAACTCTATCGAGGTCTCTGAAAAAAAAAATAAAAAAAATCTAGCTGAAAGGAATTCTTATTTGACTTCACATATAACCGATTCACCACTATCTATAGCACATAGGACTAAACAGTGAATTGAGCACACAAAAAAAAAAATTTAATTTAAAAAAATTTTAAAATGAAAATCCTATATATTTTTAAGTTTGATCTAAAGTTTAAGAAAATCTAGGGATGACACAATAACTTGGACTTCATAAGACACAATCACGATCAGTCAAACAGTCACAGATAATACATTTTTACTTACAATATAAAAACAAAAAACTAATTTAAATGTAGACAAGCAGGGCATTTTACTAAGTTCACAAAATGCTCCAAAAGGAAAAAGATTTTTGGGTATAGAAAAATTGGAATTATGTTGATTTAATAATTCTTGTAAAGGCTATGGTTTAGAAATAGGAGAGCAGTAGGACTTTGTGTGACCATTTATTAAAATTGAAGTAGTAAAGGCTAATTTTTTTAAACAAGTATAGCTATTCTCAAATACTTACATGTGCCTTCCTATTTCCCCAATAACAAGAAGTGCAAATATTTGTTGTTGGTCTGATACTGGAGCTTGAACGTCTTGTAAAAGTTTATCAATTACTATAAGAGCCTCGTTCTCCCACGGCACTGTAACTGCAGCGACACATTTTGCTAATGAATGGAAAGCCTGAAAAATCACATAAAATTAGTAACAGCTTTATTCTGTTTCATTCATCTAAACCGAACAAAAAAAAAATTATAAACAAAGATAAGGGCAATTAATAATTTAAAATTAGTTTATTTTGCCTGTTCTAAATGTATTTAATAATAGTGATTATGTTTCTGGTTTTAAACTGTTGGGGTATATTTTTAGTTTTCTATATCTATAGGTACGAAATTGATAGAAATAAAATTATAATTAACATGAACTGCCATTGGTCTGTTGACAGGAGCAAATATTCTTATAAAAATGCCTTTATTATAATATACAAAAGGTGAATGCAGAACATAATTAGTACTTTGATTAAAAGTTATATGTATAAATTTGAAGATAACTGTTGTTTTACAAAAAATAAGAATATATAAATCATTTTATTTTGATTCAGTTATATACATCTTTATTTATCATTTTTTAACTGAGAAAAACTATTCTATAACGTCAAAGCAAAAACAAAAAATAAAAATAAATTATTGTACCTAATATTTTAGGGAAAAAATGCAGTACAAGATGAAAAAAAAAAAAAAAAATAAGCTTTAGACTACACCATAGAAGTGAAAACATCAACAGAGATTAATAATATAAAATATAAATTATAAATATAAATACTGAACATTTCGGTCACTTACAGTATGCAGGTCTGATTTTTAGATTCAGAAATATTTTAATACATATCTTCAATAGAACTTATAATCAATAAATGCAAAACAACTTCAATTATTCGACTCCAGCCGACTTTACCTGAGCATTGCATATCAGAAATCTGACAGCTTAATCTAATTCAATCTCCACAAAAAAAGTGCCAAACGTGCTTAAGAAGTTTTTACTTCAAAAATTAAAATCTTTAAACTTTATTATTTATTTGTTTTTCTTGAACTTTAACCATATAATCATTGACTGCAAGATATCAATCTTTTTACACATCTTGATAACTTCCAGGTAGGTCAAATGGATCGATATAATTGATATATATATATATAAGAACTAAATGTAAGTGAAGCTAAAAGTGTGAGGGAAAATAAGATATTGAGTCATTGGGAACTGTTGTTAAAAAAATTATAACTGAATGCAACTCACTGAAGTTTACAATTGTACAAACTTAATCAAAGATTAATTAAGAAGACAATAAGTGTATAATACCTGCTTATGAAGAGGAGGCTGGTGTTGCGAAACAGGTCTGGTCAGCATCTCCAGGAGCTCCTTGTTTCCTAGAAGGGGGAGGTCAGCTCTTGCGAGAGCCTCCAAAAATTCAAGCAGAGACGACAAAGCTCCACCTTCACACAAGCATAAAATAATAACATAAAAACTATACTAATTTATAGTTGACATATTCATATAACTTTTAAATCCACTTGACAAAAATTTGCAATAAAATGTTCTAGGGGTAATAATGGGAAGTACAGTTAACAACAAATCCCAATCAACAATGGACTATGATTGGTAAGATTTGGTGTTAAGGACCCCTTATACCAGTGGTCGGCAAACTTATTATCCAAAGAGCCAAATATGAACATTACAATTTTTTTTTTTAAATGGGAGCCAAATCTGCTTGTTTACTAAACTTTTATTACACTAAATAAAACTAAATTTTATTAAAAAAAAAAAAATTTATTAATGGGAACAATGTGCTTGCGTCTCCTTGGAAAGTTTGAGTAAGTCAGGTTTGTATGTTGTTTTTAATTTTAGGCATGATTCCAAGTTCCAATCAATAAGACGACTTTTCAGTTTACTCTTGATAATGTTCATTCTTGAAAAAGATTGTTTGCATAAATATTTAGAACCGAAAAGGGAAAGAACAGGAAATACTTTTTCAGCTGATCCTAAGAGTCAGGAATACTATTCTAAGCATTGAAAATGATCATATCTTCCTTCTCCAGGTCATTCAAAGCAGACCACTTGTGTTGTGAACTAAAATCACATTTTTTCATCTCCAATATTTCCAATTCAACACAAAGACGTTCGAATTTAGAGCGACATTTGTCTTCTTGTTTTTTTTAAATCCAGCAATTGTATTTCGGAGCTACCAATGACAATTTAAAAAGGAGAAAATTTCAACTCAGTTATCGTAGCATTAAGAGGATTTTTGACAAATGCTAAAGTTGCTCGGCTGTTTTTAAATTCCTAATTTATCAAAATAAGATGTAATAATTGAGGAGCCAAAGAGCCACTGCAGCTCTGGAGCCGCACTTTGCCAACCACTGTCTTATACAATCAATATCAAGTAAGTTACAATCTTGCTTTCTCCGAAGAACTAGATATCTTTTATCTTAATATCATATAGTATTTTTTTTATAAATAAACTTATTGCAGTCGGAATCGCAGAATGTTTTAGTAAATTAAAAAATAACAACTACAAAATTATCTGGAAATACCAAAACCCAATATCAAATCATTTCAGTAGAATAAAAGACAAAATTCAAATAATGGATAACCAAAAACAATATTTATCAACTACAATGTTCATCTAAAAAATTATGTATTGGAGAATCTATGCAAAATAAAAAAAAGAATATATCAACATAAAAACTAGATAAAATACAACAGAAATACTGCTTTAAGTACACATATAGTAGAGGGTAACCACAAACCTGAGGTTAATTTTGACAGTATGAAAATACTTGAAAAAGAAAAAAATACAATAAATAGAAAACAAAAAGAAAATTTATTTATAAAAAAACACGGAGAACAATATCTATGGAATCAAACCATAAAATAATATTTAAGATCCTAAACCCTCCCTCCCCCACCTAAAACCTTATTTGTTATCAGAATTCTAGTTGGAATTCAGACATTGTACCAAGCTTATTGAATTACCTCTTTATTTCATTTATTTATTTTTTTATTTTTTGATGGGGATAAAATGTAAATAACACATTAATTACAGAGGAATAAAATGTAACATATTTTTTAACAAATTTATGTAATATAATTTATATTTATTTGAAAAGTTGTTTTATGTGTTGTATATTTTAGTTAGTAATGACTGGTTTCTTTATTGAACATAAAATATATTGGAATTTTTTTTTTTTAGATTGCTGAAGAGGGAGACACAAATTCTCCGAAACGTACAATAAATTATTATCCAAAGTTTATTTTGATTTTTATTATACTGACCTTTGAGGCATACACTTAAGTGTGTATAGACATTAAAATAAAAAGGTCATCATTTAAAAACTAGAGAAAATAGATTTATATTAAAAAATCATACCAGACTGAAATGACAAGAAACTGCTTACTTCAGTACTTACTAGAAAAACGCTCTAAACTTCTAATTAATTACAAAAGACACATATACAGGACTATAATAAGGCCTATTTGGACTTACGGAGTTGAACTATGGGGCTTCACTAAACCATCAAATTCTTCTTGTATCCAATCCTTACAATCCAAAATCCTTCGTAAAATCCTCAATGCTCTCTACTTTGTTACAAATAAAACGACCCATAATGACCTTAATGTTTTTTATGTTTCAGATCTGGCCCAATCCAGATACCTATCCTTCCATAATAAACTTCAGAATCATCCCAACCATCTCGTTTCTAACCTTACTTCCTCTTCAGTTCCTAATAACCCTCCGAGGCGTCTGAAAAGCAGATGGCCCCGTGATCTCCTAATGTAGACATAACATTAGAGTGCTACCATTGGGTAGTTTCTCAACAAGTGTTTTCACGTCATTATATTCATATGTTCAAATTTACTAAATGTATTTCTTTAATATAGTTGTAAATATCATTAACAAGTAAAAAAAAAATAAATAAATAAAAATTGTGGTTTTAATGATTCTGTTTACAAAAAAGGATTTAAAGACATAATAAATGTATTTAATACTAGAAATAAAGATAAAAATTAAATTAACATAATAGTGAAATAAGATAAAACCATCATTAATTACCTTGTAACAGAGGAGATTTAGCCAGGGTGAGAATTTCTGGCAAAATAAAAGGTCTACTAAGATCAGACAACGCTTGCGGTTGCAGTTTAGCGATGGATGTCAATAGAACTAGAGTTAACTGAGCTATGTGCAAATCTGACTCACTTAACAAAGGTGGAAGTTCTATTTTAACCTGAAAAAGTTTTATATAAATTTTATGCTGATAAATAAAACAATAATGCAGTAAATATCATTCATTATAAGTAGATAAAATAAGTTTTGAACCTTTTCAAGCAATGCAAGACTTAGAGAAGGACTGTAATTATTGACGAGAGTATCCAAAAGGGTGAGAGTGCTCAATTTCAGTGCCCTCTGGTTTTTACGCAAAAATGTACCCAAAATAGGAACGCCTTCAGTCTAAAACAAAAAAAATCAAGTCAATATGCAGTCATGCAATTAAACAAATTAATAACAGACCTAACTGCCTTAACAGTATTTTTTACTTATTAAATTAGGAAAAGTAAAAAAAAAAAATTTTCCTAAAAATAAAATATGAATTTGATAAGGAGAGAAAATAAAGATATCAGGAGTTTTGAGAGAGGTAATGAGTCAAAAGGTGATAGTTAAAGATAGCTATGGAGAGTGAAAAGGGTATATTAAACATAGGAAATCCCAAAGTGATGTTGCTCAGATTATAGATCTGTAAGTTAAAACAATTTCATAGGAAACAATGAGCATATACAGGAAAAGGATATAATGATAAACTAAAATGCATATACGTAAAGGAAAGAAAAATGCATGTACAAGAATAAATCTTACTAACCAATATGGGTCGAAGATCTATCCTCAGTGGAGACGCAGCAACTTTAGTCAATGCTTTCACAGTCGTAAGCCGAGTAATCTCATTCCTTAGTCTGTCCAGAAAGATTGGTAAGCACGTGGGCAGTTCTCCTTGCAGGTAATCGCCAAGAGAGCAAATGATTTGGCCCATACATGAGATAGCTCTTTCCTTCACCTCCTGATCCAAATCGGCAGCCCTGAGCCTGGTTAGGGTACACTCGTACATTTCCGAGGTATAAGGCGCAAAGTTAAAATTACTTGGAGAATCTGAAAAATTGTCACAGGCAGTTTAAGCATACTATACTATAAGAACACTTACAACAAAAAAATCCAATGATAATATAGGTTTAGAAAAGGAGAGAACTGATTTTTATAGTTATAAATAAATTTAAAATTTAGTAACACAGTTTTTTAATTAAGTATCAATATAAATTAATTAACTAACCAAGTGGCCTGAGAACTTTAACAAGCTGTTGAAGTACAAGGAGAGCTTCAGCAGTGATTTTATAGAAGCTGTCTGAAACAGCAGCAACTACAGGTGGAACAAGAACATCCATGTGAGCATGAAAGACTTCGGCCTGATGGGTACACAGCAGAGTGTGAAGAAAACTAAGAGTATCTATTTTCATGTTGCTACTAGAATTTCTATCCCTATCAATAACAAAAAAAATTAATTATTAATCTCTTAACAAAACAAAAAATTAAAATATTTCTATAAACAAAAATTATCTATAGGGCCAGGATAACTGCGCAGACTTGCAAGTCTCTTAGGTCCTAAGAAACTTGTAATAGGTAATCAAAGTTAAACAACATCGAGTGTGGTAAGTACTTGGATGAGTACTTGACCATTCAAAGCCATTCCTCTTCCTGGATATGTGAGGCCTATCAACCTACAGGAGGCAACTCACACCAACCAGGCTTAGGACTGATGACTCAACCAAATGTACTAAAATTGGGAAACAGGATATGGTTTTCCAGGATGTCAGTAGCCTCCTGGGGTTTTGGTCCATCAACGATATGTATGAAGGAAAGAAATGTAGGTCCCCATGCGTCTACTGATTAAATAGCTGTAATCCATGGATCTAGATCAAGATGTCAGTCCCTCAACATGAGTGGGTTGGTGGAAAGGATGGACATTGCCAGATTGACCCCAAAGGGATTGGCTGTGGAGTTACGGGTGGCCTGTCCCTGCACCATGCATGCCATGATCCATAACTAAGTGAGGTTGGGTGACCCCTCCAGGCTGTGCTTCCACAAGCAATATATGTATGTAAGAAGACATATATTTTCTTAAGAGAAAAAAGGACAATTAGCAGAACATCAAACTTAAAAAATACCTTAATTAAATTTATATAATAAAGTCAGCAATCTTGAACTTGGTTAGGGTACACTCCTAATTACTATAAACAAAAAATATAGGTTATAGCAATCTCCTGTGATGGTTTTGGGGCTAAAGACGCTCGTTTTTTTATTTATTTTTGAATCGCCTGGACGGTTGCTATAAAATCATTGAAACCATTTTCAACAAGTTATTTCTGATAGAGCATGATTGCAGTAAGTTTTCACAAGAGTTGTATACCCTTCAGCAAAAAATATTATAATACAATTTCTTGAGAAAACAGTTTTAAGGGTACAAAATTCTCTATGATTGAAGAGATATGAACAACGTACAAATTTTGAGGATTTAATATAGACTGATGACCAGAATACAGAGGATTAGCTCTTGAATAAACTTGGTTTCAGTGTTCCCAGATGCACTTAGGGTAAAAAAAAACTCTAGATAAAAAACGACAGAAACTTATTCACACACCCAATATATATATTGTAAGAAAAAATACTGGCATTATATCTATTATTTTCAAAAGGTCTCTAATTACCCCATGCTGTATTGTATTCCAGGTATCAGTGCCTCCATGTGATTTGTCAAAGCCCCAGGAAGGACTGTCACCAGTTCCTTGAGAAGTGCAAAGCAGTCTTGTCGTGTTTTAATTGAGCGCTCTTTCATTTGACTCTGAATTGCCTTCACTAAATGAGGAACCTGAAAAAGGCAATAGTTTACAAATAAATAACATTTGAAACTAAATTTTATGAAAAAAATATATTACAATACTAGTTGATACATAATGTACAACTAAAAATACATAAGATTGTAGTCCTAGTCTTGTAAAAACTTTTTACAGCTGACTAAGATGATACGAATTTGGAGTATCTATACACTCAGGAATATTGACATCAAAGGTATTCTCAATTACAGAATAGGATGCCATGAGGGTTACACAATATATTATGAGGATATTTTTAATTAGTTAACAATAATATTTTATAGATACCTGTTTTTGAAGTAGGCAGAGAGGAGAATCTTCATCTTCCATACAGTTAGGATCCAATGAGCCAACAGTACTACTGCGAGTTTGTTTCAACAAAGTAATATAGGCATGAAAAATATCACTCTTAACATTTTCTTCTCTTTCTGAAATATATCCACAACACATGAATAAAACAATTAAACTGAAATAATTGGAAAAGAAAAGAAAAGGAATCAGAAAATTACCTTTAAACCTTGCGATTAAAGCAGGGGACACGGCTCTATATAATTCAGGAACATATTCTGGTCTGGTAGCAATAATCGCTTCAAGGCATTTTGCTGAGGCTCTCCGGACCTATATTTGGACAAATGAATAAATTTAGGGCGATTTGAAATATACAGTAGGTTGTCAAACATTCACAGAAGAACTGTAACATACATGAATTTTTGAAAACCAAAAAGTGATATTAGGTAAATATATTTTTCTGTTCTTTTATTGAAAGCTAACAACCAATTTTCTTTCTATGCTAGGAACATTCAATATGTGAAAATTAAACATAGAAAATTGGTTAAATAAAATATACAAATATTTTTTGAAGAGAAAACTTCTTTAGTTTTGCACTTTTTTTTGTGGAGAGTGAATTAGTTAATCATTCAAAATAGTTTTTTTTTTTTTTTATGATTAAAGGCATAATTTAGAGAGTTGGACAGGTCTCATTGTAATAAATAACAAGTAGCTGATAAAATCAATAGCAGTGTGAGAAAACATAGATACAAAGAGAATACGAATATCATTAACCAGGAGATAATATCATATATCAAAGAATTCATATCAGAATTGAACATTAATAATAATAAAAAAAATAATTATTTGTCAATTGACCAAGTAGAAATATTGATCAGGTGCCTACTGACAAATAGAAAATTATTTATTATTATGAAGAATATAAACATAGAGCTAATATAAATATTAAAAGGAAACAAATAATGTTTTAATAAATATGAAATATGTCTGAATGTTTTTCTAATAGCCTATTACATACTTTTAATCATCAATTACCTTCCAAGACATATCATCATCGTCTGAGTAATCTTCATCACCGTCTTCACTTTCTTCTTCATCAAGATCCATACCTCCGCCAGAATTCTCTTCCTCATCATAGTTATAATTTGGATCATACGTAAGGTACTGTAAGCACAGTTCTCTGACCTAAAAGTTAAAAGCTTTTAAGAATAAGGGACATAATAGACAAACCATAATCAATAATTTACAAAATAAATTCAACATATATGACTAAATGTAATTGATCGGAAATGAATAGACAAACTAAACCACTCATAAATTAAATAGTTTATTTCAGAAAGATCAAAAGTCAAATATGTTATCCTTCCTTTTAGGTAGGACAAAAATTTGAAAAATTGGAAAAATAAATAACAAATTGTAACAGAATTTCAAGAACTTAATCATAGAACACAGCAAATTTTAAAATTTTCAAGCATATTACTTAAAACCTATTTCGAGTCTTGTGCCTTTTTAACATAAATCATTCAATTTTATCAGATAAGTAGCATAATGAACCAACAATAAAAAATAAATTCTTACATAATGTTCAATTTATTGTCTAATATTTTATATAATTGTTTACTCAATTAAAATTTTTTGTTCAAGAAAAAAAAAATCTTACAGTATTTATATGTGGGGTAATTTCTTTAGGACATTTATGAACAAAAGCTTGAGTAGCTTGCAGGCAGAATTCCCTTAACTCATCGTCTTCTCGAGAGCTATAACTAACTATGAGAGCCATCACTCTGTCAAGATGTTCCCCAAATCTGTGACCAGCCTGCCGACTGTCAAAAGAAAACATTAATCAATTCTTAAACTTACATAATTCATATTTATTTTCAGATATACACCCAAGTGAGAACTTTCACATTAGGTACACTCACCACTTCTTAATAGCCTTTAAGATAAAGAAAATGAAAACTTAATAATAGTTATTACATAAAAAAAAAAAAAAGTGGCACTACAGATTTCCACAATGGCATGAATACAAACTTCTGGTAAGTAGATAGTAAAATAGGGAGAAGATGTTACCAGGCTTGATTACTTACAAAGAAATATTTAGGAAATAAATATTAAATTTTGAAAAGTTTAAACTGAAAATTAAATTAAAAAGTTCATATATATATATTTTTTAAAACTTCAAGTGTAAACTTTAACAAAATCTAAACAATTTAAAAAATAAAAGAAGGAAAATGCAAACATACTGCAATCTCGAGACGCTAGTGCTTAAATAGCACTTTACAAAACCTCTTTTCGATTTGTTTCCAAAAACCAACGGAGGGATGAGATTTGAATAAACACTTAAGTAAAACATTTTATGAGAAAACTTGTACTTAATTTAATCTATTCATCAAGAAATAATGTTGAGATTTTTTTTCTTTAAATGGCATTTTAAATAAACAAAATAAAGTGTTATCGTGACAGTAGTTCAAAATATAAAGACTAATATCCAAGATTGTAAAATCAACAGATATGGATAAAACTGAAGCCAGTTCATAAGAACACCATTTATTCGATACTAAAATTAACCTTCCTTAATTAACATACAATTAATTAAAAACATCAATCACTGAAGAAGAGACTTTGCTATCGTACTTTTGTATTTATAAATCACACTGTCTGGCCATTTTAACATGATCTTAAAGACAATCACTGTAGTCAAAATTGGCCAATTTAAAAAAAAAGAAAAAAAAAAAAAAAAGCGAAATTTTGTCACTAATATAACATTTCAGATTCCAATAACTATTATTTGATAAGAGAATATTTTAAATTTTGTGTAAGCTTTGAAGCAATACAAATTTGAACTATCTATATTTAAAATAAGAAGCTTATTAGCTAATTACTGAGTACTAAAAGAAGGAAAAACAACATTAAGAAAATTTATAAACTTAAAATTAATAAGTTATTACCATATGGCAGCTATGCACTGTATATAGGTTCTGACTGTGGAAGAATTAGAATCCCTAGTAAGTCCATCAAGAAGCACTTCTATCAGTTTCTTATACAAATTTTGATTGCAAGACATAACCAAATGGCTCAATGCAACTATTGTCCTAAAATAATAAAAAACATTGTAATAATGAAGTAATAACTAAATAAAATATCCGAACTAAAATAATTGTGAAGTGAATGAAAAAAATATGAAATACCCTTATACATTCTGAGAAAATTTTTGCTGAATCATAAAAGTTCTCCCAAAAAAAAATGTGTGAATTAATAAAATTCTTCAAGACCTTTAGAAACTTATTTATAATTTCAATGATTAGAACTCACTAACAGCACTTCAAACCAATAATAATTAATCAAAACATCAGAGCATTGATTGATAAAGTTGATCAGGAGCTTAATTCAATCAGAAAATCATTTAAAACAAAATATGAGCATTCAATTACATAGAGAAATAATTTTGGTTTCTAAGACTAACAAAATATTGACATGATTAGTAGGAATTAAAAAACTTATTAAATATTAAGTCACGAAAATTGACAAACAATGCAATTAGGAAACCGATAAAAATAAGTGAATCAAATTTCATTATTTCAATTACAATGTTACAGAGATAGATTATAGATCAATAAAAGGCATTTATTGCAATCGATAAAACAAAACCAAATATTTCTGAAAATAGATAAATAACTCAACATCAATAGCCAAATATCAAGAACATTAACAGATTATAGCCAAATCATGTAACAACTATATTGACATTACATACATGTATCATACAATAGCAAACTAGAACACAAGACAAAATAAAAATTAACATATTCCAACAAAGGATTGTAGAGTTAACAAAAAATTAACAACTTAAAATTGCACTAGTTTTATCATAACAGTACAACTGATAAGAACCTTTTTCTAACAGCCTGTCTTGGGGATGAAAGTTGAGGTAACAAAGCATTCAATATTGTTGGGTGAAATGACACCAACAAACCCCCAAATCTCGAAAGTAAATCGGCCAAAATATCAAGAGCTTCTAGTTGCACTGAAACATCTTCTTGCTACAACAAAATAGGGTACCAGTTATCATTAATGAATATAAATTTTAAAGAACAATAAATACAATTTAAAAAGTTATAAAACCTTTTCAATTGCTGAGCTTAATTTTCCAGTGATCCGCTTGCAAACATTAGCTGCCAAACCAGTGGATGCTAATGGAAGCTCACTAATGACTGTTTTTAAGCCAATACTAGAAATATCGCGTAATTGCTCTTTATCTGATACCATGTTACTGCAAAGCGAGTCAACAATAGTTTCCACCTGGTACTCTTTCACTTTATTCACCAAAGGCCCAAGACTATAAGAAAACAGTTGTGAGATTCAAACACAGTCAAAATGACCAACCATTAAAAATGTACATACCATTTGACAGCAAGATTCTGTACTTCACCATTCTTATCTTCTAAAAGTTTTAGCAACATCCTCACAACTTTTCTTTCTGAATCATCGTCCAGTTTAATACTATCTTTCTGAAGCTCAGACATCAGATCATTAGTAGCCATAAACCGAAAATCCTTATCACTAGATGTCATCTAATAATAATAACATAAATTGTGTTAACTACATGGAGGAATACACAAAATAATAACCTAAAAATGTAAGATTAAGTAAACTTGTAGGGTAATGAAAAATATTAATTTAAAGATACCTTCTCCAGTAAATTTGCTATTTGATACGAAACGTTAGCCATTTTCGAAAACGTTTAATAACTCTTTAACAAGGAACACACTATACCGGCGACCCAAGATTAGACATGCAACAAAACCAGCAGGAATAATACCAACGCCATCTATATTTATGTATGAGGTGCTAATCCATTTTCTTCTTCATATTTTTAAATTTAAATTTATTTGAAAATTGCTTATCCTTTTGAAAACAAATATTGCATAGATCAAATATTTACGGCGTAGCTAAGCTATTTCTTGAAAAATTTTCCATTCACCACTCATGCTATAAATCTGTGTGAATTCTTGGTTTGCTCTGAAACTTGGCAAGTTTTTCCACGAAATTAATAAATTACATCCTCAATGGTAGCGATGCTTACATACTTTTACTTACTTACATACTTATAAAAGTTGGCAAATGCAAAAAAAAAAAAATGGGTACATCAGTAAATTCAACTATTTTTCATACATAATTATAGTGCTCATCAAATATATTTGTTTTTTAAGAAAGATTTTAACCAACGAAATTAAACATTATTATTATTTGGTATTGTATACTTTGGTCAAAATACAGACGATCTTTTTGTATGCCAAATGAAAATTTTTGTTGAGTTGGTGAAATTGATTTTTGATAACCACTAGGGGAAGGCTTTGTTTGTTTTTTATCTGTTCAACTAGTAACCTTACTACACATTACTTAACATTACTTTATTAATTTTGTGAATGAGAATTTATTGTTTACTTTTCCTTTTAATACTCCTTAAAAATTATTACAAAACACTTCGTGATTGATAATGGCTCCTTCCCGTTCTAGAAGTCGAACTAGAAGGTCAAGTGACTCTTCTCCAGATTCTAGAAAAAATAAGCATCGAGGGCATTCCAGATCCAAAAGTTCTTCAAGAAATCATGGTAGCAAAAAGGACGAATCCATAAACGATAGACTGAAGAAATTGGCTGAAAGTGGTTTCATAAAACCTTGGGATAAAGATGATGTTGAGAGGTTTAGGAATCAGGCGAAAAAAAAGAAACATATCGATCGAGATGAGGAATTCATGAATTATAGGAGAGAGGAAAGGGATAAGATAACACTATTTGGAGTGCCAGGAGTTTGGGGAAAGTCCCCTTTGCATTCTACAGAAGAGTAAGTACACTATAGTATATATAGATTTATCATTGTAGATGCTTAATTCAGTTTGAGCAAATGTTCAGAATACCTACTTCTGAGCCTCAGCTTGATTAATCTGTAATTATATCAGGTTCTTATTTGTTGTAGATGTTCAGCTAGCCAAAAATATATGAGTAATGACACCTTAAATTATAATTATAAATAATAATATTTGTATATCTTACTGATTGTCTAAAACAAACTGCCGTCACCTGTTCTTACAGTTATATATATATTTGTTAAGGATTTTATTAATTTACACCAAATGAATAATTGTTTTTACAATACTTTATTTTCAATCAACAGTCTCTTATCATATCTTAACTACACTTTACAAGTGTCACTCAAAGATCAAATTTATTATAATTCAGATGGAAACTTCTATCTAATGGTACTACTGCACCAATGTCACTTCACTTTCATGAGTGACACAAGATCTCATGATCTCTCCATAAGTAGAATTCTGAGAATCGCTTAGTGTGTTGGAAAGTAAATGGAAGTGATTTAACCTTAATAAGGCCCCTATCTTAACTGAAAATGGCCTGTTGGGAGTTTGTTCATACCTTTAGAGTGAGCGTTAATCCAAAGCACTGTATAATTAAAGCTAATCAATAAACAATTTTTTACTGAAAAGGAGGCGTAGAGAGTTTTGAGAAGTTGTAAATCGTGATCTAAATAAAGGGAGGTTATAATGCCAATGCATCATCTTGGCTATTGGAATCCCATTTATACCATAAATATGAGATTTTTGGCCCGATGGACTATGTGGAGTGATATTTATACAGTGGTACTCACACAACTTCAGAAAGTTGATGTGTGCAAACAATCCCAATGGTAATGCCCATCCCTTCCCACATTCATCTCTCGAATACGGTTTCTTTTTCTTGTAATTTGTTTTCTATTTGTTAATAGTAGAAATCACATTATGCTTTATTTTGTTATTCTTTTTTATGTTACTCTGAGGCTCTAAAACCCACAATGTTGTTCATATGGGACTTCTCCCAGGATAAATAAAGAATGTGTTATTATTATATATTACAACCCATTATTGAGTCTGGGCCATCTCATAAAAAATGATATTTTGCTACAGCTAGTTTTCTAGGTAGCTCTAGTGACTAATATTCCTGGCCTATTAAAGTTGAGAAATTTCAGAATATTTTGCAAATTTTGTTTGATATTTGATATTGTGTTTGAATATTTGTACCTAGCAGATTATTATTTTATAGTATTTATTATTACATACATCTTATCTATGACTTTAAAGTGTAAATATGAATAATATTTTATTTATTTTTAGTTCTGATGAAGATGTCAAAATGAAGGAGATGGAAGAAGAAAAATCTTCTGATACTGAACCAGAAAAGAAGGCAAAAAAGAAAAAGAAAAGCAAAGACAAAAAAAAGGTATATATTATTCTAAAATTTGTATGCACATTTTAAAAATTACCAATTTTTAATTAAATGATATGTAATAATTTTTGAAAACTCATAAGTGGATAGCCAGTTCTGTTTTCTCATAAACTCATAAATAGGCTTGCCTCTATGGAATATCTAATGCTTTTTTGTTATAATAAAAAAAAAAAAAAAAAAAAAAAAGGTGCGCACAACCCACAACTTTCACCTACCACTCTACTTTAAATAGAAATTATTTTCTGGAAATGCTGGATTATTATAAAATGTTTGAAGTGCATTTTAAACAGAGCTAAAGCTTAAAGCTTACAGATAACAAATCATTAAGACCATTAAAATTACAAAAAGTCTATTTATTATATCGACGATAGGCAATAAAAATCTAGTTACTCCATCTGCTTTTATAAACCACACAACTTCTGTCTTTGAGCCTTTCAGTTGACAGAATGACTAACTCCAATTTCAACATTTTTGAGTAATGTCATTTTAGTAATATTTCTTGTTGAAAGTTATTTCTATACAGACAATAAGTAAGTTGATTCCAGAGTAAGTGATTGCAGTGTTGAAATACGAAACTGTAAATAACGGTATAAATTTTGCCACTAGAAATATCACTAAAATTAATAATAAAGAATATTTAAATTGGGGTTAGTCATTCTATCAACCGTAAGGCTCATATATGCCTAGAGAAGTTTGAAAGTATATCTGAATATTTAACTTATAAATGATTATGGATCGTAGGACTATTACTTATTAAAGTGTTATTTTTCATTGTAAAGTTCAATAAAATGAAATTGGCTACTCCTTCGTAAACTCTCTCTTTGTGATCCTACCAGATCTCCTCCCTCTGCAGTGCCCCCAGTTTCATCAAATGACTTAAATTCTTATTTTATATCTGCTTCCTCTTCAACTCCTTCATTTCTCCCTTCTTACTTTCCTCCTGGAACATCTTTTAATGACGCCGATTTTTATTTTTCAGATATTTCTCCCACAGACCTCATATCCGCCGTGATGAAATCACACTCTAATTCTATTGGTCCAGATCGCATTCCCGTCAAATTAATTAAATTATGCCTCCCTGATATCCTTCCGGTACTCCTTTTCATCTACAATTTTTCCCTTCAAAATTCAGTATTCCCTTCCTTGTGGAAAAAAGCCACAGTCCGTCCTTTAAATAAAAGTTATAATCCGTCTTCCCTTGAAGATTTCCGGCCAATCTCAATCCTTTCTAACCTTTCCAAACCCCTGGAGAGAATTGTGCAATCCCCAGTTTCTACCTTCCTTGAACAGTCTAATCAACTTGACCTTTACCAATCTGGTTTCCGACCAGGTTATTCCATACAATCCGCCCTAATCAAAATCATTAATGATGTTCAGTCTGCCATTGATGACAAAAAACTAACTGTCCTTATACTCATTGACTTTTCCAAAGCCTTTGATTCCATCAACCATTCCATTCTCTTTTCCAAATTAAAATCATTAGCCTTTTCCCATAGTTCTATCCTATGGTTTCAATCATTCTTCTCCCAACGCTCACAAGCTGTCGCTATTCCTAATCAACCCTTGTCTTCCTATCTTACTTTGTCCGCAGGAGTGGCCCAGGGCTCTAGCATATCTCCCCTCCTTTTTAGTTCTTATATCAATGACATCCATAATTCAATCCTTCACTGCTCCCATCACCTTTACGCCGATGACTCCCAAATCTACTTTTCCTTCCATCCCTCAGAGTTGCATGAAGCGTTTGCCAAAATTCAAGAAGACTTGAATCGGATCAGTGCCTGGGCAAACTTAAATGAGTTAAGGTTAAACGCTGCAAAAACTCAAGCCATTGTCATTGGTTCCAAACCCCTTCTCAGAGCCAATACCAACATACCTATACTGTACCTAAATGACCATCCCATTACCTTCACCTCCTCAGTAAAAAACCTAGGCATTTTCATAGACCAAACCCTATCCTGGAAACACCATATTGCTCACATTACCCGACAGTCAATTGGTACCTTGAAACTATTCCATCGCTTCCACCATCTCCACACGTAGACTCCTAGTAACTTCCCTCATCTTCCCCCACCTTGATTACGGCTGCGTGGTGTACGGTGGCCTCTCGGCAGAACTCGGGGAAAGACTGAAAAGAATTATGAATGCCTTCGTAAGATTTGTCACAGGGGCCCTGAGGTATTCCCGTGTTTCGCACCACTATGCTGAATTAGGATGGCTCTTCCCTTCCTTCCGAAGACAATATTTCCTAGGCACATTCCTTTACCAAATAATCAATAATCATCGTCCGTCCTACGCATACAATCTCCTACAATTCAAATCATCTATCCACACCCTCTCCACAAGATCTCGTCCTTCTGACCTTTACACTCCTTTCCACAGATCTGCATCATTTAAACATTCCTTCGTTGTCCGTTCCACTGCATTCTGGAATTCCATCCCACTAAAAATCCGCCATGCATCATCCTTATCCACCCTTAAAACCCTCTTATTCCAATTCCTCTTCACAATCCAATCAGACGCTGGTTAAATACATTCTATGTTATAAGGATTTAATTTTCTTTAGACATTTTTTTTTTCTCTTATTTTTTATTGTTTTGTTCTGTGTTGAACATGAATTTTCATCACCACTCACTAAGCATTGTGAGTAGATAAAATTTGTTTATCTTAAGTTCTAATTTGTTATTCATGGAATGTATTTCAGTGATATATATTTTATTTCTAATTATCTTCAACATACTTCTCGCTATGTGTATATATATACTTTATTTTATTTTCTCTTCTCCTAATCTTTACGCATAATCACTTAAATATCTTAGGGAACATATGTATATCATTATTTGTTTTTTTATATATTTTTTTTATTTTAGTTTTTACAATTTCTTTCCCTACATATTAACAGTTATTATTATTTTTTTTTAATTTTTATATTCCATCACTACAATGCTTTACCTATAAAATAGATTTTACTTTCCTTTCTAATTTCATTCAGTGATTATTATGCTATTATTTTAGCTCCAATATTGTAGTACTGAACCCCTATTACCCAACTGTCCTCGTTAATTTATCCTAAGAGCTTAATTAATACTTAATGTATTACATGTATTTTGTCATTATTCATTGTAATAAGTCTTTTGACCAGATTTGTAGTTAATATATATGAACAATACTGTTATTCTAAAGGGACCTACTCCCAGAATAAAGATGATTTTTCTATTTCTATTTCTAAAATGAAATTATGAGATTTTCATTGCCTGCCATGGATAGGTCAAAAGTTGTTATACTAATTGTAAGTTGATAATGTTGGGATTTAACAAAGTGAAAATTCAACAAATTATTCACTAATTTAATTTTCTCAAAGTCGTATATGAGCATTGGGTATTTAAGCCTTGTAAAGTGAAATCAATGGAGATAAGGCCTAAATGATATTAAAGACCTCTTAATTATACAATGATACACCAAGATTAATCAAAATCGTTAGAGCCGTTTTTGAGAAAATTGTAAAAATGTGTTTCACCGTTGATATAAAGTGGTACTTTCAGTTAGCCGATTTTAAGGAAAATGTTGCTGCCACATCTAAGGCATATACCTATGTTAGATAGGTAATATCAGTTTTGTACAACTTTTCGATTTTAAGCTAGACTGTTCACAGACACACAGACCATTTTGCGGGACGGTTATTTCGACTCAGGGGACCTCAAAACGTGTATTTCCATTGAAAACTCAAATTCAAAAATTTTCATGATCACAATACTTACCCTTACTATGTATTACATATCTAGGTAAGTGAAAGTAAAAATGCCTGCTCTACAAGTGCGTGATTTCAAATAGCTAGTGAAGCTAATTATATCACGATATTTAAATCACATATTAAGGTGTCTTCTAGCACCATGGTTGTTTTCTAAACAGAACAATGCCATTAATGTTTTGATAAATTTTATCAGTTCCAAGCTGATGATTTTTTCCCACGCTTTTAAAGCATCCCCTTAAGTCCCTCCAAATAAAGTACCTTTAAGGAAAGAGTTAAAAAAATTTAATGTAAATTAAGTTAGTGTTGGTAAAGTGCCTTTTAGCCTCAATTGTTCTGTGTTTGTTGATTTTTGTAGTTAATTTATTTTAACTGTATTTTAGAAAATCAAGGATTTGTGTTCCGATTTTCGTAGTATGACCTAACACTCAATTAATGCCACTTATTGAGTTTTTGCTCCTTTATATTAAGTTGTTATTCTTATTTTAATATTTTTTATTAATGATAACTAATATTTTAGAAACATGACAAAGAAAAAAAGAAAAAGAAGAAAAGTAAGCATAAGAAGAAAAAACATAAGAAGCATTCAAGTGGAAGTGAATCAAGTGACTCCGAAGAAGAATGGATTGAAAAGAATGGTACATAATTTCTTTTGTCCTCATTTGTAGCTGTATAGAAAATTTATGGCTTTCAATCAAAATATTCTTTTGCTATAATTCTCTTTTATTCATTTTTTTCCTAAACTTTAAGGTTATCTGGCAGAATTGTTTTATAATAACTGATCAATCAGTATTTCCATAGGTTTGTTACAAATGGAAAACATTTTTAGAAAATTAACAATTAATATACAAATTTGTATCTTCAGGTGAGGAGGCAACAATGACAGAGGAAGTAATAGGACCAGTAATCAAGAGTCATGCAACATTATCCCAAAAAGATTTTGGCAAAGCTCTACTTCCTGGTGAAGGAGCAGCAATGGCCGCTTATGTTGCTGAAGGAAAGAGAATCCCTAGGAGAGGTGAAATCGGTTTAACATCGGATCAGATTGCATCCTATGAGTCTGTTGGTTATGTGATGAGCGGTAGCAGGTATTTATATTCCACCATTGATATTTTATAGTTATGTTGATTTTTTTTTTTTTATTCGATGACTTATGTGTTTCTTGAAGTCTTTAACAAATTCTTGCATGGTCGATACTTTGAAAGTATCTAATTTAAGACAATCGATAAATAAATGCCAGATGTAGGAAGCTATATGAGGAATTCTCAAAGTTTATGACCTTCTCCAGTTCACATGGAAAAGTGCCATTGTTGGTTGTACTTCTGTCGCTTTGTTTCTTTATGGCAGAATATGAAGCCATGAAAGTTATTTGTGAACTATTCGTACATGATTTGAGGAATCATTTGATAAACATTAAAAACAAGAGTAAGAGAAAAGTGTGTGTTCGAGACTGGGTAAAGAGGTAATTTACTCGGTACTGCCAATAGTATTTGCAGAGATTTATCATTGGAACATCAATCACAACAGCTACAGGAACTTTTTTAGGATGGAACCAAAGCTAAATAAAGTAACACCAATGATCCAAAAACAAGAAACCAATATGAGAAGACTGATAAAGAATATCGGAACTTGCCCGATATTGAAAAAACCCTACATATGACTAACCTTAGGTAAGAATACGACTGAAGTGGTTGTGCTCACTCCAATCAAATAGAGATGTCACTGTTCTTCCCTTCAAGGTCGTACACTACCACGCCTCTCACTACCTTTGGATTACACGTGGTAGTGATCATGACTGACTGACCGGTGCTGCAACAACGGTTCGAGAACAGCTGATTTTTATAGTATTAATAATATACCTTATAACCTTATTATTGCCTGGCTGACCACAACAGGGTATCTGACTCTTTAGATATCTTTGACATCAAAGGGCTTGGTGCAACATGTTCATGTTAGATGGTTAATTAAAGCACTAATGGATTTATTTTTTAAAAAATGTCTAGTTTCATTGAAGTGTCCTCTAATATGCACAGAAACCTCAGCTGGCTCCCTTGACTCTGACCAGAATAATTGCCAATGGCATTTAGATTATGTTCAATTAAAATTTACAATTATTCCAGACAACTTACACTATGCAATTAATTATCTCACACCTTGGAAATCGTCTAAAATTTAAGATTAAAAAGAAAAAAAAATTAAACAGAAACAGGATCAAAACACTGATTACTTCTAACATATTACAAGGATGTATTTCGTATTTCTAGAGAATAATGTAAATTATTGATATTCCATTGACCAATAGCAACAGCAAATTTATAAGACTTCTAAAGGAAAAATTGTAATAAAAATAGTACCAAAAGAAAAAAAAAAAATAGAATGTCTCCAACTGATTATATCTGGCTGCAACTAAACTTCATGGATATCTCAGATCCATCAATCAGGAAAGTTGATCACACCTAAGTTAGATCTAATGGATTAAAAGGAATCGTTTTTGGTTTTTGTCTTTTTAAAAATACATTTTGACTTATTCTCTAACGATAAATGAGGTAATTAATTTCAAAAACCAGCTGAATTCACTCTTAAAAATTTTATAAGAGACTCTAAAAACATATAATGTAATGGCCTATTTGACCTTCATAAAACAATGAGTTTTAATCCCTTTTTATACTGGATTGAAATGTTTTTAGTCAATGTGGATTAGCTAGGCAATGTTGAGTATTAAAAATTTTATTGAAGAATGGAATAAAATTTGAGAAATTTTAAATGTTTATGATCTTTTTAGCTAATATTGAAATATACTCTTACAGCAGTATTCTCAGTTCATATTTATTAATAGCTCTTCTACTAAATATTGTCAATTAATTTTAAAAAATCAGCTTCACAAAGCATGAAATATCTTCTAAATTACTTATTAGGTTGAGATTATTATAAATATTTTTGTTAAATTATCAGTATTGGTGCTACAGACTGAATGACTCAGTTGTTTTATTTTATTTGTCACCTTTGCTTCCAATTCTTGATGGCACCATCTTGAAAATCTATAAATCTTTTATTAATTTTCAGGCATCGTCGTATGGAAGCTGTCAGATTGCGTAAAGAAAACCAGATTTATTCTGCTGATGAGAAACGAGCTCTGGCTATGTTTAGCAAAGAAGAGAGGCAGAAAAGAGAGAACAAGATCTTGACACAATTCAAAGATATGATCTCCAGCAAATTATCTGGAGAAAAGAACAGTTGATTTTACATAATATTTTGTAGATTTTCTTTTTCTTCCAAATAATAATTAGCATTTAATTAAATCATTTATTTTTATCTGTATTCATTTGTACATAAATGTAAATAGTCAAAGATGTAAATGTTAGAAAGAATGTATGATTTGTAAAGTTTATGAATTCACATTAAATATGTAAATATAATTATCATAGAATTGTTGTTTCTTGTTTTTTTGCACAGTGAATAAAGGGAAAAATAAGACTTTAGTAACATGTATGTTAGCTTCTCCTTACCTTTTGCCTATAGATCTAATTCAATTAATTATCCCTCTCAATTTGTAGATAATTCTTTATTAATTTGTACATAGAACATAATTATTGAGAAAAGGTCAACACGAAAAACTAGAATGTATAATGTTATTCAGATTTAGTTTTTATAAATTTTATTAAGTAGCACAATCCTTACTCAAATATATTATAGATTTATTTTCAAATCTCTCTTTGTATATAAAGCTCAGAGACTGGAGTTGTGTGGTTCAAATAGACTGATAGAGTTATGAGGTTTTTATTGTCTACCATCGATATATTAAATAGGGTTTGTATTATTTTAATGGTTTAAAGTTTTTACAGGTTAGCTCATATGTTTAACTCTTTAAAATGAACTTCAAAAACCTTGTAATAGCCCATCTTTGTCAGAAAACATAGTGGAGTGGTAAGCACCAGTGGATCCAGGATTTAATTTTGGAGAGGGGGCTTCAGCCCGATAGGTTTTTTTTTTCCATATATATAACAATAATAACTTTGGTAAAAAAAAAAAAAAAAAAACTAATTGCCTATACAAAATAGTGTTTTAGTGATACTTGAAGTCCTATTAAATGTAATTACATGAACAATAATACTTTAAGAGATAATTTTTTAATACTTTTTTCCATAAAAAAGGGTTACATTTTACCATTTTTGAGGAGGGCTTCAGCCTTAAAGCCCTCCTGTAGATCCGCCTGTGATGGTACATGAAAGTTGTGTGATATACACAACAAATTTTTTTTTTCATTTCCACTCCAAGCTGTCCAGAACATAAAAAAAAGTTGATTGACTTAAACAACTTTTGTAAGTACATTGTTTGATCTTTTGTTAGTTAAAAACAATTTTAGACATAAATATTGTCTAATTGGCTAGATTGATCTAAAGAACAATCTTACCACCATTTTGGAATGTTTCCAAATTAGAGCATTATAGAATTTAATTTTTTTTTTTCATGACGAAATAAGTAACAATTATACATGTATGTTTGTATGTATATATATATATATATAATTTAATATTTAAGGCATGCTGGGATTCAGAATTGCATTTCATTGAATTGCATTGCATTAATTTTTGCCTCATAAATTTTTAGTCATTTTCCATGCAATTCTGAATCCCAGTATGCCTTAAATATTAAATTTTAGAGTGTGTTTTATGTTGAAACATCATTGAATCCCTTCTCTCCCCGATTTGAATTATGTTTCTAATGAAATAGGTATTTTTCTTATACATTCAATAAAAAGACTTCTTTGGTGTCTGTTTTGGGAATAATTAATATATTTGAGATTATATTATTGAAAATACAAAAAATTACTATCAGGACTTTAAAAAAATTACATAATAATCTAGCCATAAAAACAGCATCAAGAGTTTTATATTGTCAGTTTATCCAATAAAATATATGAGTTATTATATGAAGACTAATTACAATGTTTTTTGTTTTACTTTATTTATCTTACAGTTTTCGTTTATGAAATGGAATATTTTGGGTCAGTGACGTTCCTAGGGTGGTGAAACTTACCAAGAGAGCCTCACTACTATGACCTTTTTTTTAATTTTTATAATTATAGTTATAGTTCTTTTAAATCAGACTAAGAGGTTGTCACATATTTTTTTATTTTTGTATTTTAAGGTGTCTCAAAAATTAACTAGAATACTTTGGGCTGCCCTAGGCCTATCTAGAGGGACAAAAGTCAATACCGAAAATGAATTGAGTTGATACAGTTAGAAAAAGAAGAGCTATTAAAAAAACAATATGAGTGAACATTGAGAAATATGACCCATCACTTAGCCAAAATCAAGTAGTAAAAATTCCACTACTCTTTATAAAGATATTTAAATTAATTGTGGGTTGATGGTTGACTGTAGTGAATAATTGAAGAGAAGGATGGTTGGGGTGATCGGTCAAAATAAAAAATAGTAAAAATATTTTTACTATCGACAGTTTTTAGTCTATACTTTTCACTCTTAATTTTAATTCTTTATTATTCAATGTTTATGATTTCTCATTCCTATTGTTATCTATTTTTTTCTTATTCCTGACGAAGGCCTGAACTTCAGGCCGAAACGTCAGCAAATATAAAAATAAATATAATTATTTATTTTTACTATTTTTTATTTTGACTGACCATCCAAACCATCCCTCTCTTCAAATATTTAAATTAAGATTTTTTTTTGAAAATATTAATTTGAGTAATGAAGGTAACCTTTTTAAAATGTTTGAACTGTATTCATAAAAATAATAATGTATAAAATAATATTTTTGAAATGAAGATCTTACATTTTAGAACTTTATAATACATATATTTTCTATTTGTACTACTCATGTATTTTTCATATTTAACATATATATCATATATAGTTTTCATTTCATTTGTGAAACGTATCTAAATTAAGTGACCTATCTATTTAATAGGACCAAAAATTAATTACTAGAACAGAAAAGGAATAATGTTATCTTTTCTATGGATATTTACTAAACAAACTAAACCTTCTAAATGTTCGAGAAAAAACTTTGCAGTGATAATGACACATTAGGTGAAAGCGACTTGGGCATATTATAAGATTTGTGTTTATAATTTTTTATTTGTATATTTAGTTTTAAATTTATTTCTTGGTTATAAGAAATATTTGCAGTATATATATGCAATTATTTATTTATTAACCTAATTTATAATTTTTTTTTCAAATAGTAATTGTTTTTGTCTGAAGTAGAATAAGTTTTAAATTCATCATTTAATTAAAAATATAAACACTTAATAAATTAAAATTATCTTATTCTTTTTAGGTATAAATTATTTTTAACTATACAAAGATATTAATTTACGTTGACTTTTATCCTGCTAGAATTGTAAAGATTTGTGATTATAATTTTTTATTTGCATATTTAGTTTTAACGATTTGATTTATTAATTTATTTCTTGGTTATAAGAAATATTTGCAATATATATATGTATATATATATGCAATTACTTATTTATTAACCTAATTTATAATTTTTTTTTGCAAATAGTAATTGTTTTTGTCTGAAGTAGAATATGTTTTAAATTTATCATTTAATTAAAAATATAAACACTTAATAAATTAAAATTATCTTATTCTAATTAGATGCAAATTATTTTTAACTATACAAAGATATTAACTAATTTACATTGACTTTTGTCCTGCTAGAATTGTAAAGACAGGCCTATGTGTGCCCTGACCCCTAAATGATCTAAGTACACCACTGTTGCTGGCCATTCTTCCTACTTGGATTTTTGTGACATAATTATAACTGCTCTACAGATTCAATCAGTTGGTTGATAGATTGCAAAGCAGAAGCAGCAAGCATTGCTTCAGGTGTTCCTTCAGGTTCAAGACTTAAAATTTGGTGGCATTCCTTTAAGATATCAACTACTGAATGGATCCTCTCTTTTAAGGCATCCTTATTGAATTCTCCATGTTGATAACGACTTTTGGTGTACAGTAAGCATCCAATGTGGTATTCAAATAGTGTTAAACCTAAAGCAAGTATTGATGTGAGTTTTAATAAACTCTATTGATGAAATATTTTTTAAAAAATAAGTATTAAATAATACCTCTTATCCTTGTAAGTCCTGGCTCAACTATATTTAAAATATCAAGAAGGTCCTTACAGAATTTTGACTTTCGTTCAAGAAGTAAATCTGGCAACATATCTAAAGAATATCCTTCTGTGTGGCCATACATTTGGCTTAGGCTGTGCCATAAAAGAACATTTGAACCATTTCTCGGATGCAGAACACTTTTGTATTTTCTCAATAACTGTAAACATTGTCTTATTCAACAAGGTATTTTTAAAAAGTTTCTTAATATAAATAAATATATTAAAGCTCATACTTTTTCGGTAGCCTCAAGTTTTTCTCCATCCATTTCCATTTGTTCAAGTTCTGCCATGTCCTCTTGAATTGCAAGATAAATTCTCTGGACACCATTTCCTGTTATTCCATTATCACAGTGACTGCATTTCCAAGGTGCATTGTCATCTACAAAATAAAAAATTAATCTGATGGCTGTGGATAGAATAAACTACAGATTAAGATAGAGAAAATATTAAATTCACCTAAAGGCTGTGTAGATGTGATAAAGCCATTGTCACATTTTGTGCATTTAAATGTTCCAATATGTGTCCCCATTTCAGTAGGATCAGAACAGCGAGCACAGGTACAGTCAAAGTATTTGCATTCCCTCAGTCTTGCTCTTCTAACAATTGTTGGCTGGAGGCTGCTTGTATATGACGAAAACAATTCACAACCACTTTTTGTGTCGACAGTTGTTCGTAACTGTAATCTAAAAAATGGTTCCAAAAAAATGTCTTTTAATTAAATTTTCTATGATTTTCAGATTAAATAAAATAAAAATTATTGCATTTTGATTAATTTAATTTTAATTTAAGAATCTTTTGAGAGCTAACATTATCAAAGGGTTTTTTAAACCTTCTGTACGAATTCTTAGAAAGGCTAATGAGTTTGAACTGTTGAAAAGTATTTGTAATGAAATCTAAAATAATCTAGTTAATTGATGGAACTAACTAGCATCTGTTACTTCAGCAAGTTTTACTACTAATTCAGTACTTTATGTAATATTTTTAAAATGTTCTGTATGAATTTATATTATTTATTAAATTATATGAAGATGATGTATTGGTCTGCATTAGGGATTCCATATGCATACCTATAATTTTTGTCTAGAAAAACAGAATGGGTTGTATTAGCAATGCAGTTATGGTTGAGAAGAGCCATTCGTGGATATAAACCTCTAATAGAGATTCCGAGTTTTGTAATCACTTCAAAACAGTTTACTTCCAAAATTCCACATATCTTTTGTATTTTATCTTCATTAAATCTATTAAAAAAAAAATTAAAAAACTTCACAATAATATTCACTTTTAAAGATCATAATAAATAATAAAAAAAAAATAGCTACCGATCTTTTAACTTGCAAGCCTCAACAAGAAAGTTAACAACATTCACTTGTTCAGCTGCCCATTCTATCTTTTTCCTTCTTTCCTCAGTATGAGCCTCCATATTGCTGACTTCTTTTTCCCATTGCTCATTTTGTTTTTCAGATACAATAAGTGTTCTAAGTGGTGTTATGCATTCTAACTGAGCACTTATGTCAGCTATAAACACAGTTTCTTATTTAAAGCTTTTTGTAAATTAACTAAGCTTGTATATAGGGAACAGCAAGAGTTGTGAGTTGACCATTGGTGAGATACTAAATATTTTAATATTTAAAGAGAAGGAAATTTACAGGTGAAAGTAAAAATAAATACCATTATTTATTTTTACTGATCACCCCAACCATCATTCTCTTCAATTATTCAGTAAAATCAACTATCAACCCACAATTTTAATATTTAATTGGTGATTAACAGTGAGTATGGTTAGATGCTTTATAATTTGTGTGATTAAAAAAAAAAAAGAAGAACGAAATGGACCCATGATAATTGGGAATGTGTCATGTAACAAGATTCGACCAGCTACTGGGAAGCTTACAACAAATAAGCCTAAGCTTAAAACTTCACTGAGCTATGTAATTAACAATAAAATTTAGCTTCTTACTAATTTAATACTGATTTACTAATCTTGAAATTATCACAATAAATTAATTCTGCTATGAATATCAACAGGTTCTATGTAATAAATACGATTTAAAATAAAATGGAGTATTAAACCATTTATTTAAGCATTACTTGATATACATTAATTTTTAAATATATGAATGTATGAGTCACCACTTATTATATTTTATGCCCCTCGGCACAAAGGAAATCAAAATTTATCCAAATCTGACTTGCTTTCATACCAGTCTAATAAAACTTTATCACCCTCCAATGTATTCTCTTTACTACTATACTTTACTACAGTACACTCTACCACTACTCCTTCAGTCAGAAGAGCTGATAGAGCTACAGATATAACATTGACTGTAAAGGAGTAGGTTTCATTTATCATCACATATCTTCAGATTTAAAAATGAGGTGTTTTCAAAGCTAAGGTTGTTCTTGACTGATTAATTTAGTTTGTATAAATGAGATAACAGAAAAACAAATTGATTTATATACGTTAATAATTCAGGTATTAATAAATAATTTTAAAATGAAAAAAATTATTATGAAGAACAAAATAGAATTTTCAGGTTTCACACTGACTGCAATTTTATAAAAATTTAATGTTGTTGTTAAATAGAGTTCAATGCACAGAATATTAATAGCTCCATAATTAGTATTACTTTTTTATTTTAAATAACTTAGAGATGAATTATTTTCGACTATCTGAAGGTGCATCTTGAATGATAAATATACAGGGATATCAATCACCTTTATATTGTTTGTGGAAATGCTTTGACCAGGGCTTGTGGTTCATCATAGTTAAATTAAATCAGAAATACGAGTTATATAAAATAAATATATCTTGTATATATATATATATATATATATATATATATATATATATATATATATATATATATATATATATACATATATTCTATATATACTGCCCATGTATATTTGGGTAATTTAATTTATATTAGTTGTTATGTTGACTCACAAGATTTGGCTGAAAAGTTAGCAAACAATAAAAAAAAAAAAAAAAAAATACTGGTATTTCTAATCATTAGTTTTAAATAATATTTTTATTTTTATATAGTTCTAATAACTGGGTGACAAATAATTAAACATAAAGATTATATTTGCATGCAGGTATATTTATTTTACATAACAATCAATTAAAATATACAGGTACATATTTTATGAGATGTAAATAAATTCTTAAGTATTATTATTGCCTCCAGAAGTAAACTTATTTTTTAAAGTACTATTTGGAATATCCACAATTGTTTATTTATAGACACAAGGTTTATTGTTTATTGTGTGTGATATTTGACAATATGATCTCCTATGTCTATAAGAAAAAAGTTTGTTAGTATAAAATAAATAATACTGAACTTTGTTTGATTAATCACACACTATTAGGGGTAAGGGATAAATAATGTTCAGAAGAATATGGAAGCAAATTACCTTCTTCATTTAATTTAACTCCTTTCTGTGAGAATACTTCACATTCATAATTTTTATGCCATGGTTCTTGACTACATTCAGGAGAACAAATTGGCCATCTGTTTGATATAGCAAGTATTGAAAGCTAGTATCTCAACTGAGCTTTAGAATATACAAAAAGTAAAAGATTGAACAAAAGAACATACTAAATTTAGTTGAAAAATTTTTTATCTTTAAATTATTTACTATGTCTAAATTTAAAACAAAATTATTATTATCCAGTAATATCTTACTTGCATGTGTTACACAATTTTAATTCTTCGAGAGGCAAATAACAACCTAAACAAATTAAAGGGCTACCAGATTTTGGTCCAATTGAGAAAATTTCCTCTTGAAATATTTCTTCACCTGCCCTAAGGTCACGCCCAGCTACAACATACCTATTAAGATAATCATAAAATATATAATATATAAAATTAAAATGTTATTAATAAATTTGTATATAACAATAAACGGCATAACCTTCCTAATTTATTTTCACTGCTATTTTTTATAATGTATGTTGGATGAACAGTTGCCATTTCTTTCTAAAGTTATACAATTTTTTTTTTCCTACAGATAATTGGCTTAATTCCCTACACTATTGTGCAGCAGAACTGTTGGACTATTTATAAAAACTAAAGTTGGCTTGGTTATCAGATTGGGAACTATATTTGAACTAAAAGCACCTATTTCAGAATGAAAAGTAAACTTTGAAAGTGAAACTTTTAAACCAAATTATTATTATTATTACAAATGTAATGTTCTATATTTAAAAAATATGTATTAAAAAAAACATTTTAAAATATATTATTTATCATAAAGATATTTAATTTGATTATTTAACATCGATTCTCATATTAGAGATCTTATTTTCTAACAGATTTTAAATATTGTAAATTACTTTCATGTTCTAAGAGGGAAACAACTGTTAGTTAATGTTAATTATCAACTAAATTCACTTTCCTAATTTAATTGTTTTCAATTGATTTAATAATATTAGTACACATTTATTTATTTGATCTTTATTAATCATAATTTTTAACATGTGAACGCGATTTTATTTAAGAATATAATAATAATGAACATTTCAATGCTGAATAAATTTTTTTCTCAATTTTACCTATGATTAATAGGCTTATAAATTGCATCTATTAAACATATGACAGCTTGTCTTTGAAATATCATTTCATGTATATTATTGTTAATTTTTAAGTGCTGTAATATTTTACATGATTTAATTGCTGTCCATTTATTATGTATATCATTCAAGGTTGTTTATAGTGTAAATACTAAATTATTTAATAGTTGTAGTGTTTTATGTTTTTCACTTTTAACTGTGAAAATGATAGGTAATTTATTGTTTTTTTACTATTATTAAAAATATTAAGTTGAATATATACAAATAATAAAGATAAAGATAATTCAAATATTACCATAAACAACTAGGTTTAAATACATTGTGATAGAAAATGTATAATTGAATAATGGCTGCCAAGATCATTTAATGAAAAGCAACTTAGTATAAAACTTAATAAAATCTAGTTTTATTAAAACTATTGTTGACAGAAGTGTAAATCTTCATTCTATTTGTTTTAAAATTGATAATAATAAATGAGATGAAATAGAGAAAAAATATAATGTATAAATATCTTATTACTTCAATATACCACAGTATATATTACCTTTAATATAACAGCTGTCAAAATGGTTATTTTTTATATTGAATAATGTAATAAAATTAGTTGTACAGAATGTTTATTAGAGAAATAAATATAACTTTACTCGTATTAGGAGCTAATGTTGTATAAGGGGACAATCTATAGTTTTTTAATGTGATCTTCTTAGGATGAGCCGAGCATGCAGCCAACAACAAAAAGTATTGAGGAAGAAGTTTGTCAAGAAAGACCGATAACCATCGTATGTTCTGTGCCATGGCCGGGGAAGGTAGTTTTTATTTTTTATTGTAAAACATAAATTTATGAGTGATTCCATTTTTCTAACAACTGAATACTGTTGTATTTATTTTATCTCTCAGTTAAAAAAAATAATTAGATAATAAATTTCAATTAACTTATTTAACATTATAAATGGATTTCTGGTTATCATTTTATACTTCAGATAGAAATTTAACATTGAAAGGATTCTTGTTATGATCATTGTAACATTAATTGTACAATCAGTACTTGTTCATTTCTTGTTTGAAATGTTTATTTCAAGTCATCATCCCAACCCAATGTCTTGCATATTTTGATATAAGTTCTTCTAACATTACCTAAATCAATTTTTTATGAAAATGAGTTAGCTAGCTGGACTCGTTTCTTCATCCCCGTACGAATGATAACCAAGCATCTGTCAAATATAGTTTGAAATATATTATAAATATTGTAATAGTGAATTGATGGTTGTCTGTAGTGAATAATAGAAGAGAAGTTGTTTGGCGTGTTCCTTTTTTTTTTTTTTGTGTTACCTTTTTTTCTTTACTTTCTTTTGCTTATCCCTGCGCTTATTTTGTGTATATTGATATATTTAATCATTACATCTTATTTTCATAATTTTAAGTATTTATTTCTCTTCTGTGTTATTCTCAATATGTTTTGACAGATTTTATAGTATCTTAATATTTCTATTTAAATCCATTATTTTCTTTATATAACTTCATATTCCTTTTCTCTGTTCTACAATTTATTCTTTATCTATCCCACTTCTTTTTAACATTTTAAAATCATTTTTTTCAGTTTTTATTTCATAATACTCCATTACATTTCTCTGTTAATTAATTTATTTTATCCCTTTTGTTACCTAATTTCACTATATTTATTTCATTATTCCCCATCTTAGTTTTTTTAAACAAGTTTATTTCATTAGTCCCCAACTTTGTTGCCGTTATTATTTATTTGATAAGTTTCTGTTGCTGTTATTAGTTTCTCTCTTATACTGTTATTATTAATTTCTTATGTTCCTCTCTGTTACTGTTTTTTTCTTCATATGTTGGTTACATTATTAATATGTATATATTTTCATAAGTTAATAGTTACTCATATTGTTATCTGTTATTTTCTTGGCCCTGATGAAGGCTTGAACTTTGGGCCGAAATGTTGGCAAATATAAAAATAAATATCAATTATTTATTTTTTATTTTATTTTATTTCTTTTACTTAACACCGCAACCAACTTCTCTTCTATAAATATTGTAGGTTTATTCGAAAATTCATTAAGTAACATTTGATAAAATTAAATCACTATGTATTTTGATGAATTTTCCCTCTGTCAAACTGAAGTATTCAGTGCTTAGAGAAGCTATATGTAGTATATAAAAGAGTTTTGATACATTCACTATGGTTTTTTTAATGGATAAATAAAGTCAAAATAAACAACAACAAAAAAATAAATAGTTTAGCTCTATCAAAAATGTACATAGTGACTTTTTGCAATAATATGATGATATGACATGAAAGTCATTAGAAATTAGGCACTTTTTAAAAAATATTTTGTGAAGTTGTTAGAAGCGAGTTAGGTAGTGTTAGAATTTATATAATGATATTACATTATAAGTTCAACAAAAATTTAGATATAATTTCATGTTAAATGAAAAGTTATTATTTTTGTATTTTATAAATATCTACTACTGATAATTACAAAAATATTTTAAAGGAATGTACTTTTTACACAATGATATACACCATTACCTATTAATTCCATAAATTTAATATATACAGTGGTCAATATGAATTTTTATACAAGGATAGGAAGTAAAAAAGTAATAAAAACAATTATTTCATGAGTTTTTTATTCAAACAAATAAATATAACTAAAATACCACTCTTACCATTCACTATAGAAATAATTAAGAACAATTAGGAAAACAAGTTGAATCAGATACGATAATATTAAAACAATATGGATTTAATGCCAGAGTGACCTCCGTCAAATTTAATGAGTGAAAGAAAAAAAAAAAAAAAAAAAAAAAAAAAAAAATATATATATATATATATATATATATTTTAACATAATTATTTAATTGGGAATAAGGTCACTTAATAATTATTCAATAAACTACTAAATGTTCATTGCTTCTGTGTTTATTCGACGTTTCAATTTTTTTATAAGTTAACAATGGAATCCTCTTTTAAGTTTTAAAATAGAGCCTTGATACCGCAGACCAGGGACACACCGACAGTCTTAGCACCGTCCACCAGCACAGATATTAAATTATTCATTTTTTTTTTTTTTTTACATACTTTCCGTCACAATGTGAGCATTTTAATTCATAAATAACATTTGCTAGTTTTTCTCAGCTGGTCCGATCTTTGAGTTGAGAGAAGAGGGATTTTATAAGGCTAACAATATGCAATACTGACATTGTGGCCCTGAAAAATTCTTTTTATTTCAAATGATAATGGTTTTATGAATTCCACCGAAAAATATTTGTTTGGATTGTTCTGCTTATTCTGATGGATTGACAGTCATATGTCAATCCCAGGCACTTTTAAATTGCACTTTTAGGGTAACTATTGTCTTTCAATATTTCTTTTTATATTTTCTTTTTTAAAAGAAACCAAACTTAGAGCAATAGCTCTATGAAATAGGTTTTTCGTCATATTAATTTTTACACTTAAATCGTGGCATGATTTAAAATTTAAAAATCGACCTCCATGATTTTTTCTTTCATACCATGATACTCTTATATCATTCCCAGAGCGGAATATTTTTGTATCTAAATATGTAATGAAATGTCTTCCTCAATTGCCATTGTAAATTTCATATATGGATACACATGGAAATATGTTAAAATATTATTTATATTTGCATCCGGGACACTTAATATCATATCATCTACATATTTTTTTATAAATTGCACCTGTATAAAAATGGTTGAAAGTATCTTTTCTACTAAATCATCCATTACGAATTCTAAAAGTAGCTTAATATCTGTGCTGGTGGACGGTGCTGAGACTGTCAATGTGTCCCTAGCCTGAGGTATCGAGGCTCTATCTTAAAACTTTGAAGAGAATCTCATTGTTAACTTATTGAAAAACCAGGATCAAAACGTCGAATAAACACAGAAGCAATGAACATTTAGTAGTTTATTGAATAATTACTAAATGACCTTATTCCCTATTAAATAATTATGTTAAAATATAATACTCAAAGGATTGAAGAAATTTTGTATATATATACAATGGTCAGCAAAAGTTTCCCTTTCAAACACAAAAGTTTCCCAATGTTTCCAAATTGTTTTTTCTTTGTACCTCAACTATCGAGTACTACGTTAAGTAGATAGCCAACAATTCTACATAATTATGAATTTTAAATTATAAGGGATGTATTAGTTTTGTTAAAGATCATTTTAGTTGTTTTTAGAAATAAAAACAATCATAATTTACAAATTTTGTATTTAAAACAAAATTTCAGTTTGTTCAAATCTGCTACAAATCTTCAAATCTGCTTCCTTAAAAAATACTTCTTTGATGCTTTTCTGGTCAAATATGTTAAATATTATTTTGATTATATCAGAGCAAAAGGCTTAGTCACAATTTGTTATCTTTTTAAATTATATCGCATGTACTTTAGACACTCATGTAAAAAAAAAAACAGAAAGTTCTCCACAAAAGCATTACTACTCCTGTAATTTATTTTATTTTTTTCTTCTTTCAACTGGGGCCTTCAGGTTTATTAAACTTAAAATTTCATATAATTTTTTTCTTTTTCCTTCCAGAGTAATTATCGTTATAATTTTTTTTTTTTAAATCCTCCCTAGGGTGTATAGAGGAAAATTTGATCCATTGTGGAACTGCTAAACTAAACCGCTACAACCATTAAAAGGAACGTTCTTTAACAAAATTTATGCCATGCTCAATTATAGGTACAATCTTTTCATTCTGGTAGAGGGAGCAATAGACCCCCATAAAAAAGTCTCAGAAGCTTGTATTATGTGTGAAAAATAACATAATCAATATAATTATTATAAAATGAACAATATAATACTAGATATGGAAAAAAGTATATATATGTTTATATATCAGTTTTTTTTTTTTGTATGGTTCATGGGTATATTTGAAAATATGTTATCAAATAAATTGAATAGATTACATATTTTTTATTTAAAGGTTTGTGGCAGTGATGAAATTGTGATAAAATCTTCATATAAAAATGGAAGGATGCACATGAATGAATCATAAAATCCTAGGATATGTTGCTAAATATAACTATCTTTGAATAAAAACTAAAATTTAATAACATAGACATAAGACATGGTAAAATACTTGCCTATCTACTTCTAGGCCTTGGCTTAGCCATCTAATCGATTTTTCCTTTTTTTTTTTTAATTGATTTTAGTTTACATATTCTATTCATTCATGCAATTAATTGTTATTGATTTGAATTTTATTTGTGTTCTTTGAAATATTGGGGGAGCGAAAGGAAATTCTCATCTCCTCTCTATTTTTATTAAGGGTTGATTGTCCCCTCTTGCCCCCTAATAAAAATCTACTACTATGTGCTCAATTATTATTTATGTTTACAACCATATTTCCCAACTTTTTTATGAGCTAGAACAACCTAACCTGACATGTTATTTAAAGCGAAAATTTGGCAATACAAGTTAATAATATTTATTCCACCACCAGTTAATATAAAAATTATAACATTCATTTATCCAGCAAATAAGGACGGTAAACGAAAATTCTGACCTAAATATTTGGTCTACTAGGTCTGTGTGGAGGCGTGGCGTAATTTTCAAATAGAATAATAGAATTGGCGAACGGAAGTGCCGCCCTCCACACGGACCAAGTGGACGACTAGCTTAACAAGTACTGAACCTAAGACCACGGGCGGATCTACGGGGGGGGGGCTTTCGGGCTGAAGCCCTCCCCCCAAAATCGAAAAATATAACCATGTTTTATGGAAAAAATTTTTTTAAAAATACCTCTTAAAGTATTATTGTTCGTGTAATTACATTTAAAAGTACTTAAGGAATAACTTAAACACCATTTCATATAGGTAGTTAGTTTCTTTCTTTTTTTCCAAAGTAATTATCGTTATTTTTATGAAAAAAAAAAAAGAATTCGGGCTGAAACCCCCTCCAAAAATTAAATCCTGGATCCGCTAGTGCCTAAGACTGTTCATGGATTTTACTGGAATAAGTTTATTTATTTTACTTTATTTACTCTTGATTTATAACTTTTGTTAAATGCGGTATAACCCTTTACCCTTACCTGGTAATCAAAGATTACAAACAAGCACAGGCGGATCTACGGGAGAGGAGGAGGGGAGAGGGGTTTTCAGTATAGTTTTTTTTTCATATATATAACGATAATTTCTTTAGAAAAAAAAGAAAAGAAACTACCAATATGGAATGGTGTTGAAATGATACTTGAAGTCTTATTAAATGTAATTACTGGGATAATAATACTTTAAGAGATAATTTTTAATATTTTCTTCCATAAAACTGGGTTACATTTTACCATTTTGAGGAGAGGGGGTTTCCTCTGCCCCTCCTCTCCCCGTAGATCCGCCTATGTATTGTACCAAGTTGTAAGAGAATCTACTTATTAATATATCAAAATTCAGGATTGGAAAGAGGGATTAGAAGAAATAAGTAAAATAGGTTTGTAATTGTGGATTGATGGATGACTGTAGTGAATAATTGAACACAAAATTGGTTGAGATGATCAATCAAGAAAATGTAAAAATAAATAAATTATATATTATATATAATATAATATATATATATATATATATATATATATATATATATATATATATATATATATATATATATATATATATATATATATATATATATATATATATACGTTTCGGCCCAAAATTCAGGCCTTCAACAGGGTTGGTCTAACGAAAGATTCAGACGGAGTTCTATGTTCTATAGCTTTGGGAAAATCTTTCGTTTGACCAGCCCTGTTAAGGACCTGAACTTTGGGCCGAAACGTTCACAAAAAATAAAAATAAATATGATTTATTTATTTTTTTATTTTATTTTTTTGACTGATCACCCCCAACCAATATTCTCTTCAACTGAAATAGATTTTTTTGTATTTCGTAATGTATTTGTTTCGATGAATAAATTTCCCTCCATGTGGGGATGTCAAAATTTACCAGGTAACAGTAGGAGATCCAGGATTTAATTTTGGGGACTTCAGGCTGAAAGCGGTAGAAAGTAATGAGAAAGAAAATAACTGAAAAAAATACAATTTTTTTAATAGTTATTTTTAATTTTTTTTGTGATTGTTTCTTATTTTGTTATTATCAATATTTTTGTACGTATTTACATAAATATTTATAAACTATGGTAATTGTTTCTGTTATCTCTCATCAGAATATATTGCATATGTATATAGTGTTTGTGATAAATTATTTTACATATTTAAATTTGAATCAATCCTGTTTTCATAATGATGTAGAGATGGTTGACAGTTGATATAATATGAGAAGGAGTTAATTGGGGGGTGGGGTCAAATAAATACTAAATTAAAATATAATAATTATTTAATTTTTGCCGACGTTTCGACCCACTTTGCAGGTCGTCTTCAGGGCGTAGGAAGTAGCCCTGCGGGAGGCAGTTGAAACACTGCTAACACTCAGTGTTTCAACTGCCTCCCGCAGTGCTACATCCTACGCCTTGAAGACGACCTGCAAAGTGGGTCGAAACGTCGGCAAAAATTAAATAATTACTATATTTTAATTTAGTATTTATTTGACCCCATCCCCCAATTAACTCCTTCTCAATCCTGTTTTAGTTCACTTTAAATTATAAATTGAAAGTCAGGTTATATTGGCCAAGGTGACTAGAAACGGAAATGTTTTGATGATCAGTTAAAAGTTAATGGATATTAATATTATAATGTATGTGCTAATAATATTTTAATTTTATCGTCAACATTTTAAGATTCTCTCGTTCTCTGAAATCGTTTCAAAAATATGTTGGATGTTATTCAATGCTACGTAATGAACTGGAGGAAAATTAGATGGGTCATTTTTAATTTAGAAATATCAAAATCATAAATACTTTTCAGAATATATAATATATATAATAAATATTTTCGATGCTCATCAATGATCTCAGTGCTGAGTTTATGAACTTGCCCAATGTTTCATCGATGAGTTTATGAATGAGTTGATGGATTTTGCGATGTTGATCAGTGAACTCAGCGCTGGGTTTAGAAACTTGCCCTATTTATCGTTCTATATAGATGTCAGCTGCTTTTGGGGAATCTAGATGGAGGGGGGGGGGGGAAGGGTGAGAGGACGTTCGGACTGAAGTCCCCTAAAATAGAATTTTTATTTTTTTCATTGGTCCATATTTGTTTCTATGGGTTATCTCAGCCAAATTCTCAAACAATCAAAATATTTTAAAATTATATCTTAGGTATTTCGGCCACTAATTGTAAGAATATGTCTAGAAAAAATAGAAAAGCTTTTTTTATAAGCTGTATTCCAAAAAGTATTATTGTTTCTGTAAGTACGTTGAGTTAAATAAAATGAGTGGTTCAAATATCTACAATATTTTGAATTCAAATTTTTTCCCTCCACTTCCTGGATGTGGTACAGTTAAATTAAATATTATCCATTTATATATAATTACTTGTTTAATAATATGAGACGACCAATAATCAAATATCAATGGTTGTTTAGTTTTTATTATAGATCTATTATTTTTTGAAGAAAGATGAAATGATAATCAATATATAAAGATTAAAGGTATAGCCGTTTAAAAAATATTTAATTGATAATGGTAATATATAAAATTTTGATTTATTTATGATTTTTATCAGTTGATGCAATATTTAATTTTCAAGAATAAGTGATTCTGTGACGTCTACGGTTATATTAGTTCCAATCACTTTTTCTTTGCCTTCACTGAGGTTCGCCATTGCGTTATCTGCGTGTCGATTTTATTTCTAGAAACCGGTTTTTACAGAGCAAGTGTAAGTGTTCTGTCTCGTATATTTTTAACTATTTATATTGATTTATCATGGATAATTTACGTTGATTGTTGCAAGATTTGTTTAAAATTTAACTTCCTTTTATCAGGAATAACATAAATCCGTTTTAAGGCGTGTACTATACTATGTTATATCAATTTCTACTACAATTTGATAAAATTTATAGTATTCTTTAGATCATAAAATAAGGAATCATACTATAATTATTAGAGTCAGGATTGTTTTATTTTCACAAACATTTTCTAAATCTGCCCAGTTACCTTATCAATATTTCAACAGATTGACACTTCTTTAAAACGATACCTGAGATTGATTTTCTATTGAACTTAATTTTAAATTAGACCTGATGAAATGTTCATCTATATTCAAGTGTTTCAACCACTAAAGTCATTGTGAAATATTTGAACCTTATATTAATTTTTTTTTTTTTTCCAGCTAATAATGTCCCCTCCATTTTACGGAGATTTGGGGAAGAATGCAAGAGATGTTTTTGGAAAAGGATACCACTTTGGACTTTTAAAATTAGATGTTAAAACCAAGACCCAGACTGGGGTTGAATTCAACTCTGGCGGAGTTTCAAACCAAGAAACTGGGAAAGTGTTCGGAAATTTAGAAACTAAGTACAAATTTAAGGAATATGGTAAACAATATTTTTAATTTCATGCACAATAGTTCCATGTAATATTCCCTTTTATTTTGCCATTAATTTTAATTATTTATTACAGGAATCACTTTTACTGAAAAATGGAATACTGATAATGTTTTGGCAACTGAAATTGCCCTCACTGATTTTTGTGAAGGAGCAAAGCTTTCTTGTGATACCTCATTTGTCCCTCATTCGGGGTATAAATTCATATTTGTATAAGTTATATTTTATTTTAATAATTATTTTTATCATGACTAACATTGTTTTTATTTAACTAGAGACAAAACGTTGAGGTTAAAAGCCGAATTCAAGAATGATACGTGTGCTTTGAACTTAGATTCAGACTTTAAAAAAGGAGGTCCTCTTCTCAAAGCTGGAGCAGTGCTGGGTTATGCTGGTAAATTTAATTTTTATTTCTCTTTTTATATATACTTGAAATTGGAACATGTTTTCTTATTTATTTAGTTATTCATTCTTGACTCAGATTTGTAATGTAGGCCATAATTTGTGGTACCATTTTTGCTCACAGGTGTTATAGAAGGGTTGTTACTGACATGCCTCCTGTGGGGTCCCTTAAAATAGCAATGAAATTCCCCCCCAAAAAATCTATTGAAGTAAAATTTTGCTGAGTTGTAGTTACTAGATTTCACATTTACTGATAGGTTTTTAAATATTCCTTTTTAGTTCGTTTAGACTAAATAAGAAATATTAGGGTTCACTTAAAGCTATTAATTTGTTATATTATCTTGTAACGTTTATTTTGTGTAATGTCAGTAAATATTTTCTGATGCAACATTTCACTAAACTTTTAATATGTTCTCAATTTGAAATTAAGAAAAAAAAAATTATAAACATTTGTCTAATTTATAAAAGAAGATTATTTTATAAAAAATAATAACGCCATGTTTTTATTATTAGGCATCTAAATTGTTTTATTTATTAGTTAAATAAATATTACTTAGACATATTTGCTTTTTATTGGAAATAGTTGTTAAAATTGTTATGATATCATATATTGATTCGTTACATTTCCATCGGAATACATTTAAATTATTGGTTCCTTCATACCAAATATATGTCTATGAACCTGTAAAACTTTCAAATTATTAGGAAATAAACCATTAAATATATTATGTTAATAATATAAACATTGGTATTCACTGTCCAAGTCTTCAGACTTTGACCCTTTTCCTATTTCTAATAATAATGATTGACATGAAAGTTTGCGGGTTATTTTTATCTGCACATTTTACATTTTAATTGAATTTTCTGTGTGGCTGCTAGCTAGTTAAATTTGTATGTCCCATTTCTACTATCAGTTAATAAAGCTATTTTGTAATTCTGAATATCCCTTAATGAATTAACATCACCATATTCACAATCTTAGCTGTATGTATAGTTATTAACTCAATAGCTTAAAAAAAAAATGTTATATGGGTGATAAATATTCAGGACGCAGTCTTTTTAAAAAAAAAAATTTTTTTTAATTTTTTATTCATGCCAACGTTTTAACCCACCATGTAGGTCATCTTCAGGGCGTGGTTTGAGCACTGAGGGTACTTGAACACCCTCAGTGCTCAAACCACACCCTGAAGATGACCCACATGTTTGGGCTGAAACGTTTGCATAAATATAAAATTTAATTTTTTTTCTTAAAAAAGACTGCGTCCTGAATATTTATCACCCATGATATGTAGGAACAGTCGACCAACTTCCTTCAATAAAATGTTATACAGAAATCTATTATTTAAAAACAAAATTATAAATAACCAACCTTATTAACTATCACTAACTGTTGGGAGAAGATTGACTCAACTGCTATTTCCTTCACGGTCGATTCTACGGGGAGGAAGGGAGTCTTTGTGCTTTTTCTTCCTAAGTAATTATTGTGATAAATTTAAAAAAAAAATCTTTCGGGCTGAAGCCCCCTCAAAAAAACTAAATCCAGGATCCGCTAGTGGTTTCCTCTGAATCTGTTTGGTTGTAAAAGCACCTTTGTCAGCCATGTCAGGAAGATGTCGATGTATAGAGAAACAAATTGTAGGTATCAAAGCAGAAAAGCAAAGTGCCAAAATGAAAATAAAAAGGGTCCGGTAGCTATTGTTCTTTCATCTTGTGCTAAGTTAATGCAAAACCTATTATTGAATTTAGTAATTTTTTTTTCTATGTTTTTATGCTTGTGCCTTTCATTTGTTGACACTTATTTACTAAGTTTTAATTAAACCAGATAAATTGAATTAAACTAAATTTTGGCAGAGGCAGATTCTTTTAACAGAAACTTGAGAATCCATTTCGTCGTGAAATTTGTATGAACTAGAAACTACCATATACAATATAGTTTATGTGTATACGTGTCAAATATGTTTATACTTATGCTACCATATTTAATGTACAAATGTGTGTATATACACACAAGCACACACATACATATGTATCTTTATTTTTAATATTATATTAAAAATGTAAGTGTTTAATAAGTATTATAATACATTCACATCCTTACTACAATTTATTTCTTGAATTAAATATTTTTTGTTTCAATTTTGTGTCATAGGTTGGTTGTGTGGAGCCTCAACCACGTTCGACACTTCTAAGAGTAAACTTACTCAGAACAATTTTTCTATGGGTTTGTCTACTAAAGAGTTCATCCTTAATACAAGCATGTAAGTAAAAATTTATAACATTATATGTTAAACACTACTAATTTAAGCAACAAAATAAATTAAATCATAGTGCTATTGGGTTCATATAACTTATATTTTTTCTAATTTTTATTCTTATTTATTTCAGTAATGATGGACGTGTTTTTACTGGTTCCATTTACCATAAAGTAAGCCCAAAATTAGAAACAGCTGTCCAGTTATCATGGGCATCCGATAACAATGATACTGATTTTGGTATTGGGTGCAAGTATAACCTGGATAACGAATCCTCACTAAGGCTCAAAGTGAATAACCAGAGTCAAATTGGAATAGGTTATGCACAGAAGCTTAGAGAAGGTTAGTATTATGTTATCTTTGTAACATTAGGAAATTTATATGCTTTATTTTAATTGATTATAAGATAGATAGACCTTATCAATAGAAATAAAAACAATCTAATTTCCTAAATTATTTGATGTATTAAGAATCTTATTATCTGGCTTGCTGCTTATTAGATTAGTCTTATCACATTTTTTATTCAAGAAGTAGGAAATTAAATTTCTCTTATAATTGCTAAATGTTAAGTTTTTTAAAAGAATTTCTGAAAATTCGAATCTATCAAAAAATTTTGCTTTTTATTGTTGAGAAAAATTATGATAAATATTTTTCTGTTTACTATAACAGTTATACGTTTGTGGCTTAATTGTTTAAAGTACAAACCTATGTTGATTTTCTGAAGTATTTAGTAACCAACTCCTTTAAAATTGAAAAAATACTAGTGTCATAAGAGTATGTTATTGTTTGAACATGAACTCCCTGCTGGTCAGCAACTCTATTACAGATAGAGCAATCTCAGTAATCTCAACTTTGGTGTTCGATAAAATCCAATAATCTTAACTGGCTAAACGGAAAGTTAGAAACAAATAAAAGATGGATGGATGGAAAGGTTTAATCATAAAAGGGAGAAAAAATCCCTCAGATAAATGTCTTATGAATGACATTCACTTGCCTTGACAAATTTCTGGGATTTTTCTTGATTTCTACTCTAAGCGTTATGAATACTCTTCTCTTGATTATTCTCTAAGAATCCCTCACCTTCTATTATAAAGCCATAATGAATGCATGAAGACACAGTGCTCATTTCAATCAATGCATTTGATGGTCAACAGATAAAAATATTCTGTGATAACAAATTCTTTTTCTGATACGTCTAAAAGAAGAAGTATTCACCAAAAGAAAAAAAAATCAGCAAAAAGGAGAAATAACTGAGTTCCATCAAATGAGTTTATTTTTATTCATGAAAATGTAATATTTTAAATAAGAATAAAAGTATGTATCAAGTTAATAAAGTTTAATGTATTTATTTGGTTTCTTCATATTGTCTTATTACTGGTAGAACATTTTCAGTAATTTACTTTAATCTTACTTAACTATAGAATAGATTTTAATTTTTAACTATTAATTTTATTTAAACAACTATAGAATAAACTATAGTAAGTAGAACTTACTTAACTATAGAATAGATTTTAATTTTTAACTATTAATTTTATTTAAACAACCTGTACCACTATCTTTTGATTGTCGTTGGTTCAATACTTAGTAAGGAACTACTGTTTCTTGCTCAATTCATACTACACTTTTTTGAACTGCTCGGGATGGCCATGTTAAATTTTAATATTATACAATAAATTTCAATTTCAATGGTTATTTATTTTTTGTGCCTATCAATTATTGAGTCATTACAACGTGAAAATATAAAAATTACTTGAAAATTTTAACTTTCTACTTTCACTTACAATATATGTTATATATAGTAAGGAAAAGTATTTCAATCATGAAAATTTTCGAATCTGAGTTTTCAACGGAAATACACGTTTTGAGGTACCCTGATTCCAAATAACCAAGTCCTGAAAAATGGTCTGTGTGTAAGTGAACACTCAAGCTTAAAAACAAAAGGTCGTACGAAACTGATATTACATATTTAAGATTAGTATATGCCTTAGATGTCACAGCAACTTTTTCGTTAAAATCGGCTAACTGGAAGTGCCACTTTATATCGACGGTGAAACGCATTTTTACAATTTTCTCAAAACAGTTCTAACAATTTTGATTAAACTCAGTGTATCATTGTATAATTAAGTGGTCTTTAATATCATTAAGGTCTTATCCCCGTTGATTTCACTTTACAGGGATTAAGCGCCCAATGTTCATATATGTATTCCTTTAAAGTACGTTTAATATGGTTCATTTTGAATAATTGACTATCTCTCATTATTAAGAATTACGAAAAAATTTTAAATATAACTTTTAAAAGAATTTAATAATTGAATAAAGGAGAAAATAATAAAAATGCTTATCCAGGTCGAAAATGAATCTCCAGAAATACTAGTCAGAAGGTATACGTATGAGTGTAGTAATTACAGAGGCATAGCTTTACTTCCTGGTGATGACTAATATCCTACTGAACCGGATTTATGAAATGAAAAAATAATTTTATAGATCCGTATTACGAGAATATAATAGGGTACCACCAAGCTGGATTCAGAAAAGGGAGGAGCATTGGATCTTCATCCTAAAACAAGTACTTGAAAAACGATGGGAAGTAGCTCAGCACGTCTAAGCCCTTTCAAAGCCCCTGTCGATTTCAAAGCAGTCTATGATTCTGTCTACAGGAGCTGTCTTTGGAAAATCATGACTGAACTGAGAATTTTCCCGGTAAGTTTGTGAGATTAACAAAGGTATGTACAAATGACCCTAAATGTAGAGTCCTAATTCAAGGAGAAGTATCTGAAGCCTTCAAAGTTGGAACGGGTTTACGGCAGGGAGATGGACTGTCATTGATGTTGTTCAACTTAGTCTTGGAGAAGGTAATAAGAGCAACAACATCACAGGAATATGAAGGGGTCCACATCGGAATGAATCATAAATTCCTTGGATACGCAGACGATATAGCTGTCCTTGGAAGTAATCAAGAAGACTTTGAGAAAGTCCCTACTACACTGATAAAAAAGGCAGAGCAGATCGGCCTACAAGTAAATGAAGACAAAAGAAAATATACGATAATAAGCCGAAAATTCCATGCCAATAACAGGATCTTAGTAGAAGGAAAATCATTCTCGAGAGTAGAAAAATTCAAATACAATGTCTCCATAATAACCTCAATGAATGACTAATGGGAAGAAATAGACCAGCGTATTACTAGCGAAAACAGAGCTTTCTTCTCCCTCTCAAAGGTATTGAAATCCTGAAAATACTCAAGAAATCTCAAAACTAAGGGTGTACAGTGCTATGATAAAGCCAATTCTAATATATGGCTGTGAGACCTGGACACTAACCAGCACCCTAGAAAAAAGTGTTGGAAGATTTGAAAGGAAAATCCTCCGCACGATAACTGGATTTGAGAGGAAAATCCTCCGCATGATAACTAGACTGATCGTGGATCAGAATACTAACATATGGGGAAGAAAGACCAATAAAGAACTGGTTACAGAAACTGGTCAATCAATATCCCAGGATATGAAGGCACGGAGGTTAAGATAGGTGGGGCATGTAATTCGTAGCAATCTATCTGGAAGCCTCTATGCAACAATGAATGCCTTAATAGAAGGCAAAAGACCACCTGGAAGGCGAAAAAGCAGAAGGATAGATAGAATCAACAAATATGCACTAGAACTGCGTTCAGATAAGGCGGCAAAAGATTTACATTGTCTGTAATTCCAACAGGAAAAAAAATAATAAATCTATTATTAAAGAAAATTTTATTATTTTTTGTTTCTGATAAAAGTTTATAACATAATTTTTATCTCTTAGGTCTCTCTGGTACTAGTGACATTAAAACAATAATATATGATTTTTATCTCTTAGATCTCTCTGGCACTAGTAACATTAAAACAATAATATAGTTTACTGTATTATGGTTGTTAGGCCGTCCGCATAGGGGGAATGTAAGCAATCGGGATTTATGATATCCGTGTTATTGGCAACTGGGAATCCTCATTGATATCTGATTGTCGTACTCCGAATTTCGGCAGCCCCACAATATGGGAAGATAACTATGTAAATTAATGAGTTATTTTCCCATTTATTCAGTTACGCCATGTTCTCCAAGACTGAGTAAAGAAGTATGAGTGTTGTGTAGAGGTTGCCATCTCCACTATGCCAGCCGCTTCTTTTGATCTAGGCAGACAATATATCGGTTTGGAATCTGCACACAGAACATCTTTCGGCAAAAGGCTTGTTCCAATACAACTTCAATGAACTTTTTTTGTAATAATCTACTAGGAGGATTCTCCGATATGTTTTGAACCGTTTGTCATGTTAATAGATATGTTATTGCTTAATGTATAGGCAGGATTTGTGTCAGTCGACACTATATTTTGATCAGAATGCATCAATATGGAAAGGATTTTCTTTTTATAGAAACTGATGCAAGAATTGTTAAACATATAGGAATTCTTTCAGATATCTCCTCTAATTTGTGATATGAACATTTTATTATCTTCAGGATCAAGAAAAAATCAAATAAGGCCTTAATTATAAACTCTGATATCAGAAGTACTCATGTAACCGTTGACACATTTGGCAGAATTTTGACTTTTTCACCTTTCTGCTACTGTTTCAGTGGATAATGTGAACTTTCATCTGTATTATTGGATTTGTCTTCAGCTGTTCTTTCCAACTATAAACAATGTTTATGCTTTAACTTGCCTTTTCATGTAGTATGAACCCATATTGTGTTCAAGTTCTGTTATGTTCAACTTGAACCCTATTTAAATTTCCTTTAACCTCTTCAGTCTTACTATTTATTCTGCAGTACATAGATTTTGACAATAGCTGTTAATTAAAACATGAAAAAATGTAATAGCTCTAATCTGTAAGATATAAAATTATTTTTTATATTTATCTAATAAAAATATATTTTATTTTTACTGGGAAGATTCTGAGTTTGATCATGAAAACATACTATTCTGTGAGACTTATGTCATTTTAAATTTTATATTTTTCAGTAGCACCATATTTTATGCTATTCATGAATACGTTTTTAGTGACATGTATTTATTTGTTTATCAGATTTTCTTTTTTTATCTCTGTAGATTGTCCACTTTGCATTGATTACTTTCATTTCCCTCATGTGTTGCGGATGGCCTTAACCAGTCCAAGAAATTGAATTAATATTCAAGGACATTCTGTATAGACATTCCATTTTTTAGTTCTTAATTAGTAAAAACTTTTTTTTTTTGTCTCTTTAATGTCAGTTAAACATCATGAATCTTTAAGTAATGATGTCTAAAACTTCATCAATTTTGTTTTGTTGTCAGGATGTTTTGGTATTTCCAAAGACTGGGGTTACCTTCAAAGTAAGCATATTTGTTAATTTTTAATTTAGGTTTATAACTTCATAATAATGAAGAACTGTTATGTTTTGAAACTTTAAAATATCTTCTACGAATCCTTATTCGGGAAATTAAATTAATTAATTTTATACTACTACTTTCAAATAATCCTAATAACATAAATATTGGTCAGACCACATGGATTTTAGGGTTTCGGTGTAACATTGACAAGCAACTAAGTTATTGAAATATCATTCTTCTAGCTTTCTTATATCCCAACATGAAAATACAACAAACATTTTAATTTTCCCTTATCAAAAGATTATAGTTCGAGAAGAAGTTTAAATTGCACTTCTTATTGATGTAACCGTACTTATTCTAACTAGAGTGGTAAGGTTGAGATTCATTCTGTGGGTGTGCTGCAAATTAAATTTCAACCTTCACCGGGCGGATTTTAACCGGTACTGTTTATCTTGTTGTTAAGTAACAGTTATATTGTAAGTTTACTACCCATGGAAGTATACCCTTACAGGAACTCTTGCATTAGATATCTATCCTTCTCTATAATACATTTAAAGTATAAACGGTATTAACAGTTATATTCGTATAAACAATATAATATTAAGAAAGTCCATAGATTTCTCAGTAATAACCAACAAATCAGATAGTGAGGTTTTTTTTTTGGGCCAAAATGAAATATAAAAAATTAATGGTTTGAAAATATGTTTCATTCCAAAACCAGTCTTCAACAATTTTTTTTTTTTTTTAGAATTGTTTTGAGATTAGAAGTTGATTTCATTCCATAGACATAAATCCTTTTCTGAAAGTCATCCTGGGTGTGGCGTACATATGTGCTTCGTGTAATTTTTGACATGTGGTCTTTATCCTTTTTATTTTTAAAAAATATTAATTCATTATTTCTTATTTTAAACCACATGCTTTTTCCAGTTTATAAACCGTTTTCTGAGATTGTTAAAATCGACTCATCGATATGACTCTTCTACCTTATATTTCGTTACAACCTCTTTATCACTTGCTATCGATATGTTTATTTCAATGGTTATAAAAGGCTTTTGTTTATTTTACGAAAAGGACAGAAAAAAAAAGGAACTTTATCATGTCAGATGAAAGAGAAATAAGACATTTGAAAATAACTGTGTCCATAGCCCGGAAGAAAAAAAAATTATTCTATCATCAAATTAGACTATAACCTTTGAAGGATCAGAAAGTCAAATTAAGAAAAAATGATAGTGATTTGTATTTTTTGCACAAATCTTTTCATTCTTTGAGCTATTTTGAATGGAATTCAATGTATATTGTTCATATACTAAAGGAAGTAGGTGGCATTGATAAGATTATTTTGGATGGTGAGGATCTGGGATTAGGAAAGGATGGCAACTTATGATGATGATTATGTGATTCATATCGCTCAACAAGATAATTTTGTGAGATCAAAGAAATTGTGTTTGAAAATCCTGCTTATGATACTAATTTTAATAATATTACAAACTAGTCTAGTATATCTTAAATGTTAAAAATTTTTTTGATTGATTGTTATATGTCATTAATTTTAATATAATTGAAAAGAATAAACAAACTGTTTTTTTTTCCTGATACTTTAATATTTTATTAATCTCATATTTTTAAATTTTTCAAATGGTGTTAGTATGATTTTTTATATATTATATGTATTTTTTGTTATTCTATTATTAAGGCACAATTTTATTCACAAGTTTTGAAAGAATACTAACTTTGTTTTTGAAGCATTAATACTTATTTTAATGTACTTCAGTACAATTTTGATTATTATTAATTAAATTTTTCAAGAAATGTTTATTTTTAGAATTTTAGTTTAGAATGAGTTTATTTAAAAATAAACTAATCAAAAGAATTTTTAAACTTCTGATTTGAAAACAAATTATAAAAATGACTTGGTTTTGTTATGTTGTTATTATAAAAGGAAAAGAAATTTTTTTATAGTGATAATCATGTTTTTTTTCAAATTGAACACATTTTTCAAATCAACCTTGTTTGTTTCAAAACTTATTACCTTGTTGTTTAATTGTTAGAAAAATATTCAACAACTTTCGTAAATTTGAGCTCGAAATCCAGGCATTGTTTATTAATTTTGAAAAGGTTGTTTTCATATGACAAATATCCTATACTAACCTACTTCTCAAATAATGAAAAGAAATAGTTTCAAATAGCTGAAATCACAAATTTTTTATTTAAAAATTTCTATGTTTTTGGGTCTTATAATTTTATTAATTTCTCTATTTGGGGAATAGATGCGGTGTTAAGTTAAATCATGTAAATCCAGGAGTGCGAAGGGTTTTTAACTTCTATATCAGCAGCAAGCCTATGAAAAAACTTTTTTCAACATTTTGCAATTAGGTTTTTATTTCAAAATAAATAAATTGTCTGTTAAGTCACTGGAATATATTGGTCCATTATAAATTAAAAAAAAAAAAAAATAACAGGATGTGCGATAGGTAAACTTTATTTATCATGATAGGAGGAATTTAAATAACAAATTATAATTTACCTGCTTTGTATTGGTAGTTTTTTTATATAAACCATTTTTCACCAACAATATCATAACATCTGTAAATTCTCATTATCACATTTAAAGATAGGATCTTTTTATAAGCTATTTCCATTTCTTGTATTAAATTTTATTTAATCATACAGAAAAGTATAATCTATTTTAAAATTTGTATCTCTGGTGTTTTAAATATTTTAATCGTAATACAAAAATAAATATTCACCTTTCTTATGCACAAATCCTTCATAGACTATGAGTTTTATTTTTTTTTTATTTATTTTATTTTTTTCCAGTTATTCCCTACCCTGCCCTTTTACGCTATACGGGATTTTCCTGGGCCGAGGGATGAGGGTGGGAAATTTAAAATCCCCTCCGTCACGTAGTTTTTAATCTCTCAAATCTCTGTTATCTGTTGCCAGGTGACTCGCGGTGCTGTGCACACGCTTTAGCCCATTCGGCCACCCCGCCCACTAATTTTTTTTTTATTTTAGTTAGTGGCCAATTACAATTGACTTCTAAAAAAGTGATTTTGAAAATTTATTTGTTTGAGTTTCTTGTTTACTTGTTGAGGGGATACCCCCCTCCCCTCTTCCCATTTTACAGTTTATTCTTATTTCCAATTTGTAACCATGATATATATTCAACTTGTCCAGCTTCATATAAGCCTAACAATATTTTGAGCCATTTATTTCTAATATTTTCATTGTACGTTCCATTGTGCTTTCTTTTCTATTTCATAATAATTATTATATTATAATTAAATTCAAATAATATTATAATTAATACATTATATTCAAGAGCAAATGTCTAGATAGAAAAATAACTTCTCTCACCTGGGTAAAATCAAACTACCACCTCTAGATGAAAATAGCATTTCCTGTGCATATTTTTAGTCTTAAACATTTATTTTGTATTAGGAGAGCAGGAGGAGGTTACATGCGCTCAACACATATGTAATTAACTGAACAGCTGTATAATTTGTAAAATAATTGCCATAAGAGAGCAGCACTAAAAAATTGAACTCCTGTTATCTGTTAATACTAAAATAAAAATAAAATATGAATGTCACTATAAACTATTTATATAATAGACAGATTTTTTGAGTTTTTTAATATTATTTTTTAATGAAATATTTTCTCTATTTCAGGTGTAACTCTCTCACTTTCTGCTCAGCTTGATGGAAAGAACTTCAACGAGGGAGGTCATAAGATCGGTTTATGCCTTGAGCTGGAGGCCTAAAAATAAAGTTCATTATTTCGGAACAATATAAATACGTGTAGTATCTCATTGAACTCAGAAAGTGAATTTCTAGTTCCCTAGGGTTAGTTTCTTTCTGCGTACCTCCCTCCCCTCCCCCATGTATGTCATGTACATGTATGTTTGTATGTAATTGTCAATTTTTTTTTTTTTTTTAAATTGTTGTTTGTCATCAAAGCTACTTATATATTTAGCCTTAAAAGTCTTAAGATATTAAAATATTTTTAGAAAGTCAATTGATGTGATGTATGGAATACACTAAATTTGAAATCACTAGTTATAATTTATTAATTATTAATTCACTGAATTGCATAATATCAATTTTTAAAATATAAACTATTATGCCATCATTTTTATTTTTATTTACTGTGCTGTGCTGAAGATTTAAATAAATCATATTGCACATTATTTTGTAATGTTTCTTATGCTTATTTCCTTGTTCTTTAAAATTTTACCTGAAAATTAGATAAATGAAAGATGATTTCAGATTACTTTAGACTTTTAAAAATACATTTTTAGTTTATTTCAGTATTAAATAATGAAGTGTATGAATGCTTTAATACTAAAAGCTAGAGTTTGAACTCTTATATCTTAACAAAGGTGGGCCACTGATAATAATTTCAATCCATGCCAAATGCAATGTGAAATGACCAAGAGACTGAAATTTTTTGAGTAACACAGAGCGACTGGAATCTTTCAGTCCTCTCACTACACAAAAATCCAAGCACTTCAACTAACAGTGTGAACAACCTATGGAGTAGAACAATGGACTTCTCAGTTTTTAAGTTTGTTTTATGATCAAAATAATACAAACTAAATTAAATAATTAAAGTAATTAAAATATTAAATTTTACAATAATGATCATAAAATATTTATATGAATAACATAACATTTTCTTTTTTATTGTTATCTTAATGTTTAATTATGTTAAAAAATCTGATGCATAGCATCACACAACTTGCTCTTTACCACACTACTTTCAGTAGTAATTGATTTTATAAATTCCCCACACATATTATTACAGTTCATGTCAATGCTCAAATGCCATGAATGGGGTACCGTTTGTATTCAGAATTTCAGATGGGGTTAGCAAATCCTACTCTCTACTTTTGTTTTTCTTTCTAAAATAAATTAAGCCTATATAAACATTTCGCTAAGCTTCAATACTGGAATGTTTAGTGGTAAGTCTGTAGATCATTACGGAATAAATTTGGATTTGAAGATTTTGATGTGGACATTTTTTCCAGTTTCAAGATAATGCAAGGAAAAGGGTTCACAGCTACACAACCTCACATTAATTGTAGTGCTGTCATGAGATATATGTCTTGTGTCGTCAACTCGAAGTCTCTATGATTGAGAAAGGAGCAGTTATAACATTTTAGTATACACCTTTTTGTTAATTACACCCATCATTATTTAAAAAATTATAAATCCCCTAAAAACAAAAACATCGAAATTGGACTACTATTTAGCTGAGATACAGATTATTGAAATTTTTAAACATGGTTCAAAACATGAACGAAGTTTCAAATTAATTTTCATCTCCTTTGTCAATTATAATTACCGAGATAATAAGAATTGATTTTTCCACCTTATGATACATTGCTTTATTTTATTTTCTTATTAATGTCATTTGATCACTGACAAATATATAGAATTATTCACACAGGCCTACCTAGTGTTAACAAACCTTAAAAACATTATTTCAATTATAAATGAAAATTGACAATAAATATAAAGTATAACAATTCTGTGCACTTTATGTTTTTGGTTTGTCAAATTGAAAGTATATTTTGTAGGTTTATTTATTTTTAATGGAAACATTTGTTTCTTATTCAATAATAGGGTTAGTTATTATATAGCAAAGGAGTGAAACCTGTTAATTATCACACGCCATTAATTATGATCATGTATAATTATATCTGCTGGTTGTGAATAATAGAAATAAAATAAAATTAAAGACATAAAATGCATGTTAAAAAAAAGAGGTGTTGCTGCATGAGAGGTTCAGAGATTCCATCTTCAGGGAGGAATATATGACTTTACTCAAGATCACAACTTAAGTTGTGATTCACATTAATGTTGAAAAATCCTCTTAAAGTGTCCATTAATGGTACATTTAATTATTAAAACCATCAAAATTTCTATATTATCCCAATTGCCCGAGGAATATAACAATATTTTAAATCTAAATATGTGATAAGTTTTCCATGGCAACCATAACACTTAAGAGGATTTTGCCAAGAATTATGAGTTATCTTGAAAACGACACATTTTAGGACTCCCAAAACAAAGCACCTGATGGCTCCTATAGAAAACTTTAACACCACCAGTGTTAATGTCTGATTGAAAAACTTTTAAACAAAATTTATTCTGTCTCGATTGGTGTATGTTTGATATCATCTGATTAAAACCTCTACATTTTTTCAATGATTTCCATTTTAGTTGCAGTAAGACTTTAACTTTTCTGAAATGGGCATTCAGCACTTCTTCATGAACCCTTTCGTTTGATACTTCATTCATGAAAACCTACCATTTCTGAGAGCCGGAAAAGGGATCTATACTTCCGTATTATATATAGTTTAGATTATACTTAAATAAATATAAATCTTAAAAGTTTATTTTGTTTTCATATTTTGAGTTAATTACATAACTTATTCACAGCTGTAAAAGTATTAATTTTAGAAAGTTTAATTACAAATAAATACAATATTTTAGCAATTGAAATAATTTAATAAATGTTTTGAAAAACTAGTCTGTTAATAAATGATTTCTCAAAAAGAGATGAAGGAATAAGGAATCGAGAAGAAAACATATCTAAACAAGAAATATAATACACTGAAATTAATACAAGTTTGGTTTCAATTAGACCAGAAAATATTTCATACTTCAGGAAACTGATAAAAATAATTGAAATATTTAACACTATCAGTTCAATATAAAATTAAGAAAAGTTTAATGCACCATTTGTTCATCCATAGCTTTTTGGATCCAGGCAGGGTGTGTATTAGATATTTTTTCTATGATGTGGTTCACTTGGTAACATAAAGATTGGATTTGTTTATCCCAAGCAGGCAGTATTTCACGAGCTGAAAAATATTAATAAACAAGTATTAAACATAATTTTCAAAAATGTTTTTGAATATTTGGTATTTAAAACTGTATGAAGCAGAGAGCTTCTTTACTCCAACATAAACACCATGTTGACTAAAAATTAGTTTTTTAGATGAAATTGTTTATAAACAGTATAAATACAATTGATAAGTAATTTATAGTTGGGAAGTTGGGGATTGCAGTAAGTGAGAAAAACAAATTAAAAAAAAAAAATATATATATATATATATATTTGGGCCAATGTTTCACCTTAAGTTTCAAGGCTGAGGAAAGCTTTGGGTAAGGTAACCAGATTTTAACATAGGTAAAGCAAGACACCATTAACTTGAGGGAGAGAGGATGGTCTAAATTCATTGTTACAATAATTATTTTTACATAATGATAACCTCTTCTGTGAGCCTTTAAAACTATTAAATTATTATATTAGTTCCAGTTAAAAGTCAAAGTTAATATAGCCATTATGATCATTAACATAGAACTTTAAGATTTAATATAAACATTATAAATTTCACATAAAATACCCGTTTTGTTTTGGAATCATAGAATTAATTAAGTTCTAAAGAAGTATTTTTGAGAGCGGATAATTTGATGTATTAGACGTCTTATTTATTTTTTTCAATAATAACACAGTTTTTAAGACTTAGATGTTTTGTGCCAGCAGTTTCTACAAAATCAAGCAGCTCTTTTTCAAAATACAATAAAGCTCATTGAAAGTGACAAAATTTCGGTAATCAAAGCAACAAATGAAGTAAATTTGTTGATAACCTAGATTTAACCTTTTCAATATCAATATATTTTTTTAATAACGATAACTTATTAAAAAGATCATTTTGGGGTTAATAATTAAGTCCAGACAATGATGTTCGAATTCTAATAATTGATCAACAATGTGAATTTTGAAAATCAGATCTCAACAATTATTTATAAAAATTCATATCCTGGCGAAATAGCTATATGACCACAAAAAACTCCAGGGTTCCTTAGTTTGTAGCGTGTTCTTTCCAAAACTCGGGACCTTTTTTAAGGTTTCAGCCCATATAGTCTGGCTATGGCAGATAATTCTTTGTTCTGTTAAATCAGCCGTGAATCAACCCTAGGATCAAAAAACCCTCCTAGAGCATATCCAGGATTATACATTGTGTATAATGCCTATATTGTGGGTACTGTTAAAAAATAAAATTACAAATGATTATTTTGATAATTAGAACTTTAAATGATTTGAGAAAAAACTATAGCAGCTTAATTAAAAGTTTCACAATCTTAGTTTAAAGAACCTCTTGAAAATTTCTTCAATTTTATTTTTTCTGTACAATTAATTAGAAATAGCCAAAGTTATAAAATTTAAATCAAGATTTCAGAGAAATTTCTTTCAATAATAAGTCAATAATTAAGAAAAAGTTTATTGAAAGTAAGCCAAAAGAGTTAATAATCTTTTTACTTAAATATAAGAATTTTTGTTGCTATACACTATGTGAAAATACTATTATATACTTTTATTATTAATGATTGTCGAATTTATTACAGCCTAAAATAGATCACTGGTGTATGTTCTATTTATTCAAAAGATAAACAAGTTCTCAAAAACGTTTGGGTATATGTTTGTGGAGGGCAGAAAGGAAAACACTGTCTAACAGGATCCATTTTTAAACAATCATGACAAATTCAATTAAATTAAATCCAACGTATAAATAAACTTTAATAAATAATTAAAAGAATTTTTTGAAATTCATAATATTTTATAGTAATGACGATCATCTATGCACTTACTGTCTGTCTTTCTTTTGTATTAATGAAGGATCATGACTAGTATCGATAACTATTGGCTTTATATACACCTACAATAGTAGATGGCAGATTTTGGTCGATTATGGGAATGGAAACTCAGTTTAGAAATAAAATTAAGTAAAATTAATATATAAAATATTTCATACTTTCGAAATGTACAATAGAGTCGATCTGATCAATATAACCATTCATTCTTCCTTCGGTTATCATCTGACTAGCAATTTTTTCAGCTTTGGCTGGGGCAATTTCCAAGAGGGCACCGAGTTCTTCAAATGTTATATTGTTATATAATTTGCTAGCACTTAATAAATTATGTTCTATCACAGCTCTGTCCAATATAGTCGAACCTAAAAATAGATTTTAATTTTTATTTATAAAAGAATTATTAAAAAAAAAGAAAAAATTGTTCCATAATTATATTACTGAATATGAGGTATAAAGTGAATATTTATGTATTGCATAAAATATAGTAACCAATTTTAATTTGGACACAAATAATAATTAATCTGAATTTTGTGATATATGTAATTTATCAGATCATATTTTCTGCAAAATGAAGAAATCTAGCTACACTCAAGCAATCCAACAATCAAACTAAGTATAATATCAAGAAAACTGAATTAGGAACTGCTCAATAAAAACACTGTGAGATTCAGGAAATATAGTAATCTATGTGGGGAAAAGAGTCTAGAAAAATATCAAATTTTACAATTTACTACTCCCGGTAAGTATTTTTATTTTAGAGACTCTATAACTTATAGTCTGGCATTATTATTTATGTTGGAAAATAATCCTACCACTCTTCTAATGTAAAAAAATAAAATGCTAAAGATAATAAAAAAGTAAACTATAAAAGTAAAAATTACATTTCATGAAAAATAATTAATTTCTATTCAAAAGAAAGATTATCTAAAACATATATTTTTTCAGTTAACCATGAATATAAACTTATACTATCTATAAAATAATGTGACCAAGTCATCTTCTACAAGTTATGAAATAACAGGATGCCCTCTGTTGATTCTAAATATTAATTTATCAGTTAACCTTGAACAATTAAAGTTATTTTTTAAAATTATAATTATTATATTTTAACTACCTGATCCCCACAAATTTACTATTGGGAATTAATAAAAATGTAGTAAACTTTAAAAATGATAAAATTTTTATTCAAACTGTTTACCATCGTGGGTTTGAGCTCCTTGATGTGGCTGAAGAAGAGAACCAAACTCTTCAAGTTCTGACCTACGAATGATTCTGTCGAGGTACATTTTTTCTAATATGTTATAAGCAGGAAGTTGCTGACATCTTTCATCTTTAAAGAGAGTGGCCAACATCCTGCTCCTTTGTTGACCTATGATAGAAAGTTTAAAATGAAATATTATTAATTCATGATCTTACATATTATATTTATTTATAAGAAGGAACTGTTATTTATAAATAGAGACCGGATTTTCATGTTATTGCACATTTTATTAGCTTGGGTGTAAAAACCCTAGACCCGAATATATATCCGTTTCAGGATCTACAGAATAACATACTTAAATTTTATATTGCATGTTTTTGGCTTGAATTGTACATGTTGTGCTAGATTAAATGATATAAGTATATATGTGTGTCTAAATATTCCTTGTTTTGACTTGAATTTTCACTCTTTCTTAAGTCTTTCAGTATCCCTTCTGGCTTCGAAGAGAATAGTACATGAATAAATTCGAATTGACATTCATAAAATCACATTTATCAAATTTTCCGCTAACATTAATTCAGAATCTCGAAATTTGTCACTTAGCTTAATCATAATTTATTGTTCTATTAGATTATGAATTGTTGTTAGTTGATTGTAATATGGATTTTAATTTTCAATGTTTCATTTTATTTTTTTTTTACACAATATTTTAAAAACAGAAACTTAACATAAGGTTTGATAGGATTTTGATGTATTAATCGATATTAATATTAAGAAAGGTGTAGTAACAACAAAAACACTCTTTACATCTCAGTAAACGATCATGTTTTTGGAATACCTGTTGCAATATCATTTCACAAAATTGTTCAACAGACGTATTGTTTCTTTAGTGATTATACAGAATACAATTTGAGTCAATTTTAATTTGCAACACTAATAGGAAAGAAGTAAGTTAACAGTTGGTGAAAAGACAGATTTTCTGTCAAGAGCAAATACCATATCTTTTCTTCAACCAATATCTCTAAGCGTTGATTGATTAAAACTTCATGTTTAAAATTTAAGTTAACAAGATTTATGTACAATGAATAATATTTTTTACAATGATAATGGGAGGTGACAGTCAGTGGTTCTCCGATTTTAACAAATTTGTTTTGGCTGAATCTACTTTCAATAATAATGGATACACACCTCAGGAAATGAACAAAAAAAAAAAAAAAAAAAAAAAAAGAATATAAATTCTCCTATCAAATATATCTTTACATCTTTTAGATAACTAGCTAATTTGAAGTTGGTCAGTTGAATTCAGTAAGAGCTGATTATCATGATGGTTGGAAGAAATTATGATCATAGTATGTGAAATATTTGGGCTAAAAACATTTATATTAAAATTTCTTAAAAAAGTGGTAAACAAGAGTCTTTTGGTGCACAAAAAAAAAAAAAAAAAAATTATGAGCTTTGCTTGAAGCGATTACAAATTGTTTGGGACTTTTCAGTGGCATAAGCTAATTAAAATTGCTTGATTATATATATTTTTTTTCATTCTACGTTAAAAAAAAGTATATATAGTTGATTTGTTACAAAAAGCCACCTAGGATATTTTTAATGAAGATAAACTTGAAGTACATATTTGTGAGCAATACCCATCTTATATTTTTGGATATAAAATCACTCCCTCCGAAATAAAAAATGGACAACCTTCCACTGACAGTAATTTATGGCAGTAAACAAATAATAAACATAAATTGTCTCTTACAGTGTATAACTGTTGCAGATTACAAACAAAAATACGTGACTTTATCCAAGACATTTATATCCTAGTTATAAAGGCAAACACTATAATCATTACATTAAATCACATTGACTTTCTGTAAGAACTTTATTTAGCTTTTGAGTGACTATGCACAACATTAAAGACGTATGTAAATATTAGGATATATGACATGCACCAGCTATTATACAAATTCATTGATCACATAAAAAGAGAGTCTCTATTTTAAATATGGCATCAAATAATTCAGTTACAGTAGATAAGTGAATAAAATATGGTGACATAAATAGTTTTATACAGACCAAGTCAATTTTATGGCAATGGACTAACAGAGTTTTATACAGTCCAAATATAATTGTAATTTATTTATAAGATTTTTCCTTAAACAGTAAAAAATAAAAAGTTCTGTCAATTCACTTCATCTGATATAATTTATAAGGGGGAGGGGAGAAATAAATTGAATATTAAAGCTTAGTTTATAGCTCATCTATGAAAACATTGCAGACTCACACAGCAATAAATTAAAATTTTCTTTTTTCCGCTAACCATCTGATATTATTTTCTAATAAAATTGGAGAAAAAAAATTTTCAGTGACAATTTATGGTTATTAAATAATAATATATTATTTCACAAATACAACAAAGAAAAATTTAAATTACAAACCCGCAGAAGCGAGAATTGTGCAAATAAGTGCATTCCTTAAAGCAGTCATACGTTCATCTTCATGTATAATACTTCTATATGAAAGTTCATTATAGCGTTGGGCTGCTTCAATAAATTTTCTTCTATAATCAAGTACACGAGCATAACACACTTTGTAATAAATTTGCAACTGTTCGTCTTTAGATTCAGCCTAAAAAACATAGAAAACCTTTTTAATAACAGTATGCATAATAAATAAATCTATTAATATTTATAAGAAAGAGAATTAGAAATCATGACTTAAATAAAAATGAACTATCTGAATTTATCACTCCAAAGATAGTTTAAGTATATGAGCACTTTAATTTTTAAAAAGATAGATCATCACTACAACTATTCAATTATCAAAAATTTTGTACAACCATTCGATATACTTTACAATAGAACATTAACACTTCTATTCCTTATTATTCAGAATTTAAAATAGAAAGCTGTTGGGAGAGTTGGTTGATTAATTTTAATAAACCTAAACCTATAAAATACATATATGTCAAGCATCAGCTTGAATTGATTAATAGAAAATTGTCTTTATATAAAATTTTTTGTTCTTTTTAAGTTATTATAAACTTTCTTCAAATCATTGTCAAAACCACTACAAAATAAATTGATTATTAAATTAAAAATAAATGGTATATATAAAACATGATTTCAAATGATGACATCATACATATTGGCTTGATTTGATACCTATTGCCCTACTTCACTATCGAAGTCTCCCGATCTTCTTGATTTCTTTGTCGCAAGTTCCTTACCACATGTACATTCCAACATTTCTGCTCTCCTTGATCTTTCATCTGTTCATAGCCCAATTTTACTGGAACTATCGAACAACCCTTTTGTTAAACCTAACTCCTGACATAACCTGTCAGGCTACATAAACAGGAAAAAGTTTAAACATTTTCTGAATAACAAAATATTATGTAAACACTTTCATTAGGAAAACCTCATGCCCACCCATAACTATAGACAATAACCCAGTTCCTTTAAAGAAGTATGTATGGTACGTTGGTACTTGGACAAAAGACTTACTAGGACATACATGCAAAATTAAAAATACAAGAACTGACTAGACGATATAACCAACTTTTACATCTTATGGACTACAGATTCTCACTTAACTTACAAAACAAGCGACTGATCTACAACACTACACTGAGACCAATTTGGTCATATGGAGCAGGACTTTGGGGTTCGGCAAAACAGATTAAAAAGAAACCAAGAGACCAATTACTTATTTCAATAGAAACAAAATCAAAGCAAACTAAACAAATTTACAGCAAAAAATATTAAAATAAAAAAGTGATGAGAAATAATTAAAAATTACCTGCAATAAAGATGCTCTGTTAATATAAGCTTCTGCTTGAACAGGATCATCATCTTCTAAATACAGCCTTGCAATTTTCATATATGTTTCAAGCTTGTAGTCCACAGAGTATTGTCTGTTTGGATTGGTTCAAATAATAGCTATATAAAATATAAATAAAAGATGTAAAAGTAATGACATATAATATTAAAAGTATAATTTACTTTTGTCCTGTTTCCAATGGGATGCCAACAAGAACATTTGCTGCATCTTTCCAATTTTGCTCCCTTTCATATATAAGAGCAAGATGTTGCCGGATACAAGCCACTTGTTCTTCAAATGAAATAACTCTTGGTTGAACCTTAGGAAAACCAACTAATAATTATATTCGAATTAGGGTTTAGACATAAAATAGTAATTTAACTATTGTAAAATAATTTACCTTGTCTAAAATAAAATGTGATATGGATTTAGAGATATCATCAGGTAGGACAGTCAACTGGTTACTTATATCAGTCAAAATCTGCCTGGATATGACGAGGCTAACATTTTCATTAACAACTAGATAAAAAGAAGAAACAAATTAATAATATCTAGAACTATAAAAGTTACAAAATAATAGAGCTAGTAACATATATAAAAATAATTTACTGGCTTCAATGAAGATCTTCAGAGGTTCAGTAATATTTTCATGACCTATGGCTAAAATGTTGTCTAAAATCAATCTGTACCTAAATTAGTAATAAAAAATAATTATTAATTCATAATAATTATTATTAGAGCATCACTATTTATTTCTACTTACTTTTCAGCTTGGTCTTTATGGGAACCACCAGCATTATTCAAGGTTGTTAACTGTTGCCTAATAGAGGCTCCAGAATTAGCCATACTTAAATTAAACTTTATAGAACCTTGCCTTTAATTTGATAAAGGTAGATATAATTTAATAGATTAACTTTGATTGTATATAACCTTACTTTCAAATTGCAACCTACAGCAATTCAATTATTGACTAGCGCCCTCTGAAGGCAAGGAGCAATGAATGAGGGATTAGTATATAAAATGATATAATCAATTTTTATTTAACTATCGATAAATTAAAAATTTTAAAAAATAATAATAAATTTTTTTAATTATTTTAAGTCCACAAGTTAAAAAATCGTTGTCAATAAATGATACAATAATTATTTTGGTAAAAGGAAAGTTTCTATTTCAAAGCATCATGGGATAGTAATGGTAGGCGCGTTATTTTGAACGTAATCTAAATTGCAATATTGAAATTTTAATACTCCTTTTATTTTTTCTGATTAAACTTTATGTATTTGTAGTTAGTGTAATGGATTGTATAAATTATCAAAATGAAGTGTGGAATGCAAGTGTAGATTAGTTTGGAATGATCTCTATCTTCAGATTTAATTCTGGCCAATCGTGAGTTAAGACTATTTTGATTCTTACTAGCCAGGAACTGGGCAGTACAAACTTTTGTAACTTATTGTTTACATTAAAATGATAGAACTTATAACGAAGAGAAATATTAGATTAGATTGACGCGAAATTGTTGCAAATTAGTTACATTTTTGAAATGACAGTTCTGCTTGTATTATGGCGCTCTTCATATTTCTTCTTTAACCTCGCATATTGAAATGGCGCCTCTTGTTACCTTCAAACTTTTCGTATTTAAATCTGATTGTTTTGACAGGAGAGTTTTTTAGTATTCATACTGGATAGCTGATGAGTATTTTTAATTTAGGTCACTACCTTTTTGGTTACATCCTCAATTTCTGGAGTACTCAAAGGTGTTAATGTAGTTTAAATTTGAATATTAGTTTTAAATTTCCTCTATGTAAACTACTTTAGAAAAGACTCAGCTGCATACATTTTGTACAATTGTAAGTATTACTTGAAATTAGCAGTTATTTTTTAGTAATAATAGAAGTTAATACATCAACCCTACCTTAGTAAGGCTCTTTTAATTGTTAAAGTGTTTTGTTTGCAGGTTCTGTAAATACTTGCCAAAATGACAGAGTCGATGAACCTTGATTCTGCTGATATTGTCAGTAGCTTAGAAGAATTTGATTCTCTGGATACAAGTCTAGAAGCTGAATTAAACATGCTAAGCGAGGAGCAACATTTAAAACATACCTCAATAGAGCTAATGCCTTCAGTCCTTTCTAAAAGTAGTATTGAAGTTATAAAAGAAGAAATCGTTGAAAAAATGGAGCCTGAGGAGCATATTGAAGAACAGTTGATGGAAGAAACTATTCCTTATGATAATACAGTTAATATAATTGATTCTGTGATGGACATTGTGGAATCTGAAGGTCCATATCACGAACAAGATCTTGTAAGACTTTCTGAAGATGATCAAAATCATTCTGACAATGATCCATTGGAAATTGATCATGAAGAAAGCACAATGCACAATGATCATGAAATATTTTCTGATCGAGTAATTGATGAAGTGATTGTGGGTGATGAACAAGTCATAGAAGCTCATGAATCTAGAGCTTATGATGATAATGAAGCAGATATTAGTGATATGATATCAGGCAATGTAACTGAGGAAACTGTGATTGAAGGTTCAGAAGTTATGGAGTTTGAAAAGCAAGAAATAATCGAAAAGAAAGAACCAGAGAAGGTTGTGACATCTAATGTTTTTGTTGTTAATACTCATCCTGGTACATTGCAAACTGCTCAGGCAATTCTCTCCAACAACACTTTGATTGCTCCAAAAGAAAATGTAATTTTTTTTTATTTAATACATCATTTATCTAATATTGACCATGACAAAAAAGATCAGATTTTAAATTGTTCTTTTGTAAAGAATGTTAATTTTCGTTTATTTTTAATTTTAATAAAATAAGTTAATTTATTTTTCAGATAAGAAATTATATTTTAAATGCCAGATATATTTATTGCATGGGAGTTCTACAGCAATTAATGTAATAGGAATGTACTTAATTTTGTTACGAATCTTGGAAAAAAATTATATATATATATATAATGTGTATGTAATTAGATTAATATTGGAAAAGTATCATTGTTCACTAATGTCCATGGGACTGTCACCAAATAAATTTTGACCTACCACTAATGAAATCGAACTGGCACTTCTTACTTGAAGTTGTAAGGTGGCACATTAACTCACTCGGCCACTATGGACTTTATTGTTACCATTTTCTTCATTCCAACTTCTTCGATAATTATTTATTCTCCCCTGAATAGGAACTCTTAATTAGAGAAAATCTAGTGGTCGAGTGTGATTAGGGTCAAATCATACCCTTGTGTAACTCTGTGACCCTGGATAGAGTGCTTCCTTACAAAGTATTGAACCCTAGATTCTTCATGGATTGTGGAAGTCTCCTAAGTTATTGGCTTAACTTTATTCTGGAAACCAAAAATTTTATTTGTTTGTCTTCCCCTTCCTCAACTTATAGACTATACTGGGTTTTCCCGGGCCAGAGAGAGTGGGCAGGGAATTTAAAATCCCTTCCAACACCAGAACACAAACTCGTACTTTTTTAATATCCCATTAACTCTAGTTGTCAGGCAACTCGCGGTGCTGTGCACACGTATTAGCCCATTCGGCCACCCTGCCCCCCAAAAAGGAATATGATGGAACCGACATTGAACTGGGAACCTTCACCATATCAGAGTAGTACTACACTATTAGAGTGCTTCTGAAAATCAAACCTATTTCTTCTGATGGTTTATTGGTATCATTAAGTTATTGCCCATGTTATCATGTTATATTAACCTGATCGTTCCTGTCCTAACTTCTAAAAAAATTAACTGTTCTATTCTCTTTATTTACACCTCTTGAATCTCTGATCATCCTTGCAACTGCAACTTCAACTGTACTATCTTCTCATAGAAATGGTACTACGTATCTAAGGCTCTTCAGATTTATTTATTCGAAATTAAAAAATGGTTTCAAAAATAAAAATAAATTCCACTATATCAAGTGTAATAAGTTTTACTCTAAGGTTCATGTTAACCTATCAGATTTTACAACAGTCAAATGCTTTAAAAAAACTTTGTGCAATACTTCTGACTATGTTTGGACAACAGATACACTTGAAACATATAAACAAAATTGTAAGGACAAGATGATATAATCCAGTGTCACATCTTCAATATATTTCTGCTTAAACATTAAGTTGGCTCATTTTATATAAACTGTAATTACTGTAAATTAGGACTGCTGCTTTTTTTTTTTTTTTTTTTTTTTTTTTTTTTCTTCTTCATGATTTCACTTAATGGTGATATTTATTTAAAAAAAAACTAAAACAGGAAAATGATTTTAATTCTTTAATTAACAACTAAAATTTTTCATAGAAACCATTCTTAGTACGAACAATTTTAAAAATGTAGGTTTTTGAATAATGTTTTTAAAAATTTGATTGATCAAATTAAAATGGTCTATAATTTTGGAATTACTCCTTTGTATTGTGTTAAAACATATAACTTTATTTGTGTTAATTTAGTTGTAAATTATCTATTTTATTTCTGTTTTTAGAAGGTGACTCGACTTATCGTACCTACTAGTAATTCTGATACTGGGCAAACAATAAGAATTGTATCTCCTGGGAAACTAATGGGTGCAACTGCTAAAACTATAACATTAGCCCAGGCAAAGCAAATGGGTTTGATTAACCTCAATCAGATATATCCTCCGAATTCTAAGGTATTATATTGTCCTTTATTTATTTTTTTCATATTTTTAATTATCTCTAAGCAGGTGCTTCTTAACACATTGTTGACCGGTGATGAGTTTACTCGTCTTTTCATGCACTAACGTTGTTGACTAGTGAAGAGTTAGCTCATCATTGCTCTTACATTATAAAATAATAGCTAGTGACATAACATAGTTTCTGTTTAAAATTGCCGGTCAACTGGATGGTGTTATAACCTTTCCTATGATGATTTACTTCTTTTCCATTTGTAAGATACCAGCAACTTTTACTTTCACCAACCTATATGTATTTTGTCAGAAAAAAAATTTGAATCTGAGTTTTCAATTTAACATATGTTAGAAGTCCAAATAACCAAGTCTCTGAAAATGCTACATACCCAGCCCATCTTAACCTCCTTACCTGTACCTAATTCTGCCATAAATACTGTTACAAAAGTTGAGCTTTGTTAACATTCTTGGGTATTATTTTGATTATCCCTACCTCTATAAGGTTATTTTCTTTACATGTCAGGATAATAATGCCCATTAGTTTATATTTTTCTTTTGCTCAGTTAACATGGAGTGAGGTGATAAAGAGAACCGAATAGCTGTGATCGCCTTGCACAAAGTTGGAGAATGTAGGTCAGAGATTTTCAACAATTTGAAACCTTTGGGTATCAGCCGTATGGTTGTGTACCACACTATAAATGGATATAATGAGACTCTATCTGTATGTGACAGACCTCGACAGGGCCGTTCCCGCACCGTGAGAATGGCAAATGCAGTGAGAGCAGTGGCTGCTTGAATCAGAAGAAATCCCATTCGAAACAACAAATCATGTCTCGGGAAATGGGAATCTCTGTCAGATCAATGTCTCGCATAGTAAAAAGTGACCTTAGGATGACTGCATTTTGAAGAATGAGAGGACAAATACTAACCACTTTCCTAAAAAAAATTAGAGTGGATAGATGCAAAGTGCTCCTTGGCCGTTACACAAATGGTCTTCATCGAAAAATTTTGTTTAGCGATGAGAAATTTTTACAATTGAAGACAAATTTAATTGCCAAAATGATTGTGTGTACACACACAGCTCTAAAGAAGCCCAGGAAGTCATTGTAAGAGTGGAAAGAGGTCATTACCCTTCCTCAGTGATGGTTTGTTGGGTAGTTTGCTTTGATGGCACCACAAAGCTCGATTTTTATGAAAAAGGAGTTAAAACAGCAGCTAAAAACTATCAGGGCGATATTTTGGAACATGTCAAGCCTTTAAATGATACTCTGTTTGCTGGAAGTCAGTGGGTTTTCCAGCAGGATTCTGCTCCAGCTCACAAGGCCAGGTCAACTCAGCAGTGGCTGCAAAAGAACATTTCAGAGTTCATATCTGCCTCAGATTGGCCCTCAGAAAGCCCTGATCTCAACCCACTAGATCTAGATTATTGGCTTTTGTCCAAACTGGAGAGGATGGCTTGCCACAGAGCACACCCTGACTTGGAAAGCCTCAAACAGTCTCTGGTCCGAGCAGTTGAGCGCTTTCCTCAAGAAGTGCTGTGTGGTGCTATTAATGACTGGCCACGGAGATTAAATGCCTGTGTCAAGGCAAAAGGAAGAAATTTAAGTAATTTCTTTTTTGTTTTACTCTCTATAGATATACATTTTATTTTCTAATAAAGTTTTTTTTGAAAAAATTAATTTTTCTGTTGAAATCTGTATATATTTTCTTGTAACAATATTTATGACAGGGCTAGATATCTCATGAGGTATTGATTGGCTAATTTCTGTAAGCAGTTTATTATTGGTCCTTGTACTCATGTGTTATCACTCTAATCCCAGATCACCCCAGTTATCATGGGGAATATTTTTATCTCAAATCTTTCAATACTTATTTCTATGGTGCTGGTTAATGTCCAGGTCTCGCAGCTGCATGTCAGAACTAGGTTTTTCTTAGCATATTTGCACTTTGGCTTGTGAAGAGTTGTAATATATATGTATAATATATCATTGGTTTATTGAAAAAAGTCACTGAGTATATTTTTAATGGCTTTGAATCTTTATGAATATTTTAGTAAATTTTCACCTTATTCCTTGATTAAAAATAAAAGTAGTAAAATAACACAAACCTTTTTATATATAAAATACAGTTAGAACAACAAGCACATCATTTTCTGGTTTCACAAATGGAAAATTCACCAACCTTCTTAGTGATTTAACGTTATGGAATGTTACCTAATGACATTTTGTAATAAATTGACAATATCATGGAAAGCTAAAGAGTTTAGAAACATTAATATCTGATATTCATAGTCTTAATGGAGAGTGATGATTAAATTATGAATAATAACTTCTGAAAACTAATATTATTTAAAGGAAACAAAATATTTCTGTGAAAACTAAATGAAAACTTTTAAAATTATTTTTAAGCTTGACAAAGCAAAAATATATAATTCGTTGAATTTTCATTATTGAATTGTTTAAAAACCATTTTTCATAATTTTTGAGAGAAGTAGAACCCAGTGAAAAATTTCTGAAAATATGGGTTGATAAAACGTAGTAATTGCCTATTACTTTATCTATTGTAATAGATTTATAAAATTAAGTATAAACTAGCCCTATTTGAGGATGGTAAGTGAAAGTTGTGTGATCCTAGTAGATGTTTTAGAATGCTTAAATAAATTTTTGTTCAGTCACATAAACATTAATTAATAAGCAGTTCTTGTCTTGACTCCCAAATGGTAGCCCTGATGATGACCCACATGTTAGGGTCAAAATGTCGGCTAACTCATTAAATAAATTTTGACAAAAATTCCTGACGATTTTGTTTCATAAATAACAATGTAATACTTCATTTATATTTTTGCCTTTAGGGAAATGTTGGTAAATTGGTTGTTCCTAAGAAAACAGTAACTGTTATGAAATCTCCTACAAAAATTCTGCCAGCTCCTCCTACCCTGGGAAAAACACAGAAGGTGGTCATCCGGGGAGCTGGTGGAAGCCTCAAGGCAGGCACCATCCTGACCAGCCCTGGCGCTGGGGTGCTGAGGATTCCTGGTGCGCAGGCTACTCAACTTCATATTCCTACTGGCAATAAACAGGTAGGTTTATTAAAGAATATTTTAATTAAAGTTTAAATTACAGGAAGGTCTTGATAATTCAAACACCTAGATTGCCTGCCCTGCTTGGATTATCGAAGGTTAAATTTAAAATAATGCAAAAATTTCATAAGGTGACGAAAATATATGCATTATCAATTTAATATAAACACATTGCAATCAATAAAATTATTTCTGAAAATGATCACATAATGTACATCAAGTCTCTGATGTTTTGCTAAAGAAAAGCCTGATTTCGCAAATTCCTTAAAAGTACCAGGCTTCGGTAGTTAACATTTCATCCATTTGTCCACTCCAAACAAATATCAAATGCCTTTATGGTATTTCTATGATTTATCTGTCATGAAAAATATAATTGGTACAAGCAAATTTTCAAGTAAAATAAAATTAATGTAAAAAACGTATTCCATACCCGTTTTTTAAATTATCAAGCTAATCTTTAATGGCATTAAAATATGCTTTGTCGTCCATGTTAAAATATTATTAAAGGAAAACTTTGCCTTTTCTGCTTATATACCTTCGGAAATTGGACCTCCTTGTAATCTCTTTCAAAAACCACATGTAAAGAGATTTCTCAACTTTTGGATGACCGTCTAGTTTTAATGTTTTCTGTTTAGGAACACTACAATACGATTTTGACTCTACCACACAAAGCAATTCCAGCAATATGTACTGAGAAACAGGTTCATTTAGAATCCGTCTTATATTAGTCATATTTAACTTTTTTTTTCTTATTCGGATGCCAGGGATTTGTATTATTGAGATTGTCCTGTATTTTAATCCATAATATATCACTTTTCCTCTTAAGTAATGAGAAAACAAAAAAAAAAGTTTGTTTTCCTTAATACTTCTATTAACTATGAATAGTTGGTCAATATCCACTTGATGTGTTTTTGGACTGCAAATGGTCTGAATAATTTACAGTCCACAACAGCATTAAATGAAAAATTGACCAATGGCTCAAAGATTAATCTATTTCAGTTCAAGTGTTCACAGAAACCTTTTTTAAGTTGTACGATTATTTCAGCTGGACGATGATATGTCTCAAGAAGACAATTATTGTGGTGTGTATAGTCATTCCTCAAACTCCACTTGAAAAGGAATCAATCCCATTCATAAAACTCTAAAAAAAAGATCTCCTTTCAGACCCCTTAAACTTCATGAATGGCTTAATTTTTATCTAAGAAAATTCTCAGAAATAAGGTGTTTGCTCATTAAATTAATTAATTTAATGAGTTACTTAAAACGGAGTGGATGAGGAGCAAATACATGATTTGCTTTTCACTTTAATCCTAAGATAATAATATATAATATATATATATATATATATATATATATATATATATATATATTATAGAAGCACCTCTGCAATCAAATTGGTTCAAAGGAATCCTTTTGCTTTGAGTTTCATAAAAGTATTCCTTTATGAGAGAATGTTCAAGTGGAGTTAGAGAAACTACTATCCATACAACACTTAGTTTCTTGGGGAATCATTCAAGAGGAATTATGTTAAACCAAAATTTAGTTTTTTTTTGTATTAATTAAAAAAATCCAAATAATTATTTTGATTAAATGATTACCCCTGCCTCGTCTAGTTTATCTTCAGCTTCAATGGTTGAGAGATCTCCTTTTCTGAAGTAAGGAAGTAACAAAGACAAGTGAAGAGGTGCCAACTCTGTACTATTCTTTCTTATGCCCTAAAATGCCATTTTCTGAACAAGTAACTACACATCTGCTTATTTTCACTTTCATGATTGATGTGGATAAAGATTTGAAGAGAAAAAAAAAATATTACCAAACTTAAAACTACTTATTACAAACCAGAACAATTTCTTTTTAAAAAATAAAGATTATTAAAGGTATTTTATACAGGATTTTTTATTAAGCTTAACAGACATGCATTAACATGTTTTTATATTTTACTCTACTATTTTAATGAATAAAAGAGTCAACCTTTTTCATAAATTATCTCTAATGTAATATATTTGATATTTTAGTTTTTGTTTTTAGGTTCAATATTTGAAATTAGTTGGAAGTAGCAAACCTGGGACGACACTTGTTCCCGTGTCTGCTCTTTCTACTAAAACTATTCCTGTTGCCCTTCAAACATCATTGCTCAATTCGGCACCTGCGACTTTCAAAGTGCTACCAATCACTACGCAGGCTACTGCAGGGCAGCCTCAAACCTCGGTTAGTATCTCAGGTTTAACTTAATTAACCTTTTACACATCGCCCCCTAATTCCAGTAGAAATTTTTTTTCCTGTGATATTGGGTTTGAACATGGTTCAGTTTAGATAGTTCCTATAAAAAATCTAAAAAAAAATTTTCTTTGTGCTTTTCCAACTTGTTCCAGAAGTGGAACAATGGCAGTTTCAGGTTGTACAAAGAAAACAAAGAACTTTTTTCCTAATAGTTTTATTAGAATATTCAATGCAAGAATAGTGTTCTTTTTTTAAAAATGATTTTAAATTATTATTATATTATAGCAAAACACTGTAATTGTTTGTAAATTAATAGAAAATGCAAACTATGTAACAATACGAAATAAAAAAAAAATTGTTATGCTAATATACGATTTACAATCCGTGATATTGGGAAAAACAATCAATATGAATGCGTTTGTGGTATTCTTTACATTGATATTTTGTGTTGGTGCCACAATGAAGACACCTTCCTTGGGAAGCCGAAATGATATGTTAGCATAGTAATTTGTAGTTCTATGAATTTTCATGTTCAGTTTTGTACTGAAACAATAAATAGAACAAACATTTCTGTAGCTTGAACCTGACATTACTCTATATGTGGAACATTAAAATTAAAATTAATAAAACTGATTCTTAGAATTTTTTTATTTACATTTTCTACAATGCATTATTTTCAGTAATCTATCACAATCAATTAAATCAATACACCTCTCGACACTAATAAATTAGAAACTTAACCTTTTTATTTACTGAACTAAAAGTGATAAAATCTGTATTGAAAAAGTAAAACAAAAATATTTCTATCTTTGTTTTGATGGAAAAAATTGTTTTTGCAAAAAAAAATAATGATTAAGTTGGCAAAAAAAACAAACTTTAATATATGTTTCACTTCTGGAACAATGGCATGTTAAAGTTTAATGTAAATTAAAAAATCATTACTGGTATAATATCATGTCTGAAATAAATTAAATGTTTTCAGCAGACAGTAATGAGTGGAACGACACAAAGGGTTTTAATCCCAGCCAATACCTCGCAAATGAATAATACCCTAGTCCAACCAACAACGCCTCGCACATCGCAGCACAGTATATTAATGTTACAGCCTCATGTTTTACCTCAAGTCAGTAAAGTAAGTGTTTTAGCAAATTAAAATGTTTAAGGTAAAAGGAATATTTGACTTTGTCGAGATTTATTTATTTAAATAATGGTAATTATTTTGTTGGAATCAGTCAATTATAAAAGATATATAAACTATTATCAAGGGCTGAAACAGCTGAGTAAAGTATTGTGAAGTGGCAAAATTAGTTTCAGACATGAACTGAGAATAATCCTGTTTCAATTTGAATCTGTTTTTCCATCTCCCATCCTATCCTCACTAATTTAATATCTTTAATTACCTGCAATTTGATTCTGAACAAACAATTTTAACTATTTTTTGTTACAGACAGGTTAAGAATTAATTTAATAGTCTTATAGAAATTTATTTATTGTAGCCACAAACTGATGTATTTGAAATATTTTTTTTTAGAAGATCATATCAATTTTTTAAATATTTGAGATTTATATATATATATATATATATATATATTTTTTTTTACAGCAAGAGAAAATTACTCCAACGCAGAGTAGTACTGTTAGAACCACAGCGAATGGCAAGAGAGCTGCTGTCCCTACTACAAAAGTGGGTAGCATTTTAATTATTTTTGAGATACAGTTATTTGTTTGTTGATTGAAACTATCTTTTTCCCCACCCTTTTTCTAGTATTATAATAAACACAAATATAAAACTATTTGGAATAATCTTGTTTGCTTATTAATTTTATATGTTTATATATATTTTGCAAAGTTGGTTCGAATCCGTCCTGGGCAGCATAAAATTTATTTCATGATTGTCCCACGGAATGAATATCAAAAAAATGAATTTCATGAAGGAATGGCTCATGGATTTCTTTAGAAATGGCGAGATAAGAGTAATTGGAGGAAAAAAAAAGAATGAACCTATTGCTTCCCAACTACGCTTCACTAACTTTCAATGTTAATTACTACAAGTGATTTTATAACAAACTAACAGAGCTGTAGTTTATCTGTAAACTAATATTGGGTTGTTCGGAAAATAATGCAGGATTTTGAGTTTTCTTTAAAATACCCCTCTATATAACAAACTGTTAACGTTTACTGGATTATTGGTTTATATGGATGTCAACATTTATTATAATGTGTGATTTTCGTATAATATTGCTTTACGAGTTCGAACTCTGCCAGTGTCTCGACAAACAGAAGCAGCAGAACATTTACCAAAGCACCCAACTCATCAAAAAATGCTGATAGTTACTGTTTGGTGGGTTTCATTTGGTTTGACACCCTACAGCTTCTTAGATCCTGGAGAAACCATCATATTCTAACCAAATTAGTACAAAACATCAGAAATTGGCAATAATGAAGCCATCTTTGGTCAATCAGTAGGGATCCATTTTGTTGCATGACAACGCCCGGCCACATACCTTACGTGTTAACGTCACAAGAAGTGTTGGAGCTTGGATTTGAAACTCTGCCCACATCAGCCCTACTCTCCAGATCCCTCGCATTTTTTTAGGCGAAGGATTATCATTTTTTTAGAAACCTGGACTACTATTTATGTGACAAAAAATTTAATGGCATTAGAAAATGCGTTTTTGGAGTTTATCAATTCTAAAAATGGGAAATTCTATTCCCAGGGAATGGAAAAGTTGCCAACACGGCAGAAATGTATTGATAGTAGTGGAGACTATTTCGATTAAATAGTTAGATAAAAATAGTTGTAAATCTTTCTTTTTTAACCAAAATCCTGCATTATTTTCCAGACAACTCAGTATTATAATGAAAATTTATATTTTAATTTTATTCACTATTTCTGTAGTAATGTTTTGGGAGTGGAAATAATCTTAATTTGTTTGCATACAGCTATTATTCTTAAGAGAAAATGTCCTGAAATAAAGTTATTGAATTTGGGTTCTTAAAATTTAAAAGTTAGTATTTTACTAGTATGTAATTATTTCCTGCTCATGTATTTTACTATTACATAAGTTTGTTATGTTTACCAGTAAATATTTTGAATGTTTGATGAAATATTAAAAATTAACTGAAGTAACTATCTTGTCCTCTAATTATTCAGGTAAAAGAAGAAATAGTTCCCAAAGTTGAGGTGAAAACAGAAATTGATGAAGCTGTCATGGAGGCCAATGGTATCAGACCCCGAAAACCTTGTAACTGCACCAAGTCGATGTGCCTCAAACTGTAAGTTATCGATCATACCTCGAGAATCCGTCAATAAATTACTTAATAGCCGGCCATGTGTTGCTCAGTCTAGTTAAATGGAAAAAGAATAGGATAAGCACACGTTTCCAATATGTTTAATTTTACAGTACATTGGCTGTGTTGAATAAAAATGTGAATGCTCATTTGTTCATAATCTTAAATTTTTAATAAGAATTTTTCACCGATTACTTTTGAAAATGTGTCTATTTTTATATTCGTATTATTATAAGATGTCACATCTGTGGTAGGTAAAAACATGTTTATCTTTTAAGAAAACATCTCCTTCTGTTTGACTTAAAAGTAACACATGCATGATCCATCGACCCCAAAAACCTATGGAACTGCTGATCTATCGGTGATTCAATTGACAAATAAAGGAATGTTGAATAATTTTAGGAATGGTCTGATGGATTTCTGATGCCCCCTACCTAGCAAAAATCATTTTATTACCTGTCACTGGTCCAACGTATTATAATGCTGTGTAGATAAAAACACTTTAGATTCCAATTCATTGTTTTATCAAAATTTCAAAGCAATTGGTGAAGAAATTTTGGAGTTCTGATCAAACAAAGATTTACATTTTCCTTTTTTTATATAAAGATTAAATTAAGACCTTTTTCATCATTCATTATTTTTGTTTCAAATGTTAAATTGCTTAGTTATTTCTAATATAAATTTTATATTTCTGTATTTATCAGCTATTGCGACTGTTTTGCAAATGGAGAGTTTTGTCATCAATGCAATTGCACAACTTGCTTTAACAACTTGAGCCATGAAGAAGAGCGGCAGCGTGCTATTAAATCTTGTCTGGAAAGAAACCCAACTGCGTTTAGGCCAAAAATTGGTAAAACTTATGTTGGCAGTGAAGAAAGGAGGCACAACAAAGGTTGTAATTGTAGGCGTTCTGGATGTTTAAAAAATTATTGTGAATGTTATGAGGTAATGAAATTGATTATTTGTAATTTTTTATTTTTTTATATTATATAAATATTATAATATATTATTTTTAAATTTAAGGAAAATTTTCAAGTAATTTACCAATAACTTTTTTATCAATTAACCTATCCGTATGTTTAAAAGTTTTTCATAGTAGTCTAAGCCTGTTCTATAGATTTCACTTATATTGTAATGTCTCCTTTCATTTTAACTAATAATTAAATTCCTGGAAGATCACTTCATAATGTATACTTCTAAAAGAAATAAAAGGTTGTTAAATAAAAAAACAAAATTATAATTATTAAATTAAATTATAATTATAAAATCATATATACTGAGAGTCGTGTTAGTCCGTATAATATTATATGGAGGTGTTAAAGTTTTTTATTTGAATGATTTGAAAAATATTGGAATATATTAATAACCTCATTTTATGTTTTTTTAAATTTTAAATTGATTTAACTTTATAATGTGTTCATTTTTAACTAGATAAATGAAAATTAAACTTCCTAATATTTATACAGAACGGTCTTAATAATCCAAACACATTGATTAATATTTACTGGGAAACAGAGTCATTTCCATTCCATCGCTTGTCAGTCAACTTTAGGTTTTTTGTCTTTCTCGTTTGAGTTATCAAAACCATCTTATAATTATTAATCTCAAATGGACTTTCACCATTTTCAAAATAAATATTCAAATATTTTTATATCATTAACAGTGTTGCCAGACATATAAGTATGAATTATATAATATAATTTTTGAACTAAACATTATCTCTTTGTGAAAAGTGAACTTACACCACTTTCTAAGGAATTTTATTTTTAATTTTATTAACTATATAAATTTATATTCACCAAATGATGAATTCTCTAATTTTGGAAATAAAAACTTCCAGATATATAAACAATTGGTTTATTTTTTAAGTTGACGTTTCAGGAAAATTATTGCCATCTTCAAAATTTAAAATCCCATACTTTCATAGCGATTTATGGCTAAACTCTGATGTGCTCCTTTATCATGATTTGTTATAAATATAATAAAAATATATTATCTGGTGTCTGCTCCAATTATTGGTCCTAGGAATGTTGATACTCCAGATAATATATTTTTATTATATTTATGACATCAATTTATAGCAAATCATGACAAAGGAGCATATCAGACTTTAGCCATAAATCGCTATGAACGTATAGGATTTTAAGTTTTGAAGATGAGAATAATGTTCCCGAAACGTCAACTTAACATTTGCATATCAACAAATAAACCAATTGTTTATATACCTGGAAGTTTTCATTGCCGAAATTAGAGAATACATTATTATACAGCTTATTATACATTATTATACAGCTTCCCTGCAAAAAAGAAGAAAATGATGAATGTTAAAAAAAAAGATTTTGTGGGAAAAGTGTAGATAAAAAGCTCAAAGAATTATTTAATAAAGTATGGACTAATTAAACTCTTGTTTTTAGGCCAAAATTCCCTGTTCGAAGAATTGTAAATGCGTGGGTTGTAAAAACACTGAAGGGTTCCTGAGGAGAGGTTTAGGAGACGATGATAAATTCGGTATCAGGGAAAAGGCTGATTCTACGTCTGCGAGAAACTCTTGTGATCCACATATAACTGGCCATAGGTAAGTGTTTATTCTTATTTATTTTTATTTAAAGTGGATGTGTTTTTGTTACGAAATTTTGATTGCATGTAATATTGTAAATGTAATTGCATATTTATGGTTTGCTTACCTGAATTATTTGATTAAAAATTTTGAGTTATAAAGCTTAAATATTCCGTCAGAATCTGAATGTTATTGTACAATTTTATTATTGCTGATTTAAATAAATTTTGGAGATTTTAATTAATAAATTATTAATAATTTTACTAGGATGATTAGGAAATTGTAATAAATTAAGAATACTGATTAAAAGGGGCTAATAAATAAGTGTTTTCCCAAGTTTTTACCCATGTTTTTTCCTTAAATTAACTTTTGCATTATATTGAAGATAATTGGAAGGATGTGAGATACATTTTTTATCCGTTTTAAAACATGATTATCTGGGTTTCAAAGATGATCGATATATGTATATTTTGTTTGTGCTAAATATTCGTCTTTCCATTGGCTTTTTGGATAATGTAATCTGAAATTAAGTATGTATAGTTGTTTCCTATGCAAAACGATACCATGAAAATTTGGGTTAGTTTTGACATGTTGAAGTATTTCTTTGTGGTTTTTGCATCTCTACAGTTCTTCCAACTAAGAGTTGAAATTTTTTATGAAAATTGAGTTCGTATTAGTCAAGTGTCTTTTGGTGAACATCACCATTTTTTTGCACAGTTTTTTCCTTATTATTAAAGTTTTAAATATCTTTAGATTCCCTTCAATTATTTAATTAGAGGGTTTAAAATTGAAATTCCAATCCGGGGTCTTAAGTTAGACTTTATGTTTAGGTTTGAGACTTATCGAAATGTTTTCAACTGTTCATAAAAAATTTCACTCTTTTCTAGGAAATAATTATTGATATATAAGGCGATGTTCCTACCAGTACTTCTGCATGGATCTGAAAGCTGGACAACCTTCGATAAATACATTGGCAGGATCACAGCTCGATTGAATATTGAAATAAACATAATTTATATGTTTAAGACCTTCGATAATCTTCATCTATACTCTTTATGATTATTAAGCAAAATAATGATTACAATGCTTGCAATTAAATTTGAGCATTACTCCAATCAAAATTAAATTTTATTTTAAATCCACATCTCTGTAACACATTGTATAATCTATCTTTATATATAATTCATTAGTACAATTTATTGCAGTTTCATTCCCTTTTCCAACTCTCAGGAGTGATGGATTTTAATGAATGAGGTATCAAACGAAAGGGAATTTCATTATATGAAAATTCAGGGGAAAAAGTTATGAAAAAAAAATGAACTTTATTTGCGATTAACTCATTAGTAAACATTTTTTTCTGGATTAGATCCATAATGATTTAAAAGATTACTAAAATCCTTACAAAACAAAAAAAAAATCATCAAAATCGGTTAGAAATTTATTCATTTAAAATAATTTGTACTGACCAAAGGATCAAAAAAGTGGGTTCAAATATTTCTTTAAGGAGAACCAGAGTTCAAATTTGTATTTTCCACCTCGAAAATCCCTCAAATACGAATTTTTATACCAATCAAAAAAATAAATATTTTGCTTAAAAATTTCACCTAGACTCCTTGATTTTTTTTCAAATAGTGCGATAACTTCAACATGCTTCCATGTATCCACATTCAAATTAGTCGGAATTGAGGGCCTCGTAAACTACACAAATGACAAACCGGAGCCATGTAAACATATATCTGGAGATATAAAATAAAAACCTGTGGAAAGTTTTTATTTATTTTTTCCTTTTAGAAGCATTAAATCTTAAAGTTATTGATATAGTTTCGAAGAAGAAAAAAAAATCAGCTTTTCAATGGTTATAGTAACATTGAAAGGGGAGAAAATCCTGAGGAGTTTATGGATGTTTAAGTGAATGGCAAGGAAACAAATTCTAAGTTGAAATGGTTACTACGGTGACCAGCTCAACACAACACTATTTATCTTGATATGTAATGTGGTAGTATTTCGTAGTCTAGATCTCTTTTCCATTTCTGAGGGAAGATGGATTTTGATGAATGAGATATAAGCAAAAGGGAATTTCGTGGTCAATTGACAAATCATAGTCACATCCTCTCCTCCACCCCCCCAAATTTCAGGAAAAAAGTTATGAAGGAAAAGAAACTTTATTTTCAAATTACTCAAAAATTATACATTTTTTCTTGATCAGACCCATAATTATCTAAAATATTACTAAATTCCTGAAAAAAAACCCATAAAAATCATCGAAATTGGGCCATTATTAGCAAGGATACAGTCTACAGTAATTTACAAATGTTTTGTTTTATTATATTGTTTATTTATTATATTTCATCGACTTATTTCTATATTATACGGTAAATTGTTCACTGACTAATATACTATAAATATTATTCAAATAATTTCAGATATTATTGCAATAGGGAGGGTACATTTTCTGCAATCATAAAAAAATACTGAGAAAAAGCACTTTCTTTAGTTTTTTTTTTCGATGAATTGCTTTCAGTGTATTCCAGACAAAAATGTGTCATTAAGACTTGCCTGTCATTTTCATGACCTTAATTGTCAATACTCAGGTATTTTTTGGCATTCCTCGCCATTCCATGATCAAATTTTTAAATGTGATCTTAAAATCAGCTCCATTTTTAGTTGCGATTCTGAACTTATACCATAATATGTATAAATGATAAAATAATATCACAGTAAATCTAATATTTTATGGTGCTGCTTCGAATCTGGCCTAGGATAGTTTTTCCAGTTGAAAAACACTGAATTAAATCAGTTAGTTTGTAATCCATTTCATTTTTTATCTTAAATAATATATTTTCCTGTTTTGATCTTTTTTTTATATTTTTTTTTCCAGACAAGTTTTGAATCTGATGTCTCCTCAGCTAGTGGAAGCGACGTGCCAATGCCTGGTCGCTCAGGTTGAGGAGTGGTCTCGGGGAGGCAGTACTGACCTGGATCTAGCACAGACTTGGGTGATTGAGGAATTAGGCCGATGCTTAGCCCAGCTGATAGATTGTATAAATAAATCTCTTGCACAGATTCCACAGTCAACCTCTTGAGTGTTAAAGGATAAGGTATCTGTATAAATCAAATCCTAATTAATTACTTTCCTATTCATTGTATGCTGTTCATGAACTTCAATGGCCTTGCTGTTCTGCCTCAAGCTTATAAGATTTTTAAAATCAAATTTGTTGTACATCTTCATTCTTAGATCGGTCATTGGAATGACTGATATGATTAAATAGCATCTGTACTGGTCATCTTCTTTTAGAAAATCCAATAGTATTGCTTAGAAAAGCTCTGTGGAGAGTAGATTCCATTTTAAAAATAATCAATTTTATTTTATTTTCTAATTTAATTTTTATTGTATTGGAAAAACTAATTATTTATCATTATTTAGTGCATTCTAAGTCATCCAAACTTTGGTTGGTCTAAACATTCCAATAATTGAACAGAAAAAAATGGAGGAAAGATGGTTAAAAAGTTTTATTCAGGTGGATGTAAAGAACACAAAAACCAGAGACAAATTTTAATGGAAGACATCCACTGTTTTCAAATGTGTAGGAATTTTTTTGGCTTATGACATAATTTACCTGTATGTATCTGCCAGGCTAGAAATGAGAATAAATAAACTCATCAAGAGATGAACTGTTTCATAAGATACATCTTTGGGATCCCCAAGCGTTCTCAGGTTTCATTCTAGTTCACCGAGTTGATGTGGTTTTATCCTACTTTCTGATGACAATTCCTCCTTGGTGTTTTCCTTTTCCATGTCCTCAGAACCAAAAACTCTCCCTACATCCTGGAACTCCTTACTCTATGTTTCTCTATCCACTCTCAATACCAGGTCAATCTATAGATTTATATATCCCCTCTCATAAAACTACTTCGTTCAGAAAATCTTTCGTCATTCGTGCTACCTCCTTTTAGAACTCTTACCTAGCTCCATACGTCAATCCGCTTCCATAATTTTCTTCAAACAACTCCTGTTCCACCTCCTATTCCATATTCAAACTTCTGCGAACATGTAAAATTTATTTGCATCTGTACACTATTTGATTCAATCAATAGCAGGATTGCTAACAATCAACGTTTAGTTAGGTATAATTTTGTATCCTTCTAAGCCAGACTAAGGCTCATAAATATGTAACTCTGTTATTATTCTTAGGGGAGTGTAGTCCCAGAATAAAATTATTTTTCATTTCATTTCAATGTACCGTGGCCTAATCAATACTATTGTGCATCAGAAAGTATCAGCTGTTTTCTTCAAAATATTAATATAGACTTAATTGATTGTCTGTACCTCGATCATACAACCTATCTCGCTGAGGTCATATGATAAGCAGCTTTTTATTGAAAAGAAGGATGGTTGAGGTGATCAGTCAAATTGAAATGGTAAAAAATAAATATAATTTTATTTATTTTTACATTCGCCAAAGCTTAGGCCCAAAGTTCAGGCCTTCATCAGGGCTGCTGTACAAGAAGTACAGCAGCCCTGATGAAGGCCTGAACTTTGGGCCTAAGCTTTGGCGAATGTAAAAATAAATAAAATTATTAATTTTTGACCATTTCAATTTGACTGATCACTACAGTCAACCATAAACCCACAATTTTTTATATATGGCATTGTGAATTACGGCCTATTCAGGTCTATGGTGCGCAATAATCTCGGCTGTTTACCTCTGAGCATTAATTAGGTAGCGTTTGAAAACTGTAGAAGACTTGGATTGGATTGATAAAGTATCCAATCCAAGTAGCAGTTACAGTCCTTTGATCTACTCCGAATAGCCTAAACCTGCAAACCTACCGCACCTACAGATGACATGATAAGCAGTCTCATCCTCACATTGACAAAACCTATACAGAAGTGACTCTGTTAACCTAAGTTTATAGTTATAATAATTCAGTTGGCAGTGCTCTGTATAGATTGTTGTAATTTTGGTCATGAAGAGCAATATATTACTCCTTGGACCGGACCAAGAACAGCCTGGAGTGTCTGTTCCCTGCGATACCAGGATTATTTTGCGTTTTCATAACATATTTCCCTGATTCTCCTTTTGGCATAGCTCAGGCTTAAGCCACTCTGTGGTTTGTGTGTAATGGGAATATTTTCAGATCCTTTCCTGGCTAATTCATCCACTTTATCATTAACGGAGTGATCTGATTCTCATTCGATAGTTACGTTGTTGTGCGGTGATATGTTATTCAGGATTTCAGATTGCATTGCAATCTTTGATTTTGTAGAGTAATTAATGAGTGAGTGGTCCACTAGCTTCCTGATTGTCAGAATAAACAGTTATCCTATTTGCTAAGAGGAATAAACATGCTATCATTCGCTCTATCTTTTCTCCAGACGCCTGATCGACAGGTCTTAAGCGAGTCAGGATTCTATGATTAACATATTTTCCATGACAAATCTACACAAAGTTGACAAACTAAGTTTGAACTGGTTATAATTCAGTGCATAATAAGTACCACATCATGCCCAATCCTTTGAATTAGTTTCCAGTATTAGTCTAGAATTTCGACTTATCAATTTTAAGTTTACTCCAGGTGCAAGGGATTCTACTTTACTATCTAACACTCTCATTTTTAATCCAGTATTTTTCTTGTTAAATTTAATTCAGTTATAATTTAATTTTTTTTTTTTTTTTTTGTTTCAGCATTTTAACAGATGACATCACCCCTTTAAACTCTAATGGAAAGTTGGAGACTTTCTGCTGTACAATAATAAATCAACGAGAAGCCTAAACCTAAAGTTAAAAAGTGATCTTTCATTTTCTCATTATTATGAAATAATGTTTGTTTTAAACATTTTAAAAATAAATTACAAACAATTTATTAGTTCGGAATATTTTAAACTTATATTAGTTATAAAGGTATTCACCAAACATAATTTGTAAATTTAATATTGTAGATTTGAAAGGGAAAAAAATAATTGTTGACGCAAATTAATATTTTATCACTTAAATTAAATTAGTAATTTAATGAACTTATATTTTAAAATTTTCTTATAAATTGCTTTTATTTTCTTTATAATCCATTATTAGGATGTTGTTTTATTATGTAAATATCTTTAAGTGATATATAAATTGAGTAATCCTGCCATCAGCATCATATTGAATTTATTTAATTTTATTTGTTAAATTTGTAATTTTTAATAGTTCGTATTCTTCAATCCTTAAATCATTGTTGTTGTTTTTTTATTTTCCGATTGCCTCTGATATAATCGCTTAATTATTAATTAAAATAGATACGAAATATAATTTTTCTATTTCGATACTAATCACAGTCGGAGCATTTGAAATTTGTAGGCTTTGTTATTGTAGTAAAAGTGATCAATTATTCTGTCAAGATCTCAGAAAAGTTCTTAGGTGTAAATGTATTATGTGTATATGTTATTAATGATGGGTTACCAATAATTTATAATTTAGTCATTTTCAGTATTTATTTTGTTTTCGCCATTGAAGTAACTGTCATAAGATTGATTGTGTATTATATTTTATTATATGTTGCTGTTAGTGTTTACATATCATTAGAACATAGTCAACTGGATTGATTCTTGATGGTATGTATTTATTATTATTACAGGAATGTTAATATTTAAGAAAAGTGAAAATGTATATATGTATTGGCTACTTCATATCATTAGAGGTTCATTTGTTTTTTAACCTTCTCAGTGTGGGGCATTTTAATGAGTTTATTATCAATGGATTTTTATTTTTAAAATAAATTTATGTTTTCATGTTCAAATGGTATGTAAACATACATATTCAGTTGAATCTATATTAGTATATATACAAATTACATATATATATATATATTGAGCGTGATCTCGGTCAAATCACCTCCTTGCACAACCGTTGACCTAGAAACAGTGCTTTCCCTAAATAGTACTGAACCCCAGACCCTTTATGGGTTGTAGTGGTACAGGTTTTTTAGTATATGTACAAATTACATATATATTAGTATATATATGGAATTCGTATTTGCTTAGGTCAACTAAAAACAGTTACACCTAATTTTTTATGATTAAAGAATGTAAATTAAATATTATGTAATACAGAAGTGTTGTTATTAATCATTATAAAGCTGGATTTCCACTACTGAAAAAATCGAAAACCTGTTTATGGGATGTTGGAAATGAAGTCTCATCTTTACTATTTTATGCAACAGACAAATCATATGTTATAAGAACTTCGATGGATGAAAAAATAAATTTATATGTTTATTATTTTAATTATGTCTGTAAGTAAGAAATTATTTATAATTTAATTAGTTAAGCATTAAAATATTGTTTTTATTAAGTGTTCAAATTCATATGTTTTTAATAATCGTTTTTCCACTTCTTTGTTTAATGGGATATTCCCATCTCACAACTGACATTTAAACATCTCTATTAGTCAGTTGTTAAGACCGCTTTGAGTTCATAACGACTAGCTAATAGATTAAAGGATTGACTAATTTATTTCAATACATTTTTTTTCACTCTTGTTTGATCTCTTACTGTTGAAAACAAAATTAGAGTTCAAAACATAACTTTTTTTTTAGCAAGCATTTATAGCAAAATTCATTTTTGTTTCAGAATTAGTATTAATACAAAAACAGGCAGAAAGCTATAATTTTGTTGCAATCTATTAGATTTTGATTTAATCCATTTGGAAATCCAGTTTGATATATGATTTTTAATTTAATAATCAATCAAAAAGGTTTTGGTTAATAATGCCTGGCTCTGAAAGGGTTAAAAAAAAGTCAAATTAATCTGTATTTTGGTGTTTTGTATATAAACTTGGAAAAATTATAATTTCATAAATGACTCGCTTCCATGGCAAAAGTTAATTCTTTTTTTTTTTTTATAGTGTACATTTAATGATACCTAACATTTATAATTAATTGTATTTAAGCTCAATTATGTAAATACACTACTATTTAACACGTTGAACTGATCATAGTTTAATGTTAGTAGTCAAATTTTAGACTTTTATAAATTGTATAGCGTACGTGGTTGTTTTCTTTTAAATTTATTTTATTTATATCATATGCTGTTGGTTTGTATAAGAGAGAAAAAAATAAAAATAAAAAAAATGTATAAATTTTAATGAACCTGCTGTGATTATTTTATGCATAGTCTGTAATGCTTTTAATTGAAAGTTTAAAATAAGGTTTAATTTATCATATGTGTAATATTAATGTTGGCAATTTCCCTATTAATTTGGGTTGAATTGCTTTCTTATTAAATTTAATAGTCGATTCAATTTGAAAATAATTATGTAATCAAATTTATTTGGATCTATATATTTATTCTGTTGTAATTTATGTATTTAATTCAATTAAAAATCGTAATAGTCAAAAGCTGTTTTTTATAGAGTGCTATTTTAATATTAAATTCTCTTTTTCAAAAAAAATAAAATCTTATTAGCATTTTTGTAAAAAGAATAAGTTAATTTTATTTTATTTTTAGTAAATGTAAAATTAAAAAAAAAAAAAAAGGTTATTGAATGATCTTTGACATATATTTATTTGAATAAATGAAAAAGCAACTCATTTATTTCTAGAGTTGCTTTTTAATAATTATGTGTTAATGTTTTATTGACCATTCCTTTACCCTATTCCCTATAAAAATATGAAAGTAATATATGTAATATAAAAAATATGTGTAATTAATCTATTAACAGTTTGTTAACCGCAATAAACTGGGGTTAAACTTGGGGAAATAAACCGTTGCTGAGTTCGTGTCTCTGCCAGCAACTTCCACCAATCATCACGATTCCGTGCAGTTGCCATCCAGTTGCACATTCCAAGGATGTTCGGAGACCTGAACGAAATTTGGCTCTTTAAATAAACAATACACCTACTGGTTTGTGCAACATCTCTAGATTCACTCTACCAACACTTCTCCAATTATCCTCCGAAGAATTTTCCGCTTGAACACAAGAAGAACCTGTTCATTACGCTTGGTCTTAGTCCAAGTTTCTGAGCTATATATTAACAATGGGCGGATTATGGTTTTGTAAAAGTGTAATTCAGTTTGGCGGGAGAGAATGTGGCAGCCAAGCTGCTTTCTCAGGCCGTAGTAGAACTGGTTACCAGAAATTAGGCATCTCTTCAGTCACCATATTTTTGGTTTTTTCCTGGTTCCTTAAGTTTCCTTGCAGGACCTATCAGTGCTAGAAAAACTTTTTTGACAACCTATTGAGAGCCACCAATGATGTCGATATCTTCCGCATAAGCCAGTAGTCAAATTAAGCCATCAAAGTAGAATTAAAAATATTTTTACTGTTTTTGAATGGCCATTTATTATTGTCTGTTACCCATTAACTTTCTCATTATTGAATAAGTTGAAGAATAATTGAAAACAGAGTTTTTGACAGGATAGATCCAAAACCAGAATAAGTTCAGGATTTTGCATCTATTAGCAGTCTTTTAAAAGTAAATGAAGATTTGATTTTAAAAGTGTTGCTATTTGCAACTGTTCAACATAATAAATCAAAATAAAGTACAATTTATATATCATGGATGATAAATATTCAGGATGCAGTCATTATAAAAATGTTTTATTTGTGCCGATGTTTCAATCCAAATATGTGGGTCATGATCAGGGTGTGGTTTGAGCACAGAAGGCTTTAAAGTACTGATGAGTGTGTTATGGACTTTCACAAGTACTGATGAGTACTTAAAAAGCCTTCAATGCTCGAACCACGCCCTGGTGATGACCCACATGTTTGGGTTGAAACGGCACAAATAACAAAATTTTTTTTATAATGGGTACATCCTGAATATTTATCACCCATGATATGTATAACAGTCGACGTGCTTCCTTCAACACTTTATTTATCCATAACACACTTATCGTAACTAAAATAATAAATGAAATTGGGTGGACCTTGTAGAAAAAAAATTACTATCAATTTTAAAATCTTTATTTTATTTTACCACAATTTAAAGAAGTTATGTTTAAGGTTGTTATCCAATAAAATATTATAGCTAAGATAGTTAATGAAATAGTATTATTTGCAATTGATTAACTTTATTTGTTATTAAAAATAATATATAAATATGTAGTTAATTTAAAGGATTAAGTGAAATAATTTTAATTTTAAAAATCTGCTGCACGCAAACACACAACTTTCACTTGTTTATCAAATTACGCAAGCAAATTTAATTGTTTATCACATTTTTTTATATACAGTCAATTAGTTAATTATTCATGAAAAACTTAAAGAATTCAGACAGCCTATTTTGTACCAGTAATAGACATTCGGGTTGTGGGGGTAAATAGGATTTTATATAATTAAAAAAAATCCAAAATAAATTATCCACTAAGTGAAACTAAGAAATATCAAACCACATAATAATGAATAAAAATTTCTAACTTATCTATTATAGAGTAGTAATAAGGAATCCAACTTGAAACAAATCTCAGGCTTATATAATTAAGAAATCAACTGTCAATCGGCTATTGTGGCATGGTATCATTTGAGATACAGGTATCACCCTCCTAAGTGTTCTAGTTCCAAATATATTCACATCACACTTGCATTTTATATTTAAGTTGAATATTGTCCATTACTGGTACATTTACTTTAAATCATATATAATAATAGTGTGGAGATGGTTGAATATGATTATAATTTGAGGAGTTGACAACACCCCCGGCCAACTCCTTCTCAAATATGTAATAATAGATGAATTGACAATCTTCAGTTATAATTATATTTATTATTTACGTAATAATATTTAAATTAAAATATTTTTTAACCTAATTTAAAATAAGCCTAACTGAACTTGTGCTGGGCTCAATACTGTCCTATACATTTAAAAAAAGCCTTTTGTATACAATAACAATGTATTTATTTTTCAGAAGTATCAGATTTCAGACTACCACCTTCTTGAAGAAAATACTTAGGGATGATAAACTACCCTGCTGATTGGAGATGTTTTCGGAAAAAAAATGGCATAAATGCGATGAGACCATTGACAAACAAGTCAAAAATAAAACAAGATATTCTGCCATGGAAATTTTCTTCAGTTGAATCCACACCAGAAAAATTAATATTTTCAAGACTCCAAATTGGAGCATGCAGTCTTCACCTATGTATACTTAATCACAGGCCTGGAACCACCACTCTGAGAAACAAGCAACACACCTCCGACACCAGAATGAAACTGTATACTTTCCAATATGGCTAAAGAACTTGAAGATATGAAGGCAGAATCAAAAGACTAATTCATTTAATGAGAGCCATTAAAATTTTTAATGTTGTATAGTTGTAAATTTTCATTACATTTAATTATTGTATTTATTATTGTAATTATCATTGTCATTTAATACTTGTAATAATTACAGAAACTATTGATGTTATTTATTTTTTGTATTTTAGAGATGGATCTATAGTTGATTGTTGAAATTGTAAATTTTAAATGAAAAATGGTCAAGATGTGGAGTTAAAAAAAGTATTTATTGGTTTTGCCTACGTTTCAACCAAAGCATGTGGGTCATCAACAGAACAATGACTTGAAGTCTGGACAAGAACTCTCCACGCTGGACAAGAACTTTTCTTCTTAATTTTCTAAATTATTATAATTATTCCTATAATCATTAGATTATTATTGTCATAATTTAATTATTGGTATTGCAATTATTCATGTTATTTAATACTTGGAATTATTATAAAATAACTAAAGAATATTTTAATAAGTATTACATCAAGTTGAATTTATATGGTGAGGTGATAAGTATGTATACTTGACAAAAATTAATAAGAGAATAAGTAAAAACTATCCTTTTTCAGGAAAACATTTAAAGGTGTTTGCTACAGAAGTTGAAAAGAAAAGGGCTTATCTCCCCCAAAAGTTAAAATTAGCAAATCTTATATTTAATAATACTTTTATTGAAAGATGTATTTTGTGTGTGTTATTCATATTTCCATTAGATTTTTAAACGTTATGTAACAGTTACATGAATAATTGAAATTATTTTATCATTATATAAGATAAATAAAAATTATATTTGTTGTATTAATGAAGGTCATTCAATAGAAATGACAAATTTATTAATTCTGTGTAGATTTTTTTTTGTTCTATTATACCAAATGATGGAACCATTTTCTGTATATTTTTGCTCTTGTACTCACACTTGAGTGCTTCTGTACAATAATTGCAAGATTCTATGTATTTTGTTTCAAATAAATCCTTTGAAAAAAAAAAATAATGATTCTATTTTTCTTCTTTAAATAGTGAAGAATTCCCTTACCCAAATCCTTCTATTCCTTTCCCTTTTCAATTTTACTCCATAATTTACCCAGCTAACAAGAATGAAATCCTTAATTAGTTATTTAAATAAAATAAATTAAGCATACTGACTGAGTATGCTATATTTACTAAAAGAAAATGTATCATCGATGTTCTGTAAAAAGAATGATTTCATCAAATTTTAGTTTTATAACAACCTACCAATTTGTAAATAGGGAATTGTAACTTCAGATTTTCTCATATAAGAATGGCAAAAACATCACTTTCCTTGAATTTTTTTTTTTTAAATCGAGTATTGTTTGGAATCATCCTTTTTTCATAAAAAGATATAAGAGGATGTGAAAACGAAATGAATATATTATATAAAAAATATTACTTAATCTAAGAAATAGATATTAGAGAGAAAGAAAAAAGTATTAATTCAATAAATGGTGAAATTAACACCTAATTAGAAGATTTGTCATTATTTTTCTGATATTTGGACGGAATTAGAGTAAAAAGGAAGCATTTTGAATTTTTCGAACAATTCTAAAATATTTTGATCATTCGCAGCATGAATAAACAAGATATAAGCTGTAGTATAAGAAATAGATATTATAAAGAAAGAAAAGTATTAACTTAATAAATGGTGAAAATAACTCCTAATTAGAAGATTTGTCTTTATTTTTCTGATATTTGGGCAGAATTAGAAAAAAAAGGAAGCATTTTGAATTTTAGGAACAATTTTAATATATTTTAATCGATATCAGTATGAAATAAACAATGTTCTTTTATAAAATGGTTAAAATTGGAAGATTTAGAGTGAAATAAGAAACAAAGTAATTATTTTAAATTTTTTGAACGCTTTTTAAGTATTCAGATGAATTTCGAACATGAATAAACAAGAAAACAAAAAAAAACTGGTCCAGAAAGCGTCCGACGCAATAATTCCGAGTTGAAAATCTTTATTTTGTATCAGGATAGTAAGAAATAACAGGAGCTCACTTTTCGAGGCGGTCCTGATACCGTTGGTGCTGCTATCTGTTGGCAGAACACAAGAACTACGAATTTTATTCGAATTTCTAGCGAGAAATTCGTCGATTTGTATCAGGATATTAGGAAGTCGAAGGAGCTCACTTTTCGAGTCGACCAGGAGTTCTAATAGTGCTGCTATCTATTGGCAGAACACAAGAACTACGAATTTTATTCGAATTTCTAGTGAGAAATTCGTCGATTTGTATCAGGATATTAGGAAGTCGAAGGAGCTCACTATTCGAGTCGACCAGGAGCGTCACTAGTGCTTCTATCTATCGGTAAATTTGAAAACTACAATTTCCATTGCTTCCTTGGATGATGCTGGTCTCTAGCGGCAGTTTTGGAAACTACGTTCGAGTGTCGTATTCCTTAAGGTTGCTTCCTGGATAGTGCTGCTATCTGGCGACACATTTTTCAACTAAATGCCGTATTCATGTTCCCTGGATAGTGCTGGCCTCTTTTATCGGTTTTTGGAACTAATGTTTCATTTATATGTGTATTGGATGGTGCTGCTCCCTTTTATCGGGTTTTAGTACTATTATTCAAAATTCGTTTAAAGTTATAAACGATCGCTAAAATTGTTGCTTTTGCTTTGTTATATTGTTTAAATGTTTATTAATCCAATTCTTAACGTGACAGGCTTCCATAACATGTTAAAATTGCGTGTAATAAATTCTATGAAATGTTTTCTTACTGAAGTATATTACCTTAACTGATTATTTCATGTTTTAAGCAATATATTATGGAATAATGTTTTTTTCATTAGAAATAATAGAATTTAGTTTAATTAACTATCGCTAGTTTTTCAAAAGTGTTTGCAGTGATGTGAAGTTTTGAATGAATCTAGAAGTATCAACAGTGAAATGTGGTTATAAATACAGATATGTAATAGTGTTATGTATTATTTAATATATGGTAAAACATAATAGAAGAAAACAAAATATATTTCTCTAAAGTGTATGTAGTGAGTTATTTGGAGTTTTGAATACATCGACAGTGAACTGTATTTATCATTATTGTGGATATGTAGTTATTTTGTGATGTATTTATATATATATATATATGATAAAACATAATAGAAAAACACAAATAAAAGTAATTCTGTGAAGATTTGTTTTTAATTTAGCCTATTCTTTCTTTATAATCAAACACTGATGCTCATTTCTGTACTTATTATTAACTACAAGTCAATATTTCTTATATATATCTCCTGAATGTATATCTAATTCAAAGTAAAACTATTTGCTAAATAGTTTTTCAAATGTTGAAGGTAAGTTTCTACAATTTTCTATCTATCAAATTAAACATGCCCATAAGGAATAATTCATTAATAGTTTCCTCAATATTGTCCTTTTCCATTTTGACACCGTTTTTCATTTAAAATATTTTGATAGTTGAAATCTTAACATTTTAAAAATATTTTCTGAAAATATCTTGTGCTGATTGTTAATACTATAGCACAATTTGATTATAGTTGATTGACTGTGGTTTATATAATAGAACAAATTATCAGGATTCAACCATTATTTTATTGCAAAATACAACCCTCATTACAAACTTTTGGGTGTTCAAGGATGAAATTAAATCAGATATACAAGAAATATATGAATGTATTTAATATATAGAGAAATAAATAAGAAAAACATAATCAATACAAGTAAATTAAGAATAAAGAGAGTAGTGAAAATATAAATAATAATAGAGGTACATATTATTTTACTTTATTTATATCCTTATGGCTTAATTTATTGTTATTTACTTCTATTATTTTTCCTTTTGAATCAAATAAAAGGAAAGTAGAAAAACAGTCTGAAGTTCAAATTTTATTTTTTATTGTGGGAAATTTGGATTATAATATATAAAATGTTTACACAAGTTTATTTATTATATATTTAACAAAAGTATAAAGATCATTTAAGAGAAATAAAAATAACCATATATATCACACTACATTTTTCTCATTTATAATATATATTAACTAAGTAAACAATACAAATATATAATTTAAATTCATATACATAAAAACAAAGATATGAATTACAGGTATGGAATTATTTCACTGTTAAGTTAATGTTTAGTTTATAAAACTAGGTCTTCAATGGTAGCAAAACTGATGAATTAATATATATTTATTTAAGATATAACAAAATTCATATATCTTCTTAATTGTATAATTGATCTTTAGTTCGCTGAACAAAAAAAAAAAAAGATACTTGTTCGTCGGTTACAATGTTCCTGATTATGATGAAAAGTTCCTTAATCATCCAACATATGCAATCAATCAGAGAGATCTTGAACATTAAGAAAGTTGATTAGTTCAACGGTGATGAATATTCTATTTAAAAAGTTCTAATAACTAGAACATTAATCCTTAAAATATAAAGAAAACTGGGGATAACTAAATTTATGCTTTTAATTGTAACAATAAAATGAAAATTGTAACACAAAAATTATAATTATAAAAGTTTATTGAATAGAAATTCTATTTATTCATAATTAGTTTATATCTCAATGCATAAATATAATAAGAAGTGTAAAATTATTGTAAACAAATTGAAATAATTAAATAAAACAATAGTACTATTGTTACTTTGTCTCAGATCATTGTGCATGCTGGTGTTACATCTAAAGGTTTATTGTATATATCACAATTTTTGCTTTAATACACCTCAGATTGTGATTGTATCACTGTTACAAAATAAGACTTATTTCATATAAATAATAACAATTAAATAATGAATAATAGTGTCATAATTGGTAATTGGTTGACTATCGTGGATAATGAAGAGAAGAATAGTTGGGGTGCTCAGTCAAAAAATAAATTATAATATTTATTTTTTACATATGCCGACGTTTCGACCTGAAGTTCAGGCCTTCATCAGGGCTAAGAAAAATAACCAGATAACAAGGTATGAGAAACATAAGTAATGATGGTAAAAAAGATAATAAAAAATGAGAAAATAAAATAGATTAGATCTAGATAAAGTAGATCTAAATAAAATATTAGAAAAATAAAATAGATAGATATAAAGTAAAATGAAATTGTTAGAATAATGACTAAGAACTAAGAGATAAATAATACAGACTGTTACATAGTGTGGAATGATGAAGTAGGCATAATCAAAAAGGGGGTGACAAAAGTGTTACATTGGGAATCTTAGAATAAAAATGTAAAAACATAAAAAAGAAATGAAAATAGAATAAATAGTAAAATTAAAAACATTCAGAATGGAATTGAGACGGTTATCAGACGAAGTATGAACTAGAAGAACGCTAGCAGCCTAAATAGGTACGAGAGATATATTTAGAATTTCCATAATTTTTCTAAATAATATATCTCTCGTACCTATTTAGGCTGCTAGCGTTCTTCTAGTTCATACTTCGTCTGATAACCGTTAGAGATGACGCCACCTCCACATCCCTTCTCTCTCCACCTCCTTTGTAACGACTTTATTCTCCCCTTGACACTTAAGGAGAAAGGTAGTACTTCTTTTATTTCTTTCTTATTTCAGCTTTCTCAATTTCTTCCCTCCTTCCTTTTCTCTGTTGTTAACTCTCTATTATATTATACATTGTCTGTACATCTTGATAGACTTTACAATATCTCAATTTTCTATCTAACTACTCCATTCTCAAAGTTTTTAATTTTACTATTTATTCTATTTTCATTTCTTATATAACTTTATATTTCTTTTTTATGTTTTTACATTTTTATTCTAAGATTCCCAATGTAACACTTTTGTCACCCCCTTTTTGATTATGCCTACTTCATCATTCCACACTATGTATTATTTATCTCTTATTTCTTAGTCATTATTCTAACAATTTCATTTTACTTTATATCTATCTATTTTATTTAGATCTACTTTATCTAGATCTAATCTATTTTATTTTCTCATTTTTTATTATCTTTTTTACCATCATTACTTATGTTTCTCATACCTTGTTATCTGGTTATTTTTCTTAGCCCTGATGAAGGCCTGAACTTCAGGTCGAAACGTCGGCATATGTAAAAAATAAATATTATAATTAATTTTTTGCCTTCCTTTTTTGACTGAGCACCCCAACTATTCTTCTCTTCATGAATAATAGTGGATGAATGGACAAGCTTCAGTAATAATTATATTAGTTATTTACAAAATAAATTTAAAATGAAAATGTTTTTAAACTAAATTTAAATTTTTTTTTATTTATTACAGTAGATAAGGACAAAATTGTAAATTAGATAATTTTCTTTTTCTTATCTTATTTTGGATTTTCTTATTTTAAAAATCATTTATATTTTATTGAAAACTTCCTTTTGGCACAATTTCGGTTAGTACATACAAATGAAGTAATCACACTTTTAAACAAATAAAGAATAGAACTTGTTCAAGGGAAAAATGAAAACCAAATTTTAGTAATATTATTATATTGATAATCAATATCTATATACACTCTGTAAGAGCAATATTTACATATATCAGATATTACAATAGATTGATAGCTTTCACTATCAACTGAATTTAACTATTTTGTTTTTCCTTTTGGTAGCTGATTTTTTGGATGTGGGTTCATTAGACTGACCATCTAAGGTTTCGATATCTTGGTCAATCAGCCCCACAGTCACCTTATTAGATTTTTCCTGAAGAGTAGGACACTCTCTTCTGAAGTGAGTGACATCTCCACAAAGCCTGCAGCCTCCCCCTGAGGGGTAAACGCCCCTTGGGTTATCAGGGCACTGTTTCGAAATGTGACCCTCCTGTTTACAGACAAAACAAGTAGCAAATTTATAGGAATCTCCAGTATTCACTTTGCACTGATAGTGGGTATGTTCTGTAGAGCCACATTTATAGCAAATACCACTTCCTACTGTGTAGACCCCATTATCAGCAAGCATAGGGCAAGATGATAGAGTATGACCTCCTTTACGGCAGTGATAACAAACTTTCTTTTTTAATCTGGCTAAAGATTTTTCTGCATTTCTTCTCTCCTTCTTAATGACAGCTCTCACTTCTTGCTTTGACACACCCCGTTTTAATAAATCCTTCTCTAATTGTCTAATCCTCTCTGCATCTTCCTTTTTAATGTAGAATCCATCAAGCCGAGTAACCCAAATTTCTTGACCATTTATATCTAGCTTAACATCACCTTCATCTAATTTCCGGCGTTTGTAAGGCATCTCTTCTTTGTTCTTCTTCTTCTTCCGAGTAATAGTATTATTTTTAATCAAAGATTTCTTATTATTTTCATAACCACCAGACAAATCTTCTTTTTCATTTGTGACTGTAACTTGATTACCTTCTTCAATTTCATTACGGTCAGGTGATTGGTTTTCAGAGTATTCCAAATTATCCATATTTTTTGATCTTTTCCGCTTTTTCTTCTTGATAGAAATGTTATCATCATTAGATGGGTTATCAATTTTTTCTATCTCAAAAGAAGTATTAGATTCACTTAGGACCGGCAATTCTTCTGTTTTCGCTTGAGGTAATTCTTCTACTTCGAAGGTTGACTTGTTATTTTTCAACTTCAATTTAGTCTTTATATTTTTCAAGTCAGATTTTAAATTATCATTTGCTGAATCCAAATTTTCATGGGACAACTTAGATTTCCTTTTCTTTTTAATATTTAAACTACTAGCAATTAATTCATTTTCTGCTGACTTCTTTTTTCCCAATTTCTTTGAATCTATTGTCTGACTCTTATTAACATTCTTACTAACCTTGGCTTTTGAATTCTCTTCTTCAAATTCGCACCAGACACTGTTCTTGTTTTCTTCAATTTTCTTTTCCGAATCAATAACATTTTTCCAATCTGTTTCATTCTCTTGAGTTTCTTCAGTTCTTTGTTTACTGTCGGCCACTTGCTGCTTCAATACAAACCAAGGAGTACTGTCTTCAGGAATTCTTTGATTAGATGCTTTAGAACCGGCGGCCCTAGCAAATCTTGTCATTGCAACAGATTTTAACACAAATTAAAAGGATAACTGTTCACTTTCAAGAAAATAAATACATGCACGTGCCAATAGTAGATAACACAGCAGAGCAGGTTACAAACACACAATATCGATTCCATGACATAGAAGTACAAATTTCTGTAATTGGCTTGCATAAGCAGGAAGCAAGTGAGAGAATTTCGTCTTTTAAATACTAGTATGTTACACAGTTACTATTAGCTTTTTTTTTGGGCCACAACTTTATTAAATACAATTTTTACTAAAAAAAAAAAAAAGAGATCATGAAAAAAAAATGATTGTGAATGGATCATGCCCTAAAGGGGCCCTTTTATCTTCTTTGAAACTCTAGGTTTGTTCATCCTCCAAATGAATAGAAATATGATCTAAAAATACCCAATATCAGTTTTGTACGACTTTTCGTTTTTGAGCTAGGCTCATCATCAGTGCTGGCCTTAGGATGGGCAACCATTGCAATCACCTTGGGACGCCCAACTAGAGGGGCGCTGTCCGATCTTCAGAGGCGCTTGCCACTTGCAAGGAATAAAAAATAATTACAAAGCGTATTAAAATAATTAATTTTAGCCCACCAATAAAGCAATTCTATTAGACAAATGTTTAATGCAATAAAATGAAAATATTACTTAATATAAAACAGCTTAAGAAATCAATTTAATTTTTTAGGGAAAAGAAGATGACGTCATTGCCCTGGGGCTGCTAATGTCTAAGGCTGGCACTGCTCATCACACACACACATACACACAGACCATTTTGTGGGACTTGGTTATTTGGACACAACAACCTCAAAACGTGTATTTCCTTTGAAAACTCAGATTCAAAAATTTTCAAGATCTCAATACTTACTCTTACTATATACTTACTACATACTATATATTGCATATATAAGTAAGTGAACGTAAAAACATTATAATCATTATCTTAAGCTCAACCTACACGGCCAATATTATTGAAACAATATTGTTGAAGGAGGTATATGTCAAAATAATTGTAATAATATATGCATAATTGGTAAATGGTTGACTGTCGTGGATAATGAAGAGAAGAATAGTTGGGGTGGTCAGTCAAAAAAGAAAGCAAAAATAAATGATAATATTTATTTTTACATATGCCAACGTTTCGACCTGAAGTTCAGGCCTTCATCAGGGCTAAGAAAATAACCAAATAACAAGGTATGAGAAACATAAGTAGTGATGGTAAAAAAAAAAAAAAAAAAAAAAGTAAAATGAAATTGTTAGAATAATGACAATAGTAAGAACTAAGAGATAAATAATAATAGCCATTACAAAGTGTGGAATGATGAAGTAAGCATAATCAAAAAGGGTGACATAAGTGTTAAAATGGGAATCTTAGAATAAAATGTAAAACATAAAAAAGAAATATGAAGTTATATAAGAAATGAAAATAAATAGTAAAATTAAGACATTGAGAATGGAGTAGTTAGATAGAAAATTGAGATATTGTAAAGTCTATCAAGATGTACAGACAATGTATAATATAATAAAGAGTTAAAAACAGAGAAAAGGAATGAAAGGAAGGAGGGAAGAAACTAAGAAAGCTGAAATAAGAAATAAATAAATGAAGTAATAATATATTTCGTAATAATATATCCCTCAAATGGTCAATATATTCGATATTGTCCATGTTTAAATTACTTTTTTAGACATTTGGTACCCTGGTGAACTGCAGCATGAGTTTGCTCCTTAACAATCTTCCTCCAAAAAAAAAAAAAAAAAAAAATTAAGCTATTGTTTATTACTTTACATTTGAATTGTATTTCATTCATTTTTTCTGTAATTCAGATGCTTTATTAATTGAATAAAAATCATTTCATTCCATATTGTGTGGCTCTTTTCTGGCACTGATTATAATAATCAGAAAGTAATACGCAATTTCTCAAAGGCTATGGTCAATCATTCTCATTAATAGCGTAAAGAGTCACGGCTGCCTTCTACAGTTTCAGGAGAGGAATGACTATTTGATTCAATAATAATAATAATAATAATAAAATCACGGCAACGTCACCCAAATTCTTCAGTGCCAAGACTATATTTGCCTAGGAAACATGGAGGTAGAGGACTTATTAGTTTAATGAAGGCCTGCCGTGAACAAGAAGCCAGACTTAAAACCTACTTCATGAATAGTACTTCGACAGTGCTGTCGACTGTTGCTGCCCTTGACTACAACTATACAGCACTTAATATGCTTCGGCAAAGACCAATGACAATGTCCACTGAGGAGAGCCTCACAGAATCATGGAAGTGTAAATCACTTCATGGAAGATTTTACAATTCCCTGAAAACACCTGGCATAAATTTAGAAGCCTCAGTCCGTTGATTGACTAAAGGGAAAATGTTCCCAGAGACAGAGGAATTCCTTCTGGCAATACAAGAACAGGTAATTGCCACATCATACAGGAAGTATATTCTACATGAAGCCGTCGATGACAGATGCCATCTATGTAAAGCCACAAATGAATCGATACAGCATGTTACCTCTGGCTGCCAGGCATTAGCTGGTAAAGAATACCTAGCGAGACATAATAATGCAGCAAAAATTGGGCATCAGGCTCTGGCACAAAAATATAAATTAATAACAGGCCATCAGCCTTTTTATAGATATCAGCCGCAGGCTATATTAGAAAAAGGGAATGTCAAGCTATACTAGGATCAAACTATGATAACTGACCTTAGTATTCCTCACAATAGACCTGATATACTGCTCGTTAACAAAGAACCGAAAAAAGCCATCATTATCGAAGCTGGAGTTCCTGCTGATAATGTAGCTAAAACATTAAGTGAAAAAATTCAGAAGTATCAAGAGCTTTGTGAGGAATTAAGGCAGTTATACCGGATGCTGGATGTAAAAGTACTACCCATTATCATATCCAGCAATGGCCTGATTCCTGAAGATACTCTAAAATCAATTGGATTAAGCTGGGAACTTCAGGAAATCCAGAAAGCGGTAATGCTGGGAATCGCCAGCATTGTTCAAAAATTTTTTAATATTTCAAATTAAATAGTTAATAAACTGTACCCTTGACCTCGGTCTGGGTCAGTGGATTTATCCGACATAAAGCCGAGAATTGAAAAAATAAAAAATATAATAATAATAGACAAGGTAATGCACCAAGCCATAGCTTAGAAAATGGAACTCAAGGATCACTATTGTCTGTATTATAAATATCATCAGGGTCAATTCTATATTAAATAAGTAAATAATAGTAGTAAGAAGAAGAATTGCACTTGGAACAAATGGTGGAACCTGTGTTACTGAGAACTGCAAGTATTGTCAGAAAATTCATGAACATCATCGAATAAATTTTCTAGCCTTACTCTTGCATTAGGTTAGGTGGTGTTATCGGCAAACCCCGAGAAAAAAGGAATTTCCCTAAATAATAATAATTAAATAATTAAATTTCACAACTGTTGCCACCAGTACTACTTTAGAAGCATGGCTCCAATTTGATGGGAGGATACTAGATCTCATGATGATACAACAAATAAAATACTCTAGTCAACTAGAACTAGTCTAAAACTAGATAACTTTATTATCCCATCTTCAGACTAGAAACAAGAAACATTTATGTTATTTTTATTTATAGTTTTAAATGCATACATTTTTATAACTTATCATATCAATAACTGATTTCCCAATCTTATCCATTAATCATCTGGAATTTGACCCATAATACATAAATCAGTTCAGTGTTTGACTAGGCTCTCCCTAGAGAAGAGTCCACAATTTAATTAAGATGAATTAATTTATAACAGAATCTATGAAACTACGTACATATAATAATAAAAATACAGAAAAAAAATTATTACATTTTTAGGGATAATTTATAATAATAAAATTTATGATTAGTCTTTTAATAAATTAGATGATGGAAAGATGACTAAGATGGGTAAGATTGGCAAATCAGTTATTGATGTGATAAGTTATAAAAATAAATGCATTTAAAAATATAAATACATATAACATAAATGTTTCTTGTTTCTAGTCTGAAGATGGGATAATAAAGTGGATCCCGAAATGTCATAAAAAAAAAAATTCTATATGTATTATAACCTGTAATATGACCAGATAAATATTTTAATTAAGACTTCGATCAGTGCTGGGCTTGGGGCTGAGCAATTTGTGCCTACATATAGGGAAGGATGCTGACCAATTGTTGGGGATTGTAAAAAATTACAAAACCTATTAATAAAGTAATAGAATTATTACATATTACATGAAATACAATTCAAATATCTTTTTTTTTTTCCCTTCTTAACCACCACCAGGCCAAAATTGAACTAGTGTCGCTTCTATCTTGATATCGCTATGCCATAACATACTTGGCATCAATATAATAGGCTTCAATATATAAAGTGATTTAAAAAGTCCTTCACATGTGACTTATTTTCTCTCTCTAAATTACTTTTTCTTTTCCTGGGACTCATGATGTAATTGCCTGAGGGGCTTCCTGAACTCCAAATGTCCAAGGCTGGTACTGACTTAAATCAATGTCAGAAGTTCTTGATCAGTTCAATACTGGATCTACTTTATCTCTAATAAGAAAAACAAATATTAAGGAAAGATTAACATCAAGGACTAACTTAAAGTATGTCTACCAGAAGGGAATTTCAGGAAAATAAGGGAGGTCAATCTGGTCCGAAAAAAGGTCCAGAAAAATCTGGTTAGGAAAAAATTCACAGTAAATTCTGTGAAAGCCGTGAAATAAAATTGGCCATGAGTTTTCAACTTTAATATCCAGGCTGAGAATTTTTTTTTTCATATTAAGGTTTTATCATAATAAGGTTTAATTCTGTGGGTCAGCCACAAAATAAGTTTCAACCTGTTTTTTTCCCTCCTTCCTTGCCTTTTAGGCTATACGGGGTTTTCCCATGCCAGAAGTGAGCACGGGGGATTAATGTCAGAGTTAAAAGCCACCCCTGATTGGTTAAAAGCCACCCACAATTGGTTAAAAGCCACTCTGCCCCCAACAAGATTCAACCTCATTTTGTTTTTCAAATTGATTTTAATAAGCTATTTTCAATAATGACATTTTGTAATCGATCAAGAAAAAAAAAAGAATTTTTCTACCATAAAATTTGAGTCAAGCATATGAGTATAGCATCAAAAATTTAAATTAAAAAATATGTGTCTGCGACATTTCTACTATACTACAATATAGATTTTTTTCAAGTTTCAAGTTCAATTCGAAGTCACAGGTAAGATGAGATTGATCCTTAGAACTTGGACTTTACCATCCACCATAGTTAATGGATTGGCATACCCGATTAGTAGTTTCATATGCTCATATCTCAAGCACTTCTGAAGATAAAGAAAAAATATAAACAATTTTTTTTAAATGGTTATTTCAAGCATTACAAAAATTGTTAGGGAAAATTCTTGAAAAAGTTGGGAATTTCAAAAACCGAACTTGATAGAAATAAATTAATACAAAAAACTTTAAGTTGTGCATTAGTAACCTTTTTAATAACAAAATCTAGAAAGTTTAAAGGGGATTGTAAATGATTCTACTTCATCATTTTCACAATTTTATTACAAAAAAATAACATACAATAGAGATATTTTTATTACTGTAAATAATTATAAATACCTAATCATAATTACAGTGCAAGATTAAACGTTCATTAGAAACGAGTCCATATGAAGGACAAATTTATGTCATTTTGGAGTTATCCTTACAATTTTACAGCAAATATATGCCTACTTTTCATTAACCTAAAGAAAGTTAAGGTATATATTTATAATAGGAAGCCATTTAAAGGTTGATTCATATACATTGGCATGTACATTGCTATCATAGAACTTTAAGACAGAATATAGTCTAGCTACCTACGAACACATCCCACTATGATTGGGAAAAATATATTTGTTTTCTTACATATGTAAATATAAACAGACTTAGATAAAGTATAAATAATTTCAAAGATGGACCCATCATCAACATCACATGTATAGTTTTGATAAGTGAAGCCAAACTATTTTTCTCTTGGATATTTTACATATTGTTACACTGCGTAGTACAATAAATAATACATCTTCTGTAACATAAGACATGAAGAGCAAAACATTTTTTTTTTTTTTGTTTTAGACATATACATATATATTTATATATTAAAGGCACTCATATTTTTATTTATTTCAAATTACAAAGAAAATTAAAACAATTTATTTAGAGTTATCGGATTTTTATGTTTGTTTAAATACTGACATTTAAGTAATATGCAAATATAGTTCACAGGTCTAAATATATTAACAGTCAGAATCATTAAACAGAAAATATTAACTTATATTTCACATTGAAGGAATTCAAAATCTTTAGAATGTTAATTGATTGTCAATTCAGTTAATTTAATATAATTTCGATAAATAACAAATAAAATTATTGACTTTAATCTGACAATGGTAATACCCCAGAATAGCTAGAGTCATTCATAGAATAGATGGAATCATTTAGTTTATTTATTTTTTCTGTGGTGACTAGAATTGGGAAATAGTTTTTCTTTTATTTATATTACATACAACAGCATTAAATAATCAAAATTTCAATATTTCTATAACAAATCTATGAATAGTTTTGGTTTATTTTGTGTCAGTTGCTGATATTATGGAGTATTACCATCACAGTTATTATAAAGGGTTTTAACCAAGGTAATGAACAAAAGTAACCTTATAATAAACAAGTATGATGCCAAATTTTGTATAGTGATTGCTTTAACCGAAATAAGGTAGAAATGAATCACAAGCAAAGCATTAAAAAAAAAAATGTATATTAAGATAAATAGTTGGTGGTTTGAAGTAAAAGAACCCAGTGAAAAAATGGGAGTTTAAATTAATTGAGATAATAAAAAAAAGAAAAAAAAGTTCTTTAAAAGAACTACTAATGCTTATAAAACTAATTTGAAAAAAAAGAGTTGAGTATTTTTAATTTCCAAACACTTTTGGCCTTAGACAGAACTGGCATTAGCTCTTTTTAGAATCAATAAATCACTGAAAATATTCTGGTAAGAATTAAATCAATGCTATGGGTCCTTTTTTCCTATATCTGAATATAAAATGAAAATTTTTATCCAAAACATAAAAAGAATTTTATCATCAACCCATTTTCATTCGATTATTACAGTATACACAGAAAAATTATAGCATACACACAATAATAGAAAATTGCATTAAAGAAGAAAATTGTAAAGAACTCAACTGAACTAAAACGCTTCACACTAAGAAACTAAAAAAAAAAAAATAGTGATTATATATCAAATTCATTTATTAAAGGAGCGGAGATATAAAAAAATAGGGTAGCAGCATCCTAACCTACTCAACATGTATTTTTCCATATAAATCAACATGTCATAATTGGCCTTCAGTAGGATTCAAAACTGTTTCAAGAACACTTTTTAAAACCTATCATTGTTACATACACAGATATATATATCATTATAACAGCTACTGTATGACTAGAATGTAAAATAAAGTACAATACAAAAGAAGAGATTTTTAGTTAATTGTATGTATATACAAAATATTGCATTTCTAACATTACTACTTTGGTGTTCTCAATTTTTATTTTATTTTTTTAACATAATTTTAAGGTTATAATTAGTTATATAACATTAAATATACAAAATTACAATATATATATATAAATGACAAGATTAATAAAAAGGGTTAACATATCTTTGGTTTCACAGTTCCTTAACCTACTAATTTTTTTCACCATGCACACACGTTTTAATTTCATTTCTCATTAAAAAAAATAAAAATGAGATTAACACTTCAAAAAGTTTTATATTTTTTTTTTCATTTTTGAAAATATTAGTTATCATAAGTAAAAAAAAAAAGATAATTCATAACAAATCTATATGTTGAATACCATTTTAAAATATCAGTATAATAATTTTTCTATATTTAAGATTTTTAATAAATATTTAGCGACACATAAATAATAGACATTCAAACACAAATCAAATTAAACATATTAATTCCTAAATGCAGCAGAATTATTAGATGATATTTTTCTAAATAATAAATAAGTGAAAAGATTCAGAGAGCATAATCAAGTTGATATAAAATTTTATACTACTGAATTACACTTTTCATCCAATCGATAATTTTCTTCTTTTTTTTTTATTTATTTTTTTTTTGTTTTTAAAGTAACAAAATCAATTCTACTGCATATGTCAGTAACTAAATTTTAGGAAATCTATCAGAACTAGTGGCCAGAGGTCAATTTAATAAAAAACATTTGTTTGGTTAAATTCGGCCATTCTGTACAATAAAAAACTTTAGTTTTTAAGCTTGTTTCATCAACCTAGTGAATTAACAACAGGTTCTAAGATCTTCTTGGTTCTAATTTTTGAGATAAGCTCGTAAGAGTCCTTTGGTTGTCAATTGTTCGAAGACATCGGACATAGGCACGCACTTCTGATTCATTTTTGGGCGTTGGAGGATCTTCGATGACTGAAAAAAGGAAAAATATTATTAGTTGATTCTCTATTTTTCTTAATGGTAAAGATATTGAGTAAGTGCATGAGGATCTGCTACTAAAATCATTCATATAACTTAGGAAAATTTTTATTATTATCATTTTTGTTTTATTTATTCAGAAAAAACAGCTTATTTTGTTAATGAATTTAACTTTGATAAATAACTATTCATAGTTATTAAAAGTAATGATCATTTTCAGTTTAATATTAAAAAATACAATAATCAATAAAAATCAAACATGTGAATTTATTTGCAATACTTTTGTCATAGATTAATACACTCAGAAAAGAAAAAAAAAAAAAACCTTTACGGCTACAACCCATAAAGGGTCTTGTGTTCAGTAATATTCAGGGAAAGTACAACTGCCAGGTTTGCCCTTTATTAATTATTTAATTAAGGGTATCCACTTTATAAAGGCTGGGTGAGCCCCAGGAGGGTCTCATGGCTGATGAAACAGAATAAATAATTTTTCTGCCATTAGCTGGGATTCGAGCCCAGGTCCTTGAGCATTGGAAGATCAGTGCCCTACCACTGAGCTACCTCGCTCCCAACTCAGAAAATATAAATTTAATAAAATTTGAATGAGAATTAAATAATAAAGACATAAAAATATGAATAAATTTATATAATGAACAACTTTTTATTTTCAGTTTTAATTCACATAAAAATATAAGTACTCATATACTTACTGAGTTGTCGACTCCTACAATATCTCAATGTTCTCAGTGTTTGTGCAAGCATATGCATTTTTTCAAAATTGACAAGACCATCGACCATAGTCTTGTTTCCTTCATGAATAAATGTCATATCTATGAAAAAAACAGATTTACATTAATAATAATCAAACAAAAAATATTATCAGATAAATTTTGATTTGATATTTTACCTTTTAGCAGGAGTGGCATAAATGGAACAAGGGGACTGTCCATACTGGAAACGACTCCTCTGTAGGCTCTGTGATTCTTCGAGGGGTCAATCGTTGCTTCAAGCTGCATATAAAGCTTTCGAGACTTGCTTGGCAGCTTGTCCCATGTCAGTGACAGTCGGGACACAGCCATATTCGACAACCCGAGGACAAGAGCAAACATTCCATTAATGTTGTGGTACTGCTTGCAACTGAAAACAAGAAAAATCAAAATTGAAATCTATATTAACCATGAATTGAAAAAGTAAATAATTTTTAATGATTTCATATTTGAAAAAGAAACTTTAACAACATCACACATCAGTCATATAACATTAAAGTAGATAGCTGAACTTATAATATCTATAGTATAATTTAGATTTCCAGAAAAATAGTCAAAGAAAAAATTCAATTTAAGTAGTCATTAATTTAAGTAAACTAAAATCAATATTTCTAATATATGCAATAAAGTTCAGAAAATCTTCTTCACTATATTTGGACGATGTATCTCTATTCAATTTTGAGAAAATTTAACCTTTTCTGAGAGCAAAACCTTCTCCCCCCCTTTAAGGGGCATTGGTTTTAGATCCAATTTATCATGCTAAAGTTTATTGACATTATAGGCTAATAAAAACAACACAAATTTAAGAAAAACTATGAATAATAATACTGTTATGATATAATACATTTGTATCATTTAAAAAATTACTCCTAATAATTAAATATGATAAAAATATACATGCATGATGGACTTACTAAGCAGCTAGTTTAATAATCTTTCGGAGGACTTGTACTCTTTTGCTGAGGCTTTGTGTGAGACAGATCTCTGTAACTACCCAATACTGAAGCTCATTGAACCTTCTGAGAAAGGCATCGAGGTTTGCAGTACTTTGACCGAACCTATGCCTCCCAAATGTGTGGTATAAAAGTTCATACTATATATAAAAAAAAAATTATATATATATCATTGGTTCATAATATATGAAAATAAGGATAATCATTAATTTATTTCTATAATATTTTACCTCATGAATATTCCAAAACAGCTCCCAATCAAACATGGTCATATGGTAGGCCATTTCTTTGGCACTGACATCTTCTAAATCAAGTTCAACTCCTTCTGTTGGAGCTTCTTGTTCAGCTATCACAGTCTAAATAAAATGATACTTTATTATTTTATATGCATAAGATAAAAGATTTTTTTTTTTCAATAATAATATTTTACAATAACTATTTGAATAATTTTATTTATATCCAAGAGCGATGATATTACTTTGTTGTTTTTACTTGAAATATCAAATATTAGAAAATTTTATAATTCAAATAATTTAAAAAAAAATCTATTATATAAATTGAAAAAAAAAATCTATGTTTGCAATGTTAGGAAACATGAAATTTGTTGAAAATTTAATTAATACAAATTTCATCATCATGATTTTATTATATAGATTTTATCTTCTTTTAAAAAAAAAGTTCATGTATTTTTTTTTTCATGAATTATTTCAACTTGACAGGATAGTAATTAGTGAATTAAATGAGTATTAGTTGGAATAATTAGCTACTGTAGATACTAACCAAAGCATCAAGATGGTCCTTTGGAGCAACAAAAATTCTTCCGTTTAAACTGAGTGAGGTTGGCACGGAAACTTCCACGTCCCTAAAATTGACTCTTTCACCGTTAGACTTGAGCTCAGCAAGGATCAGATCCTCGGGCCTCACTCTCAAGCCAAGCTTGTCAGCAGCACACACTTTTATTTGCTCTGCTGTCGCAGACACGGGTAATCTCAGGGTGCAATATGTGTGGTCAGCGCAGTAAACACGGAATATAACTGAAAAAAAAAAGGAACAATAGTTAGATCAATATAGAATCTAAAGTTAGAACAAAACAATGCTTACTGAATTACAGAGTATTAAAAATTATTCTTAAATTTCAGAAAAGTTTGTTTTCTACTTAATGATTATCTTTCCCACAACTATTTTTCTAACTTTTTAAAAAAATTATTCAAGCAGATAATATTAGAGCTTTATACTCTCTTTACAGCCATGAATAAGCAGGTGGTACATTTGTCTGTTGAATAATACGTAATCATAAAGTTTTAGGACACTATATTGTTTCAGAATCGAGTGTTTACGTATGCCAGAGAATTTAAGTGTGGTCGAGAACCACTCAAAAACAAAAGTCACAATTGATGTTCAAGGATGTCTTATAACTGATCACCGGTTCACTGTAAAAGAAATTTCGACTAGTGGGAAACTGACAAGATTTGTCCATTTATCCCAGAAAAAGATGTATACCGATTAGAGAAGTAATCCTCCTCCATGGCAATGCCAGGCCTTGCACCTCGATCTTGACTAGGGACAAGTTGGAAACTTCCAAATTTCTAATCAATTCAAGGAAAAAGAGTATAAATTACGCAGGAGATTATATTGCAAACTGCTGAAAGTATCATTAGTATATAAAACAATAACCAAGAAATGTATAAAGAATAATTACCCTTTATATCTGATTCACCACAAATTAGACCACTGACAGTAAAATTAAAACTTTTTTTATGCAATAAATGTATTTTTCAGTTAAGTGAAACAATATTTTATAGAATAGACCGACGGTTATCTAAAGGTTAAACTGCCTTCGAAGAGGTCAAGAGAGTGTTATTGAAGTTTCCCTATAATTGCAGAAGTTGTTTAGGGGTGCGGTTAATATTATACTAGTATTTTATTGTATTCACCAACGTTTTGACATACGTTGTCTTCATCAGGGCATTTCATCTGACACTGCCAGAAGAAGTTAGGAGATTGATGGCTTAGCTTCCCAGATTCCCTAGAATTTCATCAGTCTCCCTATAATTGTTAGGAAGCATGTGAAACAGTCTTTGAGATTTTGCTATCACACTTTTTTAAAAATACTTGGCAAGGCATACTTTAAAAAAAAAATCTTGAAAAACAAACCAACAAAGAGTTGCTAAAAACAAATTCGAAATCTCTATCATTGAGGATGATGGGTAGTAAATGGTGCTCAAATGATAAAAAACAACATATGTTGGTTTGGATCAATAAATCCATGGATCTTTTAGAGAGCTGTGACAGTAATCCAAATCAGCAAAAAAAAAATATATTTATAAAAATGACGGCACAAAGTGATAGTTCTCTAGTATCCTAACTGATTTAAGTCAGCAAAATCATCTGGATGATTATTTTATAAATAAGATTAATTTTTTTAAAATATTGAAAATCAATATAAAAAAAATCTTACTATCATCTTTTGGTTTGATAAGAGTGGAGCCAGTTTCAGAAGGCGAGAATAAACAGATGGGCTGGCCAGTGGGAGGTAGCTTCCACTTATTGAGATTCGAATTGATCTCATGCTGGCGTGCCACCTGCGCACTTAGCCTGTGCATCAGTGCAGCCTCTTCCCATCCTTCGCTGCTTGCATCATTCGACAGTTCCTGAAATAAAAGAACAATTTATTGAAAAATTTGCTAAAACATCAGTAAGTAGAGAAAATTAAATGTTCTAATAAAGTTTAAGCTGAGGAGATAAAAGGACATGCTAAAACCAGGAAACATGTTTGAGTGAGTTAGTATTGGAAATGCATCCAAATGTTGAAAGCATAAAAATTTGATAGAGATGAAATAATTTAATGATACTAATCTTATTGTAAGAAAGTAATGATGTATAGTTCAAGAAATTTAAAAAATATGCAAAGCCAAAGGAAGGATGGAGAGTAGATAAATAAAAAGAAAATTTAACTTAAAATAATAAAAGATATAAAAAAAAAATAATAAGATTAACATTAACTGATCAATACTTAGCTATTTTAAATTCCTATAAAAGAGAGATACTAACCTCTATAAAAGATATTATGATAGGATCAGAAAGGGCTGGATATCTGATTGTGGTGACCCATCGATAAACGAACAATAGAACTCTTCTTTTATAGTTGTCAGTGTGTTCTTTATCATGGTGAGGTGAATCCATATTATAGGTACACAGTGTTAAGGAATATATGATAAAACGTTATAAAAAAAATATATAATAAAAATGCTCTAAAGATTTCAAAATAGGTACCCTATAGTTAATACAGATCAAATCTAATTTTTATAACACAGTCACCTCTATAAAAGTTATATCTTTTATCATTGTTTTATATCATTTAATATTTATTTCATTAAAGTATCAAAAATATTGTAATGATATTACATTAGACATACTTAGGAGATTTGATATTGATATTAAAATCAATAAATTAATTGAATTAATCTATTAAAAATATTACTTAATTTTATTCATTAGATAAATAAGAAATATGAACTCTGTAATATGCTCCACAAACCAAGATTTAATATGGTCAAGATTGAAGAACTTTTTCATAACCCTATGCTTTATTTTTGTTAACTTTCTATACAGCTATCCTTTAGATTTTATTAGTTTTTTTTTATCAATATTCCCTTGGGTTACACAAATCAAATCATCTGACTGGATTCAAAGTTCAACCAGCACAGATATAATAATGAATTTGATGAATGTAAGTCCTTAGAAATGTATTTGATTGATTCAAAAGGATATTGTTTTTTGAGTTCTTGAACGAGATGTCTGGTGGTAATGAAAATGACATGGGTGAGAAGAAAGTCGTCCAGAGCTGGGTCTATTGATCCACTATCAAGCCTCGAGTCCAGAAGGTGCTCAACCATTCTCGCTGGAGTGCATGCCATGACGACATATCTGAAAAATACATTTCAGTTAAAAATATTGGATTGTAATTATATTTAATTGCTTTATTAGTATATATATATATATATATATATATATATATATATATATATATATATATATATATATATATATAAGTATATTGTAGCAAATAAAGTTTGCTAATATAAAAAATGGGTGGAAAATGAACATTAGACATTAGAAAATTTGGAAAGGAGTATCATACTAATACAAAACCATAATTGAATTGGCGATTGGAGCAATTTCGGGTCTAACTTCATCCACAATTACATTATTAGGAGAAATTACATTTGTTATAGTCCACTGGAATATGGGAAAGTTAAGCTTAAATTCTCAAACTAACTGATTGAAACAATCTACCGGTTAGTTAGAACTTAAATCTGAAATTATTCACTAAGTGGGTCATCAAAAATCTTATTCAGCAAAACAAATTAAGAACCATTCAACATTGCCCTACTCACCCATTCAATTATGGTAAAATCATGTAATTATAATTAAAATTTATCTTAAATTTAATTACAATTTGGACACTCAAATATCAGTCAACATTTGAAAATTATAGTGCATAAGCAGATATCATAAGGTTCAGATTTTGATAGGAGGAGACTTTGGCTGTTCCCAATCCTATAAATCAAAGTGGCATGACCAAATTTAGAGATTTAGGTCTAATTTTGAATTTTAATGGGGCTTAGTGGAGATAGGTTGGCAAGCAATCATTATTGCCTGCTTCTGCATTACTAAGTGATATTATTATTATTTATGTTGTAACACTTACTTAACAGAAGAATGCGGACCCTGGCTTTTTTCTAAAATCAACACATCTTTTCCGTGCTCTTTTAATCGTACAGTGTTAGCCTCAACATCCCTCAAGATCCTGTTGAAGTCATCCTTGCCAACTCTTAACAAGTGTGTGTTATCTTCTCTTACAATTATACTGGCAGCCCTGAAAGATTAAAATAGAATTTAATTAGAAAAGTAAATTAAATTTATTAGAAATAATAATACAAACATGAAATGTACCTATATCATAAATTAACCAAATAATCCTACTAAATACATACGTACCTAGGGGCTTCATTTATAAGAGCCAGTTTGCCAAAGTCCTCTCCTGCGTGTAACGTTGCGACAACTCCTTTACCATGTATCACAACGTCAACGGAACCACACAGCACTAGGTACCATGATCTTCCTTCTTCTCCTTGCTCAAACACTGATAAAAATTGACAGATTAATTTTTACAAATTTTTGACGAATATTAGTTTAAAGACTAAAGTATTATTACATTGGATTCAGTCAAGTTTGATAAATAATTTTAATAAATATTTAGATTGTCAAAGCCACATGATAAGCTAGAATTTAACTCTATAGAGAAAAAAAATAGTTATATACTAGGGATAAAGTAACAATAAAGTCAGATAGACTCACCCACACTTCCTGGACGGGGATGTGCTTCAAACATGATTACGCTGGCTAGCTCCCTCTTCATTGAATTACTGAGATGACTTAATGGCTTCATATGAAGAAGCTCTTCATATATTATTTCCAAGTCATCAGCAGTCCTGTCATTACTCCTGTAAACATATATAACTCATTTCGGTTGCTATACCAACTGCTAATTTATTATAATTAAATTGGGCTTATTATCAAGAATATTAACAAACAGATTTTAATAGAATTTAGGTTAAAAACAATTGAAGAACTCAGAGGAAAAATAGGGATTGTCCTAAAAATTTGGATTAAAGAATTTAAGTTGGATATAGCCTTCAATTCCACATTAACATTACTTTTCTAATAAAGTTCCCATAAAGTACGACTTGATAAGATTGTATTATTTTCCTTAATCTACTTTAATCTGCCAATTAGAAAAGGTTGCTGGACTCGGTACTGAGGGTCGGGGATCAAAGGGCCTGGTGAAAATTGTAGATTTTATAAATAAAATTTTATAGGTAGTTAAAAATATAAATGTAAAATATCCAGTAGGTATATCGTATATCTATCATCATGATTCATTTAAATATATACAATTATAAATATATATCATATTAAAGAGGGATAGGACTGATAACAATAAAGACCCATCTCTAAGAGATTTGGGACTCTGCTACCAATATATCAATTACGGTGTCAAACTGTGATCATTCGTTTTTCCACAGTGATCTTCCATTATTGGAATCAAAGTGTGTGCCAGTGATAATAATATCATCACTTCAAGTTTAAAAGTTTCTTGAAAACAAAATTGTTGGTATTTATTTTAAGATTCAGACAGTAAATTAATTTTTTTCTACAAACATATGCATCCCTGGTATCCAACCAAAATTATATGACTTTTCTAAGTAATTACAATTTATTATAAATAATTGGATTATCTAAAAATCTAATAATTTTAAGAACATAATTGTGTTAAAAATAGAGCAGATATTTAAAATTTAAAACTAATCTTCCTTATTGAATAAATAGTCCAGTAAGGCATGGTAATAATTTTTATATACCCTTATGATATAAAAAACAAGTTTAGATGTGTTAAAAGAAGTTGAAAACATACGATTTTCGTAGGACCATTCTAAGCCATGCATCTGGCCCTCTGTCAGCCAGATCTGCCAGACACTCCTGGAGGTGCTCTTCTGCTTCAGCAATGTCCTGAGGCGTAGTACATCCTCCTGCAATACCGTCCCGGTCTGATCGGAACTGATAGAGCACACATTTGTCTCTGAACTCGTGCTCTCCAGTAACTAGAACATAAAAAAAAAAAAAAAATCATATTAAACAACATAGATTGATCCGGGAGCCAAATAAGAAATGTGATGATTTGTTACCAATATTGTTTATCGGGCCATGAATGTGTAAAATAAAAAATTATTCTGGGAAGCATCCAGATCTTACAAGCAGAAGTACCTCAAAAATGTGCTTCGGTTGAAATGTATCTAGTTTTCAAAAATTATGATCTACTATTGTTGATTTCGCAAATAATTTTATATTTTGAACTTTCTGAATTGTAAAATCGACTAAAATAGAGAAATAAAAATATATAATTCTATGAATATTACTATTATTATGACCTTGGATAGAAACATGTATTTTTTGTCAAATCAATGAGGGTGTAGTATGTATAATATCCAAGCGCTTACCATAAAGGTATTTAACTGCACCAACCATTTACTAAATATAAAAAAAATCTAAAGACTAATAGCTACTGTGGTAAAAACAACATAACATTTAGTTGCATGCGTCGGTTTGAAAATGATAAAGAATAAACTTGATGATGTTAGGATGGTACTGGAAATGGATGGGGAGGGAAGGTTTGATTAAAGATTATCTGTCCAGAAAGCTTGCAACTGAAAACTAGTTCCTCTTACATGTTATGTAACTAAAATTTTATGTTGTTTATTTATCATAGTATACCAGGTTTTTCAACTATTAAAATTACAAAAAGCCCCATTCTAAATAATATTATATATTATCAGGTACAAATTAAAAAGAAAAGCATGGAGTTAACTTTAGATGAACATTACGTTTTCTTGTATCATAAATCAAATTATTTATATATCTAGGTTTTGCAGGTCCGGAAGTTCTACAAGGCTATTACTAAGCATTGATTGATAGATTGATTACAATCACTTATAGTATAGAGTATATTAATTATCCCATTTCAGACTGCATCAATCTTCAGAATCAATTAAGCTTCTACATCAGGTTCAATAGAGTGGTAAATCAGGTGCATTACTGAAGGGTGTTTAGGTGTTCTTGCTTTGAATAGGGGATATTATAAGGGCGAAAAATAATTAAATAAAAATATAATTTTATAACAATAATAATTCAGTCATTCGTTATTTTTATAATAGTATTTAAATCACAGGTATTGTTTCCATAATATACATCTCAGAGTGTTCATCAATAATATGGACCATGTGAAGATGGACCTAAGCAATAGTTGCAAACTTATTAGCCAAAGAGCCAAATATGAACATTACAACAATTTAAAAAAAAATTGGGAGCCAAATCTGCTTGTTTAGTAAACTTTGATTACACTAAATAAAACTAAAGTTCATACTTAAATATTTATTAATGCAAACAATGTGCTTGCATCTCCTTGGGAAGTTTGAGTAAGTCAGGTTTGTATGTTGTTGTTTTTAATTTTAGGCATGATTCCAAGATCTCATCAATAAGAAGACTTCTCAGTTTACTCTTGATAATGTTCATGCTTGAAAAACATTGTTCGTATATATATATGTAGAACCGAAAAGGGAAAGAACTGCAAGCGCGAGCTTTTTCAGCTGATCGTAAGAATCAGGAATACTATTCCTATTAATACTATACTACTAAGCGTTGAAAATGATCATGTCTTCCTTCTCCAGGTCATTCAAAGCAGACCATTTGTGTTGTGAACTAAGATCACATTTTTTCTTCTCCAATATTTCCAATTCAACACAAAGACGTTCGAATTTAGAGCGCTATATCTCCTTGTTTTTTTTTTAATCCAGTAATTGTATTTCAAAGCTACCAATGTCAGTTTTAAAAGGAGAAAATTTCAACTTGGTTATCGTAGCATTAAGAGAATTTTTGACAAATGCTTAAGTTGCTCTGCTGTTTAAAACATACGAACAATTTCAGGCAGTAGCTTGTACATGGTTTGTGTTTACGTTTACGAAAACTAATAAAATTTAACTCGATGTTTGTTACGTATTTTTACAACAATATAAAATTTTAATTACCTCTCTATCTTTTAACTTAAACAAAAAATTATACATGTTCTCGATTTATAGAAGAATTTTAATTTATCAAAATAAGATATAATTATTTTCGTTACCAAGTTTTTTTTTTTAATGAAAATAATATAGGGCCTTCCGTGGATATTTGTGGCAGAGCAGCACTTTGTCGACCACTGACCTAAGCTATTCATTCCACTACTTTTAACGATATTTTTTGATCCAGTTACTAAATTTTATGCCTAAAACTGTCCTTTTAGATATTTTAAGTAGGAATTTAGCAATGTTACATACTAATCTGATTATTTTATGGCCTGTTTACGTTTATAAAATAAAATTAGGTAAATTACTTACATAAATACTGTACTCAGGGTTGCCAGACTGTTTTTTTTTTCTCCTAGATTTGTGATTTTTTTTTTTAACCATTGGTTTTTGTTAAGTTTTGAAATGTTTTGTTTTTTTTATGAAGGGGAGGAGAGCGGACATTTTTTATTAACCTAACTATGGAGAAAACATTCTGCAATGAATAGGACTGGAAATAAGGTGTGAAGGGAGCTCTTGCCACGGGGACAGAATTTAGATGGCGGCAAATTTCAATTGAAATTATATTTTAGCTTAAGAAAACAAAAAAACGTTTTTTACGCTAAGTTAATGTGGTTAGATAATGATATTCGAATATATATATTTCGAAATATATTATTATAAAATGTTGACTTTTATTGAAGGGCAGTGGAAGATGAAAGATGGAGAAACAAAATTAAGTTTGTCTCTCCTATTTTCGTTCCTGGCTACAAGAGTTGGAGATAAGTCGTTTATACAGTTTGCTCAAAGCGATCTTGAAATCAAATACCACCTCGCAGTTTCATCCTTTTTATTCTAATTTCATATTCTGCTATTGAGAGTTGTTTTTTTTATCATTACAAGAACAAATAACGTTATTGCCCTCATCAAAAGTCATACTTGCTTTCAACAAATTCGTGAGTGTATAAGTAAGTTTAGTCATCGAATTTTATCTTAATCATCAAATTTTTAACTTTATCCATTTAATGAGGATCTCTAAAAGTTTTAAATAATCCACTTTTACTAAAATTATGACTTTAAGGTATATTTTTCAATGCTATATATTAGTTTCGTATAAAGTAAATATTGTGGAATCAATATTTTTTACAGAAAAACTGTATTTTAATTTACTTATCCTCAAACATTTTCTTTGAAAAACAATTAAATTAATGAACGATAACGCTTTCGAATGGTGCTTGAAATTAATAAAAAAATTGCCCGAGGTTCTAATAAAAAAAAAGTGATAACCTTTGATGACTCTTTATCACCAAACAAGTACATTTATATAAATTGAAAAAATATTTATTTATTTACGATGAAATTGGGTAGATAAATGAAGTTATTATATATAATTTAATTTGTCTCCATCAGCATTATGCGAGAATATGCATACATGTCTGATAGAGCAGTTCATAGTATTAATATTAATTAATTTTAATTAATTAGTTATACTAATCACCAATAAATTAATTAGTCATATTGTGCCATAACTCTAATTATCATTAATTACTAATTAAAACGAAATAATATATAAGGAAATAGATTTTTCATCCTCCCAATACTGGAGAAAAGTTTAATAGAAAATAGAAAATTTGGATAAAATTAAGAACTCTGTTAGCAATGCTTTAATCTTGAATGCTTCACTATGTATTATGCTAATATAAAAATTGTATTGATTACACAACAGGCCGGTATTAAAGTATATCTATCTTGAGATAAATTAAAGATCCTGCTGTATATTAAAATTTTTATCTAAATTCCTTTTAACATCACATCAATTCAATTTTGAAAATTAAATTTCTCCGAACCTTCGCTGAAGTGTTTAACTATAAATAATACAATATTTACAAAGTATTATAATACAGTACTTTAATTAAATGTATTTTTCTTATTTACAATTTCTTCAAGTAAGGGAGGTCACGGATATCGTAAAAGTATAAACCTAAATATTTCAGAGATAAGAACTACGTCATTGCCACTTTACGTGCATCATTCAATAATAAACATTTAGTCAACCGTTAATGCAATTTCCTACCAAGTAAGTAATTCTTTAAAGTTTAAGAAAAATACAATAATTCGACTTTTTTTTAATAGTTACGAAATTACATGGCAAAGATTTCGGGCTGGGTATGGTTAAGGCATTTTTAAGTAAGAGTTCTGGACAATTCACAAGGTTTACATCTACAACAAGTACATTGTTATTTAAAGTTATTGAAAGATATGTACAACACAATAGATGCAATCTGAGAACGAAGGACTGCACTTATTCAATTTATTGACAAGTGGTTTACAAGTAAAATTTGACGTTTGCTGTAATCGAGTATTTTGTCTTCAAATGGTGGGATATTAAATAATTTAAATTTAAATTAAGAATATTGTCTGAGGCGTAGCCAATTAAAAAAAAAATAGCTCTGTAAGGAGAGACATATTTGAAAATTTATTTTCTTTTAAGTTAAGGTTATATTTTTTTCGTAATTAGTTGCTTTGAAAATGTTGATATTAATAATCCACCTGTAACTATCAACCAGTTTTTCAGATATTTGTTGTTTTTATTTGTTGCTATGTTATTTTTTATTTATGTCAAAAAGGCCCTGACTACGCCCATCTATCTTATATTCATAAACAAAAATGAAATAATTTAAGGTTAGCTGTAGGTTGTTTGCTTACAGACTTATAAAGCACCATCTGCTTAAAAAAATCACTAATATACAGAGTCATCAATAAAAGACAACGTAATTTACTACAGTTAAAAAAAATAACAGTAATTAATAATTAATTTAAATATATTTCAAGAAACTCAGAATTTTAAATACTTGCCTGGAAGAGTCCAAGATACCCGGAACGTTCCTATCCTACGAAACCTCTTGGCTTTCGGCAAGGGGCTATAGTATCCTAGCTGTAGGTACTCCATGGATTAGTAGGATCGGAGGATTCGGGGCCCGACTAAACGTGAAGACCACCTGAGCACTTCTGATACGAGGGGGATTATTATCGTAAGTACTCGAAAACTGATAAGATATCTTTGCGGCTCATATAACTGTTTTTTCCTCCTCGGCGCTACAACTTCAGAGTTCTTCTAGGCTAATTATAAAACTTTCCTAACAAGTTTTTTTTTTTCAATTATAGGAAAAACAATAAATAAAATATTTAATAGACCTACGGAAAATTTATTACTTGAAGATTTATAGTCAATTTTATTATGGTTTTTAACAGTTACAGAACTACCGTAAATATTGAACGTCAAAATTTTTGTTTCAGTAATCTTGAAAACTATAAATAATAAGCAATACTCTAAAATTATACTCACTCGTATCGTAATCAATTTTATGAACTATTCAATTTTAAAAATAATTCAGGTTTTTATCCATTTACGTTGCATGTTATTCTGGTATAAGATGAGATGCTCAAGTCACCATTGAATCACTATATAAAAAAATAGATTATGATTCAGTAACATTATTTACTCTGTCAAATAATTATCTCTATATGAACAATATTTTGCAGGAAGCACAATCAAAGAATTTTTCACCAAAGCTCCACCAAAACTTTGATACTTTTAAATGTTTTCGCTGCGCAGAATTTGCTATTTTAATGTAAAAAAAAACGTAGTGTTAATATTAATCGATATTTTTAATTTTTTTTTGGAAAAAAATTGCTTTTCAGCTTTTTATAGTATGTTAATGTTTGTGACTGTAATACATGCTTACATTTTAGGGATAAAGGGATCTTTTTCATCCTCCCAGTATAGCGGTGACATCGATAAAAAATAAAAATGATTATCCTGAAAAACATCTTTGATTGGAGTTAGAGCCAATATAAATTTTAATTATTGTTTGTTATTTGGCAATGATGTTTTCAAATTAAGAACAATTGAATTTATTTGTTGTATTTTCAAATTGCATGTTTACTAATCAATGTTTCGGGATATTTACTCCCATCTTCAGAACCACAATCCCAATGATTTTGTGGATACATGCACAATTCACAATGAATTGTATTCACTATGACAGACACCCAATAATTAATCTAAAAGCAAGATGTTGCTCTGGATGTTTTTTCCTCAATTTATTATAACTTGAATTAGAATCTGACGATGGAACACATTAGATTTAAGCCATGTATCCACAAAATCATTGGGATTGCGGTTCTGAAGATGGGAGTAAATATCCCGAAACGTTAACTTGTAAGCATGCAATTTGAAAATACAAAAAATAAATTCAATTGTTGTTGATTGGAAGTCATCATTGGTCTGTAGATAGAACAAAGAATAACATACCACTTTCCAGAAAAAAGAAAAATGAAGAATTTAATTATTTTATTCGATTCAGGACGTTTTAACGCAATGAAAATGTTTATTTTTAAAGAGTAATTCGAAATAACTACAATAAATTATTTAGAAAAAAGTTAGGGCAAAAGGCTTTTGTGCTTAAGAGAGAAAATGTTATATTAATATTTTAACTAACATCATAGAAAAGCAATTTTAATCGTAAAAAAAGACTATCGTTAAGATAAGTTTTTACGCCTAAAAAGCACTACTTAGAGAGTGGAAAACCAAAAATAAAAATAAATTGATACATATATTTACATATGTTTTAACATTTAAAGTCAGATATCGAAACAAAGTTGGAAAAACATAGCTACATTTAAATTTTTTAAAAGATTTTTTATTTTCTGACTATGGAGCTTTAATAACAGATCAATTATGAGGAAATTAAGCCAACTGCTTCAAATAATTGCAGGATACAATATAACTTTCTCAGCATTATCAACATGGTGTACATGTCACTGATTTGTTTGAAATTTAACATAATTATAAAATAGCTTTTGAATGATCAGAATAAGCCCTTCTACAATCATAGCCTTGACAAGAAACATACATTCATGTATGTTGCTGATTTAAGCAAAATCAGTGAATGGGATTTGATTAAATATATAATGAATTATATATATGTTATGTTTATTATATTTCAACCTTTCTCCAACTTTCAGCCAAACTGGAATGCCTAAGTGAAATATCATAAAATGTATACGAATTCGGACTAGTCGTTTTTGAAAAATAAGTGTGTCTTATTTTTGTTCTTAAGTGTTAATTAAAAACGTTCATTGATATCTAAAACATAAGTGGAGATTTTCGATTTTAAGATTTATTTACTTCAATGTGAATACAAAGCTTCTCTGCTTTCAAGTAGTTAGGAAAGCCAATCGCGTACTATAATACAAGTGGTCTTTTGACTATTTTTAATAATTATAATAATAAAATGAACATCAAATTATTCAGAAGCTACTGTTAATTATTTTCATAGTATCCCTGATATCCGGTAAAGGTTCATTAAATGAATTACCAGCTATCTAGTGATATTGGACCCTACGTCAAGCACGACGATAAGCTATCAGCGTGGTGTTTTTCTGGTTCATCCCCCAGCGGCGGCAGTTTCAATTTTAGAACGGGAAGGGTCGATAAACAATTCAAGCTCGCGCAGGAAGTGAATAAAAAAAAAAAGCGCGATAAGACAATCGATTGTAACGGATTTAGACATTATATCTTCGACTCGTTGTTCAGGAAACTTTTTCGAAAAAAGATCAGACTTAAAAGGCATATCTTTAAGGGATATTAAGATTAATATTTGTTATCGTGAGTATTAATGATGAATAGGGAAAACTAAGGTGTGAATCAACTGAGTTGTGTCGGTTCATTTATATTTTTAAATACATCGATTAGCAATACTGAACGATGCCTTGTCATATATTTGTGAATGGATGAAACGCTCGATTGTGAAAGGTGCATCCAAAAGTGATCGAATCAATTACATTCTTCAATCACTTTGGGTCCTCCCGGACTACTGGATCTCACGGGACATGGGGGTTTCCGAGCAAAGCTCATTCAGTATGGTATAAATATCGAACCTCTATGCCCAAGTTGTGGGGTACCGGAGACCGCTGAGCATGTTGTACTTACCTGTACGGTCTATGAGTCACTGAGGGCGAAACTGTTGAGTGAAACAGGTCTCTTTGCCCTAACAGACAGAGATCTTCCTCACAAAGAGGACAAATACGTGCACCTAAAACGTTTTATAGTTGGATGGAAAGAAGTTGTACTACCAACCCACTTCTCTCAGGGAAGAAGAAGAGAAGCTGCACCGGAGAGGCCACCAGAATAGATAGAAGAAAAGAAAACCAGATACAAGAAAAGAAGCAAGCTGTGTGCACAGCTGAGAAACAAAATGTAATAATTAAAAAATGCAGCAGTGAGTTGTTATGTAACAGTAACATCCCACTCCTGCAAATATCCGTATTGCCTTGATGCAGGGGAGGCTTGAAAATGAATTTAAAAAAAATTCAATACAAATCTTGTATTAATTTTATTTTGAAAGTTAACTATGTTTTTTATAAGTTTGAGTAATTCTGAAGAAGAAATTTGTAAATTATTTTATTTTTATTGTTGAAACCAGACTCTCACCTCCATAAGAGGAGAGGCTTTCTGTCCTATTAAGAATGTACAACAAAGCTTATATTATTATTATTTTAATGATGTAGAGATGGTTGACCGTTGATATAATATGGGAAGGAGTTAGTCGAGGGTGCACATAGAACTCACGAGGGTGCACACACCCTCGACTAACTCCTTCTCATATTATTATTTTATTTATCAACACTTTTACAAAAAAATTTTTGTTTACTTGAGAGGGAGAGAATCAACTCCAACCATCTCAGGTATGTTCTATTTTAATTTCTATTGGATGTTGAGAAAGTTCCTTACAATTCTGGCAGTATTCAGCAGCACCGCTTTCTGAGCTCCCTTTATTAGATGAGTTGGGAGGCCCAGCCTGTCAGTAGCTTATAGTAGACACCGGTATCAGGCCATTGCTGGAGATCACGATGCCCCTAACGGTTACTTTATTAAGTTTATACAAACTTTTTAACTCAGCTGCTAGACCTTGGTACTTCCGAATTTTATTATTATTATTATTTTTTATTTGTTATCACTTTAAAAAAAGGTATTTTCCTAGAGTGGGGAAGAATTAACTTCAACCACTTCACGTTAATTTTTGTAGTTTCATTGGATATTAAGGAAGCTCCTTACTATTCTCGCAGTGTTCAGCAGCACAGCTTTCTGGGCTTCATTTATCGTAGCTGTTGATAGACCCCACTTCTCGGTAGCTTCTACAGTGGATTTTGGAATCAGCCCATTGCTAGAGATCACTAAAGCCCTTACTGTCACTTTGTTCAGTCTGTAGAGATCTTTTGACTCGGCTGCAAGAGTTTGATATTTCCGAATTTTTTCGGCGCAGACTGAGATGGTGTTCTCATCATTTGGTACAGCGATATCTATTATCTCTGCTGTTTTCATATTACTGTTGATCAACATGATATCAGGTCTGTTATGGATCACATTATTATTATTATTATAATTAGGCAATTACAATAAAAACGCAAAAAGTTCCGAGTTTTTCTAAATGGTATGATAATCACCGTTAAAAGCTGAAAATCCCATTTTCCAAAACAATTGTACTTATAGGGTTATGCAGTATGGCTTTCGATATTCTGAGCTTCTAGAATACTAATGGCGGAAGCTGAAAGTCAAGAAGTAAAAAAAAAACAAAAAACAAACATGAGACCTTAATTAATTGTATTATAATATATCCCTCCTTTAATAGGGATAATCCCTTAATAATAGGGATCCCTCCCCCCCCCCCTTAAGAGATACAAACCCTTGATACTGACCGTGGAAGATGATGCCTTCCTCGAGGAGGGCCTGCCACATGGTGGTGGCGCGCTGGCGGTCGAGCCCCGCCTCCAGGCTGATCAGCCAGGACACCAGCTCCGACCCGGAGGCGGCCATCGGGACGCTCATCCTCCCCCCAGCAGTCTTCCGCTCCCGCAGCACCTGCTCCTGCTCGTTGAGCAGCAGGGTTCGCAGCACCCAGCCTGCCCGCGCCATCTCCATCGAAGGCATCTGCAACCAACAAAGTTTAAATTAACATGCTGTCTTAGATATCTATACCTATTAGAAGCCACACAAAACTCCAAGAAGACTTTTTTTTATATACTTTTACCCGGCCACGCGCTGCTGTGGCTTAGCCTGGCAAAATGAAAAAGAAAGAAAATAGAAAGCACATATGAGTAGATTAATAGCAAAGGACATCTGTCATTTTTAAAAAGTTGGAAAACAAATTTGTCCGTAAAATGGCTTCAATTGAAACTAATTCTAATTGTTTTTTTTTCTCATGATTCAAATTGAACATTCATAATCATCTGAGTAAATACGCCGTCATTCATAATCATCAGAAACAGTCTGAGTTGAACTTATAAAACCAAATTAAAAAGACGTATAATAGTATTGACCTACATAAGGAGAATCATATAAATTCTTCAAATGATAATTTCAATTACTGTAGTAATTATAAAATTTTCGATTATACAAAAAAAAAAAAAAAAAAAAAAAATGCTTGCCGACGTTCGGTAGTGAGGAAGCAAAAGGAAACGGCCTTTTCTGAAGAGAAAGCAGTAAATGTTTAAAACTCAATAACTTTGCAACGAACCGTCCGATTTTGATGATTTTTTTTTATTTTGTCAGCAATTCAGAAATCTTTCATATAAATATGGGTATTATAAAAAATTGTGTACTTTTTTAGTTATCATTAAATAAAATATTGAATTCATCGTAAAATTTTTCAGCTTGTTTTCGGGAAAGTATGTTATACACATAAATTAAAAGCGTTTCAAGAGGAAGACTTTAGCCAAGTTTCGTTAAAATCGGTACAGCCGTTTTGGCGCTACAGTTTATAGCGACACATTTTTTGCGGCTTTGAACAGAAAAAAATTTACATTTTTATTTTGTTTACATATATAAAATTATCGTAAGACAGAAGTACTATGCCAAAAACCTTCCCAGGAGTGTACGGAACAACTTCCCAAAGTTTCATGGCGATCGGTTGAATGGTTTAGTAATGCACTGAGGACAAACAGACGGACAGACAGACATACATTCATTTTTATATATATAGATGATCTTTACAGCTGTATAAAAAAAATACATCTAGTAAATTCGCAGATGGATATAATGACATGAAATACATGTTGAAAAACTACCCATTGGTAGCACTCTAATAATATGTCTATATTAGGAGATCACGTGACCATCTTCTTTTCAGACGCCTCGTAGGGTTATCAGGAATTGAATAGGAAGCAAGGTTAGAAACAAGAGAGTTGGGATGGTTATGAAGTTTATTATGGAAGGATAGATATCTGGATTGGGCCAAATCTGATACATAAGGAACATTAAGGTCATTGAGGATGATTTTATTTGTAACAAAGTAAGGAGCATTGATGATTTTATGAAGGATTTTGGATTGTAAGGATTGGATACGAGAGGAATTTGAAGGTTTGGTGGAGCCCCATAGCTCAACTCCGTAAGTCCAAATAGGCCTTATTATAGTCATGTAAATGAGTCTTTTGTAATTAATTGGAAGGTTAGAGTGTTTGTCTATCAAGTGTCGAAGTAGTCGAAACGTCGAGCTGTTTCTTGTCGTTTCAGTCTGGTATGAGGATTCTAAGTTAGACGTTTGTCCAGATGGAGCCCTAGGTAACCCAAGAAGACTTAAATTGGATTTGTGACTGGGCAGTAGCCAACAAGTTGAAGCTGAATGCGGAGAACACGGAGGCAATCTTAGTAGGCTCCAATCACTTCCTTAAAACTGTTTCTGATATACCAATCCTGTTCCTAAATGATAATCCCATCAAATTTTACCCCACCATCAAAAACCTTGGAATAATCTTTGATCAACAGCTTTCCTGGAAAAAAAATTTTTCTTTGTTTTTCTCTCTTTCCCTGTCTTTTAGGTTACACGGAGTTTTTCCTGGTCTGGGGAAGAGGGCGGAAGAATTATGCCAAGTTGAAAGTCTGGGTACCGGTATTTGAACTCGTAATAGTTTTTCATCTAAATTCGGTTGTTCGGGCCACCTCTACTCCCTGAAAAATTCATCTATCGAATAACTCCGGATGTGCCTTTTCCATCTTAAGATGTCTTAATTATTTCCGTCGTCTATTCCTATTTGAAATCCGTAGGCCCCTAGTCACGTTCTTAATATTTTCCCACTTTGACTATTGCTGTTCGGAATATGGAGGCATCTCTGAGAATCTCGAGGCGAAACTAAAAGTTTGATAAATTGCTTTGTACGATCCATCTTCGGCACTAACGGATACAGGATTTAATTTTGTGGGGCTTAAGCACGAAAGATTTTTTTTTTGTATATATTAGGATAATTACTTCGGAAGAAAGAAAGAAACGTAATACCTATATGAAATGGTGTTTAAGTGATTCTTTGAGTCCTATTAAATGTAATTAAACGAACTTTTAGGGATAATTCTTGTCATAAAACATGGTTATATTTTACCGTTTTGGGGGGAGGGAGGGGAAACTTCAGCCCGAAAGCTCCCATCCCTCCTGTAGATCCGCCTGTGATCTTCTGGATCCCGGGCTCTGTTTTCCATTTTTATGAAGGATTGAAGTGGCTTTATACTTCCTAGCGTCGTAAGTATTTCCTGGCATCCTTCCTCTTTCAAGTCATCCAATCCCACCATTCCTCATACATCTCCGAGCTCCTTCAATTCAATTCCTCTGTTCGTTCCCGCATAACCGTTCCCGGTCTTCGGATTTATGCACAAGAGCCCACCGAACCGCTGCTTTTGACAGATCGTCCATTATCCGATAATCATCCCTAAAGAAGTCTATCCTTTCCTACATTCGCTGCTCCAACGTCCTCCCTAACTTAAATCCCACCTGCTCAATCATTTCTTATAAAATTGTAAATAAATGTCACTGTAAATATGTATATAAATTATTAGTTCGTTCATAATTGTTTTTACTTTATGTTTTTAATTAGTTTTTCTTAGTTTATATTCAATTTAATTTTTTTTACAGACGACATGACTACAACTGACAGCTGAAGTGACTGAAAAGGGGCTGACTGTGAGATCTCCTTTCCTGAATTAAGATAGCAAATAACGACTAGGAACAGGTGCTGCTAGGTAATCTATTTTCCAAGTTCATTGCATCACATCTGCTCATTAAATTAAAATTTGAAGAAAAAAAATATCTTCAAAGTGATAGTCAGTTAGTTCTAACACTTTCTGTTTGTGTGATACAAATTATTATTTTATTTAATTATAATTTTTTTTTGTTCTTAGTAAATATATTCTTATCCTCCCATTTTTTTTTTTATTCTTATTATGACCAAATTACGATAATGTTTCACTCAAAGAGAGTTATACGACATTGTGAGATGAAATAAATAAAAAACTTCCGAGAGGCTACACGGAGTTAGTTAACGCCAACCGTTCACCCATCCCCCCCCCTCCTAGACCCCTAGACAATACAGGGCTCAGAGGTCCGGAGATGAGCCTTTATCTGTCAAGTCTTTGGCTCAGGAAGAATAGCTCTTCGCCAAGGGCAGGTTTCTTTAGACCCTTTTCTTTTTGATTTACCGAACTGTCGGCCAACTTGGAAATCGGAATCTAGCTTCTTTGTTCCCTTCAACTTTTGGCTTAGTACATCATTAAAGATTTACTGTTAAAAGGATACAATTTGTTAAGCATTCAGAGGAGAATTCAATATTTATTAAAACAGAGTATTCAAAAAGACAAATTAAAATAAATAATATTTTATACATGTATTAGCATTTCGGTAATCGAAATCCTGAAATCGTATCCTGAAACAAGAAACCTCAAATTTTGAAGATAAGTTTTGCTCTGATTACGATGAAACTTTCTACGGTTTTTAGGACATTTAAATATCTTTGTAACATCTAATTATAAAAATTACAAAAAAGTGAATTCTTTCTAATTTTATCATCCCTCGTAACTTTTATTCCAGCTTCTTTTCGTCCAAGTTATAAGGATAAATTTAAAGGGCATCAAGGAGTCAACATAAGCGAAGTTTCATTGAAATCGGCACATTCGTTTAGGAGCTACAGTCGCCGCCATCTTGAAAGGAAAGGGCGGATTGTTATGTCTATGTAGGAGGATCATTCTCGGTTTAACTCTGACCTAAATCTATGTTTGAAAAAAAAATCGGTCCAGTAGTCTCGGTCAAACAAATTTTTATTCGATTTTCGAATTCTTTGTATCCTGAAACGTAAAACCTCAAATTTTGAAGGGAGGTTAGTTTTTGAATTTTTTAGACGATTAAAATAATGGTTATTAGTAGAAAACAAAATAATACAAGTAAAAATTTTATATTATTGACATGTGATGTGATAATGATTCATGTAATAATGTTTATGGTTTCGTGGTAAAATAAACATGTTTGTGTCTACTTTATTATCATTGAAAGGAAACAGTTTTTCCAGTAACTAATTATCTCAAGATAAAGAGTAAATGTAAATGAGAGAAGATAAGAATTTAAACGGGAGCCCATTTACAATCGGGCTTGTTCTTTACCGTATCATCTGTACAGTCTGCCTCCTTTAATCTCTATATTTTTTAAGCTTATCAGTATGGCACCGTATTCCATTTTATTACGCTTCTAGGGCTAAAAGCTATTTAGGGCTTAAATTTGCGCCTAGATTAAAAAAAAAATGAGGTGAGTGTTAGAGATCAGACCAGGGTAAAATTATTTATTATTATTATATTGGTGCCACGGCAAAATCTAAATATAATTTTAAAATACAGTGTATTTCAATTAGAAATCGTTTTCAGAAAATGTATTTTAATTACAAAAACAAAATTAGAAATACTTTCTGGTGGACGATCAGCATACAATACATATCATCTACTCTATTTGGTAATTTATTTTGTGTATTTAAAATATAAATAAAATACATTTTTTGTATTTTATGATGTTGAAACTAAAATCAAAATGCCTTTTTTATTTCGTATTTAAAACACTTTATTTGAAATACTGCCTGTTTGAGTATATACTAACGGGTATGGCCAATGAATAAGTTAATACGCAC